TCGTCCAAAAGGAAGGCAAAAGTCCGGCGAGACATGATCGTCGTCGCGGCGGCCCCTCTGGGCCCGAAGCATGCCGAACCACACCGAACGGCGGCAGTAAAAGGAGGAGGCAAGATAACGAGAAAAGTGCAACACTGCTGAGCAGCGCCTCGGGCGGCAGCGCCCGCAGCGCCGATGCACATCAAGCAACTTATTGAGTTACACAGTAGTGCCAGCGACTGTCTGGCCTTTTCTTGTTTTCCTTTCGCGCCAAAACTAAACATCGACAAGTCGACTCGTCGATTCGCCAGTGTCGCGACCGACCGCTGGAATGCTTCCGGCCATCTGTGGCACTGGAAGTGCTGCCTCGGCGGCTGCCCGCCGCTGCCCGCCGCTGCCCGCCGCTTCGGCAGTGTTGCACAGTGTGCCTATGTACGGCGGTCATGCAACTTGGCCGGCCAGCCCGGCCGTCCCGGTTTCAGGTTCCCTGCGACTTGCGCCTTGCGACGCACACAGTGTATGTCATTCAACGCGTCAGCAGCGCGCATCTTCTCACGCCGAAACGGATTGAACAGCACGGCCGCGTGTTGGGTGTTGGTGTCCATTCATCCGGGCGGCCCGCGTGGCCCGCGCGCGTCACGACGCGGCAGCGCGCGGCAGCGCCACTGTGACGGATTCCTGGATCCGGGCTGAGAAGCATGCCGCGGAGGCGGACTGGGCCGATACGCGATACAATACTGCAGGATGTCCACTTGCGTCATGAATCGCATCCTTCTCCTCCTCATATTCCAGGAAACACCGATGGGCGCGAAATCGGGAGCTTATCCAGGATTCGCCGATTGAAGTTTCAAGAGCCTCGACTGTTGAGCAGGTTTGGTTGTTCTTTTTTCGTGAGAGAAAATAATAGTGTTGGCGGTGGTGCTACTTTTGCTTGAACCAAAAATACTGTTTCTATCGACGTCAATTTGGCTCTACACTCCAGATTGCGAACACACGGTTCCCCGAGATAGGTTCGGAGACGGAACCACTACCGCTCCGCGCGCGTTGTTCCGGTTCGGCCAGCCGTGCCAGGCCATGCCCAAATTTGCCGGCGGTTGATCCCGGTTTACCTCGGCCCGCCACGCCGACCGCAGTCCGTGCAGGTCGGTGCCGGTCCGTCCACGGCACGGCCACGCCCACGCACTTGTTGGCGTGGTGCGCGTGCCGTTGGGCTACGGCCCGGGCCTCCCGGGCCCAGCGATCGCTGCACAGGCCGGGCGACGCGCCGCAGCGGGGCGGGGCGGGGCGGTGGTGGGGCGTCGATGCGGTGCGGCGGTGCGGCCGGGCCCAGCGCGCCGCCACGGCCCCGGGCCCCAAGCGGCAAGGCGGCAAGGCCCGCGCCACCTCCTCGCCCGCCTGGCTGCCGCGTCACTGTGGGTGCACTTGGGCCCCAAAGTGTCGCGCCCCGCGAAAAAAATTGACGAGTTTGACAGGCGGTTCGGGCAACAACGAGGCCCCAGAGGGGGCTCCGTCAAGTCCCTTTGCCCCTCCCCCTTTCTCTCTCTCTCCGTCCCTCTCCCGCGCCCCGCCTCCCCCGAGAGCGACGAAGTGGCGCCAAATCTGAATGTGGACGTTGCGGTGTCGGTCTGTCGGTCCTGGGAGCACGGCTGGTGACGCGCTCGCAGTCTTGTCTGTTTCAATGATTCGCTTCTATCGGTTTTTCAAATATATCGTATTGTACTGCTTTATAGCATTGCATAATAATAATTCTGATATTAGCCACGCAAATGAGGACAACTGATTTCCCGTGAGTATGAACTGACAATATAGGCGCCGGCGCCACTGTTCCTTGCGGCCACGAAGGACATTCGCAGGACAAGCTTGTTTAAAAGTCCAGCCCTATTTATACTAAATTTTTCGCAAGCCGGGTTGCACTTGGAAACGTGTGTCGAAACACAATGGACATCCTTTCTCCCTCGCTTCCCCAATCCAGGGACACAGCGTTTCAAATTTGAGAGGGCGCGCGACACGCCGTGCGAGACGAGAGCGGGGAAAGAGGAAGCGGTTAGGATAGGCTAGGTTAGGTTAGGTTAGGTTCGTTTGTGTCATAGAAGCGATTACACTCTAAATATGGGGTGCCCAGAAACTGGGCGCCTTTGTCGCCTGCCCCACTTTTTAGGGTGCCAAATGTCGCCCAGTTTCTGGGCACCTTTGTCGCCCAGTCTCGGGGTGGACTAATCATGCAGTAACCGGCCCTCTCCCATGGTAGAGCATGCACAGATGTCTAGTTCCTGGGCGACTAAGGTGCCCAGACTCTGGGTACCTTTGGCACCTTAGTCGCTGCTGAGCCATGGGTGAAGGCAGGTTCCCTAATGGTTTGCCCACCCCGAGACTAGGCGACAAAGGTGCCCAGAAACTGGGTGACATTTGGCACCCTAAAAAGTGGAGCAGGCGACAAAGGCGCCCAGTTTCTGGACACCCTACATTTAGAGTGTAGGCGTGCGAGTTTCCTGCACCAGCAGTGCCACGGCGCCTACGTTCCGGCGCGGATCGAGCTTGGACATCACAGAGCAAGGCGCCAAGTGGCGGCGGGTGGCGCTTCACTGCCGGTTCGGCAGAGCGTTCGGAAGGGACCGGCGTCCCGACGGCGTCCCGACGGCGTCCCGAGGCGACGGCACGGAGAGATTCGGCGAAAACGTGCGTGGCCGCCGTCAGCCGCACGCAGCCGCACGGCCACGCCACGATCGGCAGGCGCTTCCACGGCACTGCAGTCGCTCGCAGTCGCTGCAGGCGCGTATAGTGTCGTATAGTATTACAATTGGTGTCCACAAAGGGGACCAGCTTAATCTCAACAAGGTGGGAAGGGTCAGGACCGGCGGGACCGGCGGGACCGTCAGCAGGATGTGCTTTGTCTTTCTTCATTCAAACTTTGGCACCTTGTCCAGCAGGCGCCTGCGCTGGGGGAGCAAAATGTATAAAAAAGAGGAGAGGAAAAAGGGCTCGGAGGAACATCAACGGGGCTTTGTTGGAGCTGGCGGACGGACACTCGGACGGACGGACGGACAGACAGACGGACGGACGGACAGAAGGACGGGCTGGCGGCTGCGAACAGACAGCGCAGAGGATGCCATACCATTCCGCACAACATTCACGTCCGTGCAGTTTTCAAACGGGCCGGGCCGTCTGGAAAATAACTGCCCTGCCCAGTGCCCAGGCCCAGGCCCGGCGCGGGACCCGGCCTGGCGCTTTTGGCTGCCTTTGGCTTGAACCGCGAAGATCGACCTTAATTTCTTTTTTCTTCTTTCTCCTTTCCCCCCTCATGCGCTCCATTTTTATTTAGTTTTATTTTTGTTGCAGAGGAAGGGCCGAGCAAGGGAACGAAGCAGCAGATAGCGCCAAGTACGGCGCCATGCGAAGCTGATCAAGTTTCGGGTTTGCAGGGGAAAAGTCAACTACGTCCGGTTAGAAGAGTTTCCACATAGCACAGGACATGAACAAATTTTCTGCCACCCTCCACTAAAGTAAAAGTATACGTAGAGGATAGTGGCGTGTGAAAAAAAGGGGGTGTCATGACATCCAGGCACTAGAAAGCCACCTGCGAGGTTGGCAAATTGCAACACATTCCGCCTGAAAGTAGGCAAAAGGCATGGCTTGACCCCCTCCCTTTCAAAGTTGCTGCGCACGCCACTGATAAGAGGAGGAAAAGTAAGTATACAGCCAGACAAGCGGCGAGCACGGTGTGTGACAGCGGCGAGCGGCGCCCCCTTGAAAGTCAATGAATGAATGAAGAAATGAATTGACTCGGAGTCGGGGGTGTGGGGTGGCGAGTGGTGGCGAGCTGGACCCAGCCGGCCGGCCGTCGTTGCGACGGAGCGCCGCACAGAGGGCGCCTGCGGCGGCAGCGGCGGCCAGGTGCATGGTGCACCGTCGGGACGGTCGGGACGTGGACGGCGGGCACGTTCGCCTTGGCCAAACGACTTGGGGTCCTCCAGGTCCTCCGGGCCCTCCTTCCCCATGAATGGCAGGGCAGGGGATGGCGCTGCAGCCAGCCTGCAGCCAGCCATGGGCAGTCTTTGTCCCGCCGCGCCGCGCCCTGCAAAAGTGTTCCCTGGGCGGTCGGCCGAGGCCGCGCCGTGCCCTGCCATGCCGTGCCTGCTGTGCGGGCCGGGCGAGGTTGCCGTCGGCCTCCGCGGAAGGCCCTGGAAAACGGCCAGCTGCAGTTGCGGTGCTGCGGTGCGGGGCCAAAGCTGGCAGGCCCAGTTACGCTAGGCTGCAGCCCCCCGACACTCTTCGGAGCTTCCAGCCGTTCCAGCGGCCGCGGAACTCGCTGCCCCGCGGACCCGCTCCAGTAACCTTCCAGCGGCGGCGTCCATAGCTATTCCAGCGGCCTTTCCAGCTCTAAGGGTTGCTCCGAGGCAGGTTGCGGACCTCCCAGGTCCTTTTTGCGTGGTACGTGCCCGGGGCAATCAGGCCAACAATCCCCGGTGGGAATGCTGCGGCGGAGGCCCTGGAGGCCCTGGAACTGGAGCTGGAATCCAGCCGGGCAGCCGCAGGCCGAGCCGCAGGCCGAGCCGCAGGCCGAGCCGCAGGCCGAGCCGCAGGCTGCACAGCGACCGGTACGCCACGGCACGCCACGGCACGCCACGGCACGCCACGCCACGGCGCGGCACGCCTGTTGCACAGTGCAGAGCGATGCCCCAACGGCCCCGCGCGGCGCCCGGTAAGGCCCCTCCTCGCCCCCTCCCCGCCCCCTCCCCCCACGCCCGAGGCCCCGCCCCTCTGGGCCCCTGGGCCCCGGCCTCGCCGTCCCCACCAGAGGAAGAGGCGCGTCCCTGCCGGTGGCGGCCAGCCAATGGAGGCGGTCTCAGAGGCCCCCGCAGCCCCCGCAGCCCCGCGGCCCCCCGCGGCCCCGCACCCCCCGCCGGCCCGCCCGCCCCGAAGATGCGGACCGCCGTCAACGACTGGCCAGCCTGCCTGCTGTGGCATGCTCAGCCCAGCCAGCCCCAGCCTGCTACATTCAGTCGCTCGCCGGCCGCCTTGGGAGAGAGAAGTGCCGGGTCGTGCGCTGCGTTCGTGCGTGCGTGCGTGCGTGTGGTGCGAGCGTGGTCGTGCGTGTGCGAGCGTGATGTGAGGCTCACGCCATGAGGCTGAGCGTGTGCAGTGGGTGGCAGTGCGTGCCCCCGAACGTCCCCGACCATGAGGACTACCTAGCGAACCCTTCGGACCCTTCGGACCCTGTGGACCCTGTGGACTCTGCGGACCCTTCGCTCGTGACCCCTTTCAACCCTTCGCTCCGCAGGACTATCGCTGACAGGAGACTCTGCCGGACCGCCCCGCGGACGCATATTGCAGGTAGGAGCCACAGTCTTCCTTCCGGGGGAAAGGCAGGCCCAGCCGCCTCCGCCTTCATCTTCCTCTTCCTCCACCACGACGGCCACGGCCACTGCGACTGATAAAGCCGTGGCAAGCCGCGTCCTGTCATCCTGCCCCGATTCCCAAACGACTCTGCCTCCTTATCAGTGCATTTTTGCAGAGCTACTCATCTCATTGCCCCTGTAACCGAGTGTACTACGCACACGGCAGAAAGGGTGTGTGCGTGTGTGTGTGTGTGTGTGCGCGCGCTTGCATGTGAGTAGTAGTGCCTGCCTGTGTGAGTGAGAGAGAGAGAGGGGGGAGGGGGCGTGAGGGAGTCCGCGCACATGCGCCGGAGTGTCCCCGCGTGGGCGACAACGCGCAGCACCGCGCCACCGGTCCTCCCCGTTCCGGCCGCCGCCGCCGCCGCCGACGCCGCCGTGCAAGACTGTTGCGACGTGTTGCGATCCCTTAATGTCTCTCTCTCACACTCTCTTTCCCTCTGTCCGTCTAATACGGCGCAACGCCCCGCCGTGCCCGCCGTCCCCGCCGCCTTTCGCGTCATTCATCGGCATCGCCAATCGGATTTCGTCGTGCACGTGTTTCACGTGTTTTGTGGACGTTTCGGGGCCCGGCAGCCCGGCGCGACGTTTACGCCGTGACAGGTTATAAACTCAACGAGCGGGCAACGACATAAACAATAACAACCACCACCACCACAACAACAACAAGTGGTCGACGACGACGACAACAACCGCCAAAGGTCTGCGGGCGACACGCATTGCACGAAAACCGTTTCTTGTTGCGTGACATCGTAAGGCTCACCGTCACGAGCACTGCACTAGAAATCCCGCTGGCGGACATAACTCGATATCCCTTTTTTCTGATCCGTTTTTGGCGCCTTGATTTACAATCAAAAGTAACCTCGTTCCTTGGCGGAGCAGGCGGAGCCGTCCGGAGCAACAGGAGACGTCAATGTTGTGTCATTCCTCTCTGATGACACACGAAATCGGACTCAACTGTTTTTTCCACCCCATCACTCTCCGCGCGCCTCGACAACGGCGGCGTGCTGCGCGCAGCACCCTTCTCCACTGTCCCTTTTTAATTTTTTTCGGAACGCTCTGATTTTGGTCGCGTCAACCCGCCATAAATATCCCCATAAATGACGCAATGGGCCGATGGCAGCCGATGGCAGCCGATGGCAGCCGATGGAGATGGCGCGGGTGGAAAGGCGAGCAGGCGGGCGTCACGCCGGCCAGCGACCGGGCCATCGGGCACATCGCTCCATTTGGGGGCGGACCGCCTTCGGCAGGCACTCGGCCGCCCGAAGTCGCCCGAAGCGCGGAGCGCAGTGTGGTGTTGACTTCCGGGTCCGCGGGGCGAAGCGCGCCGAAGTACTATCAAGTCTCACGGTGAAGCCTCACGGTGAAGCACGGCGCTGCGATGCAGGCCGCCAAGGGGTTGTCGCGTCACGACAAATGGAAGGAAAGCCGATCCGAAAAACACGAAAGCTGATTAAACAAACTCGCACCGCTGCACACAATAAACAAACCGAACCCTTTTGTTGGACCAACGAATTACAACGGAGAAACACCGTGTCCGACCGCGTCCGGCCGCGCGCACGTGCGCGGGGAGAGTGTGACAGTGTCACAGAGTCACTCTGTCACAGTGTCACACTATCACGGTGTCTCTCGGTGTCACACACGCAGCGAGTGAGACGGGCCGGAACGCCTCGGAGTGTCCCACGGGTGCGATCGAGGTAAAAATTGGAGAGGCCGGCCCTGCGTGGCCCTGCGTGGCCCTGTGCGTCCGTCCCTGCGTGGCCTGCCGGCCTGCCTGCCCCAGCGCTGCAGCGAGGTGAGGTGACACCTGAAGGTGTCTGGTCCCGGCACCCCGGCCTGGCGAGCCTGGCCCACTCCATTCAAGGCGTGTAGTCAAAAACCTCGCCTTGTTGTAGCGGCCGGGCATTGTTTGGCCCATTTGGCCATCGGCTGGGCTGCGCGGGGCTGCGTGGCTTCACAGGCTTCACAGTGTGCAGGCCGGCCCCGGGCCCGGCCATCGCCAGGACTGCCTCTTCTTTCTCCAGCTAATACTCGGAGGAGCAACAGACACATCCTGGGACACGTCACCCTGCCGCGCCGTCTCGCTCGCACGCACTGCGACTGGAGAGAGAAAGAGAAACCGCACTCACGCCGTGTCGCTGTGCGTCGATGTGCGTGTTGTTGTCTCACTTGCACTTACAACAAAAGCGTAAGGGACTGAAAAAAAAAGAATTTGAGTTAGAATTATGCCTAAAAAGTCGAAGCATGTCATTTTAAAACCAAGATTGCGAAAACGATCAAGTCAGGATTAAGGTCTTAGTCTGCACATTTTTTTTTTCGCGAATTCCATTCTATTCTGAAGCAAGTTGCAGATTCCTCACGCGGTGGGAAAAAGGTGCGGTGTCACATTTGGGCGCCCCCGCGCCGCACACTGCAAAAAAATAAATTCATCATGAAGAAAAAGGATGACCGAAAAACAGGGATGAAAAAGTCCCGAGATGGCATGCAGCCACCCATGCCGCTGTCTGCGAGTGAAGGGGTTTGAAGGCTCGCCCCCTCCGGGACTCCGGGCATCACCTCCAGGCGGGCCACTCTGGCGGGCCGGCGCGCGGCAAGGCCAGGCGAGGCTCGGCCATAAACATGTTTTGTGGATCCAACCCGAACACCTTTGGTGCTTTGCACCGTGTATTGGAATCGGTAATATATCATTCATTCCGAGGCGACTTGCCTGGTGGCCCGCGCGACCAGCGCGACCACGCCGCAGTGTAGCGGCGCAGCGGCCGACCGCACAGCGAGCGCCGCGCTGTCTCTTTTCAATTTGCTTGTCGAAGCCTGGACGGCCAAGCGCCGAGTCCAGCGCCGCCGCGGCCGTCACCGCGTCGAAATCGCCTCAGTTCGGCTCGCGACAAGACTTAGACGCGGTGGAGTCGTTGCCATTCCCTGGCGGTGGCGGCCGGTGGCGGTGGCCGGCGGGCCGACCTCGCCGTGACCCACATCGCGGGTCGCGGGCCGAGCGATGAACCGAGCAACCTCTAGGGCAACCCGACGCCCGCCACGTGGCGCGTGATGCGTGGCTGCGTGTGCGTGCGTGTGCGTGCGTGTGCCGCCGCCGAGGCACGGCCCGGCACGGCCCGGCACGCCACGACAAGGCATCGCCCGGCCGATATCAGGGTGCCCTTGCCGCCGGCAGAGGACGCGCGAGCGGACCGCCGCCGCCGTCATTGGACCAGGACGACCAGGACGCCGCCGAGGAGAAGAAAATAGTTTGTCCCGGTGACGCGGTGCGGGGGCACGGCCGGGCACGGCGCCGGCTCCGGAGTCCGGGGATGCCGAGCACGCCGCCGGCCGACGAGTAGGGACGCCGTCGAACCGACCCTCCGCGGCGTGAATCCTTCTGATAGTCCTTTCCCGGAGCCGGTTCCACCCCAACCCCAATCTGAATTCCGCCGCCCGTTCGCGCCCCGATCCGAATCCCGATCCCGAACCCGCGTAATTGGCGCGTAATTTCCAACAATCACGTGATTGCGTGTCGCTAGCGTCCAAGGAGGGCGTCGGCTGCACAGCGGCGCTCCCGCATTCAAGTCGCTCTTGTCGTTGTTGCTGCCGCCCGCCCAGCGCCCGCTTAATCCCATTCCGATTCCTCGCCAAAAGGCTGGCCAATCAAGGCTTGTCACTGCGGTGGCGCGGTGCCGCGGTGCCGCGCCGCCCGCGAGGTGCCCGTCACGTCATGCATCACTCTCTTCTGGTCGTGGCGCGCTGGTGCGGCGAGGCGAGGCTCGTAACCAGGATGGACGCGGCTGCGCGGCCCTAGTCAAATGGCCCTCGCCTTCCGAGAAGCGCGGCCCCCTCCCCCCCCCCTCCAGGGCCGAAACAAGGGCCGTGGGGCACTGCGCGTCCGTCCGGGCCTGCCTCGGAAATTAGCCGCGATTCAACGACAGCCGCCGAATCGGATGCAGGTCGAAAATGGGAACCGCGGGGCGAGGAGGCCGCGCAGCGCCCCGCGGGCCGCGGGCCACGTGGGCCCAGCGTGCTGCCCTGCAGTGTGCGCGCACGCACAGACACAACAACCTGCGCACGCCTCGGCTCGCCCCGGCCCGGCGCGGCCCAGCCGCGGCCTTCAACATGACACTTGTTGATATTTGCGTTGAGCCCTGTGCTGCCCTGTGCTGCCTGCGCCTCGTGTACTGTGCCGCCATAGGCCGACGCCTCTCTCTCGCCCGGCTCCGCTTACACGCTATCATCGCCATCCTCTCCACCTCCTTCGCCTTCGCCTCCGCCGTCCGCCCCGCCGGCCGGCCGGCCGCGCGACCGCGTAGACCGCGCGGCTGCAAGCCGCAGGGAGCGCCGTGAGCGCAGGCAGCCCGCTCCGCGCGCGTCCGCGCCGCTTGCCTATCGGCAGGCGGTTCGCCGTGCCGCCGCCGGCCGCGGTCCGCGCCACCGCCATGCCACCGCCACCGCCGGCCGCGCTGGAAAGACAAAGACGCCACGTCACGCTGTTCCAAGGTGTTGCTCCAGTCCCACTCGGCGTAATGCAACGAGTGGCGGAGGCTTTCACTGCGTGTGTGTGAGAGTGGTGAGTGTGTATGACCACTGAGATCATGCAGTCCGTCGGTTAGTCACTCTTTGGCGACAAACAGCGCGGCCGCGAGGCGGAGTTCGGGGTTCCCGTTTCTCGGCTTCCTCGGCTTCCCCGACTTGACGAGAGCGCCGCCCATGAGTCACGGCCCCGGTCGCGGCGCGTCGCGGCCCAGCTGGTCATGAGGCTCGCGCGCCAGTTTCGCGCCAAAAACTTGCACGTCTCGTTCCCTTTCCGACACGGTTTTCGCGTGCTCCGCGCCGGCGTCGCGTCGTGCTCGCGTGCTCTCCGCGCGTCGCCGCATTGCTGATACACTGCAAGCGGGCGCAGTGGCACCGCCATGGCACCGCCGAGTCAGCTGCGCCGTCCCGCAGACTGCCGCAGACCTGCAGATAGCGGCGCGTAGAAAAAGGTGAGGGGAGGGGGGAGGCAGATCGGCCAACGCACCGCGCCACCGTCTGCGCTGCAGTGGCTCCGCGACGCCACGCGTCGCGCCGTGTCTCGCGGCTCGCGGCGCCAGCAGGACTCGAAAATAAAATGTGACTCATTACCAAGTGAGTCGCGCTGAGGCGGCAGGCGGCTGGCGAGAGGGGAGTGGGGAAGGAGCTGCTTCTTCATCAGGAAATTTGGTGCGAGGTAAATAGAGAGTGAGAGGGGGGAGAGAGAGGGAGAGAGAGAGAGAGAGAGAGAGAGAGAGAGAGAGAGAGAGGGGGAGGAGAGGGGAGGAGAGAGAGAGAGAGAGAGGAGGGCGGGAGGGAAGGGGGCAGGAGAGAGAGAGCGGACCGAGCGTGTCGGCGGCACGACGCCCGCCCTGTTTTCTAGGAAGCGCGTAACAGGAGAGCCGACAGCTCAATAATCTAATAAAACTTGTGGCCATTGGCATCGGAATTATTTTTCGTGACGATTTGGTGCGGCGTGGAAGCGGGAGGAGGAAGTGGCGGGTAATGGGGGCTCTTTCCGCGGGGAGGGGATGGGGGGGGGGGGGGAGTTCCGCTAGCCCGGACCTTCCCGGACAGCTCGGACGGCGCGGACTGCAGTGCAGAAGCGGCAGGGCGGGGCAGGGCGGGGCAGGGCGGGGCAGAGTGACTCCGGACAACGCTTCCGTCGCTCTGCTTCGCACTCTTGGGTATGGGGCGTTCCCCATCAGGTGCGAGGTGAGGGGGACAGAAGCTAGAAGTTATGGGAAGTTGGCGTTGGCGGAGATCGAGGGCTTGATCCGCTGCCCCGCTATCGCTCACCCCCGCAAAGGAGCGCCGCGTCGGCAGGGGGGGGGGGGGGGGGGGGGTCGCAGTCTCCGCGTCGCTGCAGCGACCACCTCGGTGGTGCCTCGGTGCGACAGGGTCAAGACTTCAATCACGGTTGGACACCCCCCACCTCCACCCACCTCCCCTCGTCCTCGTCCGCGTGTGCACCTGGGTATAGTAGTAATAACAAGTGGCTCAAAAGTAATAAGGAATCTGTCCCGGTGCTCCATTAGAGGCACGGTCGCCCCGCCACCGCCCCGCCACCGCCCCCCACCACGGCCCCTCCTCGGTGCGCCCGTGGGCCCCGTGGGGCTGCAGCGCGATTCCTAGAACGGCTAGCAGCAGCATCGGACGGGCTGCCTCCGGCTCGGCGCGATGCACTCTCTCACGACGCCGCGCCGCGCTCCGCGTCGCCCGCCCCGCCCGCCCCGCCCCGCCCCGCCCCGCGTCGCCCGGCCGGCCACGCAACCCGAGAGGTACGCCGCGCGTGTCGCGGGATCATAACGCGGAAAAGGACCCAGGTCGCGAGATCACACACACACACACACACACACACACACGCACGCACGCACCACACACACACACACACACACACACACACACACACACACACACACACACAGGGACCGCGTCAATGAAAGACCGCGGGGAAAGCACTGGTGGTGCCGGCGACTGGCGGACCGGGCCAAGACGCGTGCCAATTTGAGGGGCCCTTGGTGGCGTCGCTGCGGTTGGGGGCCACCGGGCACCGGGCCGACACTCCGCGACAACTCAGGGTCTGGCATCGCGCGGGATGAGGCATTGCTGATACACTGCAAGCAGGCGCAGCAGGCCGGCCGGGCTGGGATGCCGCCGATGCTGGATGCTACGCACTCGCCGAGACGCCGCGGCGCGCCCTGACGGACGGCTGCCTCTCCCAATCAAGCAGTGGCGGCCGCCAGTGTTCGGACTTTGATTTTGGCTTGGCTTGGCTTGCACCAGCATTCCGCGCACCGCGTGTCTCCCAATCAGAACGGGCCGTCGTGACCTGCCTGGCACTGCCCGCCACTGCTCGGCACTGCCACGCCGCGAGCTGTGATTGGCTCAGCTGCCCCGCGCCCGCACTATTAGTCCAGATGGATCGCCAAGTCGGATCTCAAATCACGCGCCCTACTCTGGAAATAAAAACGTGGACGTTATATTGATATCCAAGTTGAAAATTTGATTTCATTTGGATTGATTTTTTGTTTGTTTTGGGAGGCTAGCCTCCGCTAGGTAGTACTTCCTGTTTCCTTGAACCGCGAAACTCGTAGCTACGCCCAGTGATTGTCTCCGTTATTCGTACCCGTTTCTCACGCGCTATTCCCCCCCGTCCGTCCTCCGTCCGTCTGTCCGTCCGCCTGTCTGCTTGTCCGAGAGTCCATCCGTCCGTCCACGGGGCGGGGCGGGGCGGGGCGGCTGGCCGCGTGATTAGACATGCCCGATTACAGGCTGGCCGGGATGGACGGACTCGTGCTGGTTGTCATCTGATCGGGCCTCATTAATGCCCCCTTCTTCGCCTCGCCCTGCGGTCCTGCCCCTTCCTTTCCGCCTCCCTCCTTTCCCACTGCACTGCAACCTGGGCAAGCTGCAAGGTGCGTGCGTCAGTGCGTCGCCGCGGTGCCACCGGCGTGATTTCGAGTTTTCGATTTTTCGGTGTCGGTGCGATTGGTAAGTCCGTCCGAGTCCTCCCTCTGAGTCTGGGCTCTGGGCGAGTCTGCCCTAACCGCGACAGACGGGCAATAATCGGGCAGGCCGCGCCGCCGCGCCGCGCTTGCGTGTCAGTAAACGCAGCGTAATGACTGAGAGGACTGAGACTGAGAGGGCCTCGCCCGGGACTCCGGGACGGACTCGCCCGGGACGGACTCGGTCGGGACGCCGCAGATGCAGCGGCAGATGCAACGGCAGATGCAGCAATTGCAGCGAGAATGTCTCCGGAGCGCCGAGGAGGCCGAGAAGCCGGCCGGCAGCGCCACGGCTGCGTTCGGCCGCCACCAGGCCGCCACCACGCGTGCTGCACGTGATGGCCGTGATGGCGTACGAAGTACGAAAGGCTACCGGTTCGGCGAGGCACGGCGTGTCGTGGCACGGCGCGCCACGCCACGGCAAGGCAGACGGGGTGAATTCCAACCGAGATGTCAATTACCGAGGAATCGGCCCCAAACTTTGGAAAGCCACCCAATTGCCCCGCCGTCCCGCAGTCCGCCAGAGGCCTGTGTGGCGCTGTGTGGCGGCCCCCCCACCGCCCGCCGCCCTGCGCGCCCTGCGCCCTGCACCAGGCACCAAAGGGCGAGCGTTTCGAACTTTGGCGCGGCGCTTCGCTTTCTTTTTCGGCCAGGAGGCTGGGGGCGCGGCCGCAGCATCAGGGCGTCGTGTGTGACGTCCGCGGCCGCGCGTCACTCATTCATGACCTCACGGCTCACGGCGGCCGAGGCGCGTCCTGTCCCGCTTCGTCAATATTTGCACGCGGGCGGCGCGGCCACCGCCACACCATGCACCTCCCAGTGGTGGCCGCGCCTGCCGTGATGCAGTCCGTGATGCGGGCCGTGATGCAGACCGTGATGCAGGCCGTGATGCAGGCCGTGATGCAGGCCGTGACGAGAGCCTTGATGCAGACCGTGATGCAGGCCGTGATGCAGGCCGTGATGCAGGCCGTGATGCAGGCCGTGATGCAGGCCGTGATGCAGGCCGTGATGCAGGCCGTGATGCAGGCCGTGACGCGAGCCGTGATGCAGACCGTGATGCAGGCCGTGATGCAGGCCGTGATGCAGGCCGTGATGCAGGCCGTGACGCGAGCCGTGATGCAGACCGTGATGCAGGCCGTGATGCAGGCCGTGATGCAGGCCGTGATGCAGGCCGTGATGCAGGCCGTGATGCAGGCCGTGATGCAGACCGTGATGCGGGCCGTGATGAGGCCGTGCTGGCGGGGCCGGCTCAGCTCCCTGCGGCTCATTTGCCGATGCCGGCGAGCCAATCCGCTGCACCGCGGCGAACCCGCTCCAATGGCTTGCGTGCAGCGTCCGTGCGAGAGAGACGGCCGACTTGTCAGACAGGCCGAGAAGGCCGAGCCGCCGAGCGGCCGAGCCCTGTAGCCTTGTGGCAGGGCGGGCGTTACTCCGTCCTGCGGGCACCGCCCCGCCTCGCCCCGCCCCGCCCCACCCCGCCCCGCCTCGCAGCGTCAGCCAATTGCATGCTGAAACCCTACTCCGCGGGCACACTGCAACAAACACTTACGGGGCGCGGCGCGCTGAAAAGCGCAAGCTAATTGAGCTGTCAGACGGGCGGCCTGGGCAGGTAAGCGCTGCGCGGCTTGCGTTAGTACGCTAGCGTTAGCAAAGGTTAACAGGGTCACCGCGCACCGGTAAGGTGATCGGCCACTCCGCGGGGGGCAGCGCCATGGCAGCGCCGTCAGTGCACCGTCAGTGCGCCGTCAGAGCGCCGTCCTGCAGTGCAGACTGAACGGTGCTTCGTCACCACTGACTCTCGTGCACCCCACCGCCACACGAGTGCGAGAGAGACAGAGAAACGTAGCGCTGTTTAGGAATCGTCCTGCTGGGCCAGGGCGTGGCGCAGGCGTGGCGCAGGCGTGGCGCAGGCCGCAGGTAGGCAGCCCCGCCCGCCCGGCCCGGCCACACCGCGATGCGCGACGACACCGTCGAGCGATCCGTCGCGACGCGCAGCTGCAGCTCTCGGGGCGTGCCCATGTGCTGCACATCGCACTGCTTCCCGTGCTGGCATCGCTAGCATCGGCAGACCGCGCACGCCGCGCGCCAACGAGTCGGATCAACAACAACATCAAACAATAAGACAGGACAGGACTCAAATTTTCATCCCACCGCGCAAGCGAGCGCGCCTGACGGTCATGACACGTCTCTGTGTATGTCTAGTGTTTGTGTGTGTGTGTGTGTGAGTGCGTGCGCGCAAGTGTGTGTGTGTGTGTGTGTGTGCGTGCGTCTGTCTGTGAATACGCGTGTGTGTGTGTGTGAGTTATTCGTGTGCGTGCAAGTGCGTGCGCAGCGGGCGTCTAGTTACTGCAGCTGTGCGCGAAGCTTGGTCGCAGCGATCTACCCGCTGAAGCAATCCTCCGGCTACAGCGTGTTTCCTTTTTGTTGCAGCTGCCCTGGGGCTGGCCATGCTCCTGGCGTGCTCCTTGGCGTCGCGGCCCACGCAGGCGCACCCCGCGGCGGGCGCTGCCGGCGTGGCGGGCCGTGGCGGCGCGCGCTGGCCCGCCAGCCGCGCCGTCGGCCCGCCCTGGGCGTCCCTGCGGTCCCTGCCCCGACACGCGGCCCGCCACGCCCGCCACGCCGCGGCACGCGTGCCGCCCCGCGTGCAGGCGCGGCAGCCGCACTGGCCGCGACAGCCGTGGCAGAACCCGTGCGGCACCTCCGTCGCCCTGGCCCCCATGGCCTCCCCCGCGCGGCAGCCCCGCCCCAACCGGACGAACAACGCGGCCAACGCGGCCAGGACGCAGGTGAGTCTGGCCGACAATGGGCACATGGGCGCCGAGCGCCGTCACGGGGTGCAGCAGCAGCAGCGGCGCGGCCCGGCCAGCGTGCGCGGGGTTGCCTGCGTCTGACGGCGAACCCGTGACACCACCTGGCCTGGCGCAGCCTGGCGCAGCCTGGCGGCGACCTGTCTGTCTGCCAGTCCGTCTGCCAGTCCGTCTGCCCGCCGGGCTGTTCGTGCGTTGCGCCGCCAGTGCTACTCAACTCTTTCGTTTAATAACGTCCGCTGGTCCGCTGGTCCGCTGGTCCGCTGGTCCGCGGATCGGTCGTCCGCTCCCTAACGAGCTCACTCTCACGGTCCCCCCGTAACGTCTTCGCCTTTTCCAGGATTTCGACTGGACCTCGCCCTCCATGGACGGCGGCAAGAGCTGGAGCCTGCGCAACGTGCGGAAGCTGATCCGCATCGCCAAGGACCACCTGCGGCACCGCAAGAAGCACATCCACCAGGTGTACGCGTCCGTCAAGGTACTCACCAACAAGTACTCCTTCGACTGGCTGCCGCAGGAGCAGATCCCGTGGTACCGATCCGAGATCACCTGCCTGGACCGCGACACGCAGGTAGGCACGGCACTGCGAATAGTGGGGCCTCGCCCTGCCTCGCCCTGCCCGACATGCGGACGCGCGATGCATCCATGGACGCTCACCCGGTCACCGTCTTGTTGTGCAGGCCGCCCTGGTGCTGCCCGTGCTGCGCTCCGCGCTGCAGAACTTCTCGGCCACGTTCGTGGAGCTGCAGAAGGCCAGGCGGTGGACCATCGACAGCCAGGGGAACCGCTCCCTCATCATCGGCGAGCTGGCCAACCACGTCGAGAGGGTGAGTTCCAATTTCCGCCAACTTCTCGCCAAAGATGCAAAACTGACGATCCCGTTGTGTCCACAGATGCTGTGCGAGGTGGAGACCGCCATGCAGGACAGGTCGCTGACGCTGCCCGTGACCGGGCTGCCCCCGGACGGGCTGGCGGGCGTGGAGCCGTCGCGGCTGAACCCCGACCCGGACGAGACGAGCGCGCTCATCCAGGACTGGGGCGTGGTGTCCGCCTACACCAACGCGCTGCACGGCTGGGCGCTCATCCTGCGCGAGCTGGGCCACGCCCCCAAGGTGCGCCGCGGGGACCCGCCACCCGCGCCCCCCGGCCCCGGAGGCTGCCCGGCGCAGGCCAGGCCCCACCGCCTGCACGGCACCCGCCCCGGCCGCCACCCCGGCCGCCACCGCAACCCCCTGCGGCGGAAGCAGCGCCGCCACCCAGGCGGGGGAGGGGGCGGGCCGGGCGGGCCCCTCGGCCAGCCCAAAGTGGGCGGCGGCTCGGGCGGCGGCAAGGGCCTGGACGCGCGGCGTCGCCGTCGACGGCGGAGGAAGCAGCGCGAGCGGCGGCGGCGGCGGCGCAGGCTCATGGAGGAGATGGCTAAGAGGAACGGGGGACGGCCGTGGCCGACGAAACCCTCGGCGAAGGCCTCCGCGAAGCCCTCGGCGAAGCTGTCGATGAAGCCCCCGGCCAAGCCGACCAGACACGGCCAAAGCAGGAGTCCTGCCCGGCCGCTGAAGCATCCCCATCATCATCCCCAGCATCCCCACCCCCACACGCCGCGGCTCTCCAGGACGAATGACTAGTAGGACTAGGTTCATGGTTCTCGGTTAGACTTTACAACGGCTCCGTCAAGCCTCCCACTATTTATTTTCTAGTGAGGTTGGAGCGACCTGGCAGGGACGACCAGGCACCTGGCGACGGTTTGGCTTCAGTGCCCCTTTCGGAGGAAAGGCTACTGCAAAGCCCTTCGTCCCCTTCCAACCTTGTTAGTACTGCGGAAACTTTTTCGACTGACTCCCCAACCCAACGCACATTCGTTGCTTTCGGGATCGTTCATATGGAGTTCAAGTCTTCCGATTCGTTGTGCAGATTTTCGTAGCACTGTCGACTGATATTTTTACGTGATCCCTCAACGCGTGCCCTTCCTAGTGTGATGTGTCTTATTAGAACCCACATCAAAACAATTTAAATCGTACTTTAAGACATTGCACTAGTCTGATGCTTTGTGTACATGCTAAACATGCCACATGAGCTTGTACATTGTTAAAGTTCCTTAGCTGTAGTCCTTTTATATATATGACTTGTACACTTGTTATTTATTTATATTTATGTTGAAGTTTGCCGCATGTTTAAAAAATCTGTAATGGCAACACTTCTGTAATAATATTTAATTTTACGATCCTGTACATTCTTTCTCAATTTATGTGTACAGGAATCTTTTTTTTGTGTGTTTTTTTACTCGTTTTGTACAAATTGTATAATTTATTGATATTTTTTTTGCATTTGGACGTAATGGCATGTTTGTATATATATTTATTTTCCAATATTTCTACTTTATGGACTCTAATATCTCTATATCTGATTAATGGTTGCAAGCCTGAATTCTAAAGCACTCCTTCCTATTTTGTGTTAAAATGTGTTTGTTACACTATCTCTCTTTCGGTTTAGATTGAGTATTGGTGTAGAATTCTTACCTCAGCTGATTTTATGTCGTTGTCAACTGAGCAATGTCAAAACTGTGATTTCTAGGCAAGAATGCTGGCCATTTAAAGTGCATCCTAAGCACTAGGGCCACATTTGTGCGTAATTTCTGTGATAAATCATTTAGTGTAAGATTTAGATGAGTGTACTTAATGTAGGAGATCTGTGTTAGCAGTATTATTGTGAACAAAATATGACAAAAACGAACTGAAATAGAATTACAGTATGTATATCCGTGACTGCAATGTTTTGATGTTTGTGAAATTATTGGTCTCGAGGTTTTATTTTGACATCATTAGAAACAGATCTAAATTCGCAGAGTAGCAGTACATAGCTGCTGTAACTAGATACCTTTTGTACATTAAGCTCTATTTCTGTGAGAAGTTCAAACTGTTTTTTTTTCTCTCTCTCTCTTCACTTAGTGCAAATATTAAGTAGAGTAGTAGTGTGATGTATGCTGTACCTGTTTAAAGTTTAAAGGGACCAAATTTTGATGTTGATGTTCTTTCGTTGAATTCAGTCCTGCCACCGTCAGTGTCTTCCCATGTTTTAGGTGTCCTGCGTAGAATGTAGTTTCAATTTCAATGTTACTCAATATCCACCATTGTTCAATGTAGACCAATATCGGTTGTAAGACCCAGTGGGACCCACAAGTACGGAAGATACTTCAAATCACATTTGGCGAGACTGCATTACAATAAATTTAATTATTTCTCCAGTTACCGGACCCGCTATACTGATTTCATTTTCCTCAACCCAATCGATTACTACAAGATATTCCAGTCAGACGCCCTCAGCTAAGAGAGTGGAGGGGGTTGCCTTGCCTCCGGGAGGCTTCGGATCCGAAGAAAAAAAGGGGGTGCTTCTATGCTACACGCCTGCCTCTGAAGGGTAGAAGCGCGTTCGTGACGCGACAGGACTGAGTCGCAAAGACCGGCTCAGACATAAAATGTTAAAAACTAAACGAGAATCGATCGAACGACCCCAGCAACGCCTTTACAACCCAGACAGACCACCACGGCACTTGATCTAATCGGGGTGATGCGACGGTTTTGAACCGCACTCGAAGAGTCAGTGAAAAAGCATTGAATAGGTGTTGGGGGTTGAACGCCGATCTCGAGAGTCCAGTCTAGACGCCTCTGCGAGCAGCCACGGCTCGCATGCGTAGACGCGTCGGGCCCCAAAGTGGAATCCGGGAATCGACTCCCCATATTTCACATCCTTTTCCGACTGGCAAACCTGAAGGAAAGAGAGGGGGGGCAGTACCCGACAGGGCAGAGGCGTCTGAACCTGACCATTGTGTTGCGATGATGGAATTCGCTAGGATGATGACTAGCTCGTGCAAATCTAAGGGACAACGACGTTGGCAGCAGCAGAGGACAGTAAGGCCTCATATCGCGCGAACACACGCAGACCGAAACCTCCGTCTCTCGAACCAACAACAAAGCAATGGAGATCTAAACGTGCCGCTGGGGATCTAAATTGGGTGATTGCTGCTGCGTCCGATCAGGTGTGCCCGAGTGGAATCCTAGAAAGCAGGCTTTAGTGGCATCACGCATGAGTCGGTAAGAGGGGGTGGAGGTAGGGAAAGGGGGAGAGGGGAGGTGCCAATTGGTGATCAAGCCCCACGCCGAGCCCACCGCGCCGCAGCGCGCCGCAGCGCGCCATGACGTCAGGGAAGTACTTCCGTTCCGGAACAGGCTCGGGTAAATATTGCTCAGCCACGCGTGTGCTAAATCTATCGCGAGACGAGATGGCAGTGTCCGAGGAAGACTGAGACGGTGCCAAACAATCCTTTAAAATACAATACAAGGCTCCACTGTGAGAAAAAAGTACGGAAAAAGTACGGAACATGTCTGGTCAATAATTTGCCTGGGACGTCCGTACTTGCCAACTACGGAACGTTCCGTACTTTTTTTCCGTACCCATACATGAGTTCATATGGAGTAAGTACGGAACGTTCCGTACTTTTCTCCGTACCTCCGTACTATATTTTTCTGTACCATTTCCGTACAAAAGTACGGAACCTTTTACAGTGTCCGGCTCCCACAGCATCCAGCATGACTGTGTACATTACATTCTAAAACGGACGTGAAGAGCTACAGAAGTTCTCAAACAGCTCTTCGCATGTTGCGGAAAGAAGGGCCGGCTGCCACGAGTTGCGCGAATGCGGTTTGAGACGGTTTGGGGGCTTCCCTCGTTCTTCGTGCTTCCGCATACCGTCACAGCGGAATACCGGAATACTACCTAATTGTCCAGGATCAATTCATAACAACCTAGACAAAGGCTGGAGAAACTTCCTCGTACACGCACACTTTTGCACGGTTCACACACACACTTTGGACGGACGGACGGACGGACGGACGGACTCAGCCCCGTCTCTCACACAAACCAAAACAAATGCTCACGTGAAAGTGATGGGTCGGCAGCATTGAGCACAATGGCCCTATCGTGACAAGAGCGCCTGGCTGGCCTGGGCCTGGCACGGCCTGGCGGGCTGCGGCGCGCGGCCACGGCGGCGGCGAGGGCCTGAATGACAACGCCCGAGGGGCTGAATGACCGAATGACTACGTGGAGGCAAGGGGTGACAGACTGTGGCAGCAAAGGGCTGCGACGCCGCGATGCGCCGTGGAAGAATCAGACATTTCCAGCCAGTTGCAGGTGTCTTGGCGGGCGAGTAGGCAACAAACCAACTTGCACGTAAATGAAACAATGATGAGTTAAAAACTAAAGGAAAGTGAGGGGTTGATGCCGTTGGCCTCGGCTTGCCATTGCGGCACCACACTGGAGTTCGGCAGGGCCGAGGCGCCACGGCCGGCCAGGGCCCACGGACCGGGCGGCGGCGCTTACCGCGAGCACTGCGTGGCACTGCGTGGCACTGCGTGGCACTGCGTGGCACTGCGCACTCCTTACGGCATGCTCGCCTATCCCATGTGACGCGCGGCCGTGCGGGCGCCCAACATAGCCTACACATCCTTGAGGGCTATTTCCGCGGATTAGTTCTTTGTTCCCGCTTCTCGGCCGTGCCGCGCCGTGCCGCGCCGTGCCGCGCTGTGCATGCTTTTGGCGACGTCGCGGGCCGCCCCGAACGCCCCGAACGCCGCCCTGCGCGACGAGGCGTGCCCCGGGGAGCCCCGGGCGTGCCCGCCACGCTATGTGTGTCACGTGGGCGCCAAGTAGAGCACGCCGAGCGGGCGGGCAGGCACGCAGCACGCCGCGGGGCGCTCGGCCCGGCTCGGCCCGGCCGGGGTGCCGGCCGGGGTGGTTAAAATAAATTGGCCGTTATTGTTTGGACTCCGTTTCCCAGCCGGCGTCGCGGTGCGTCGCGGTGCGTCGCGCGAGCCACGCGCCCCGTGGACAAAGGATAAGTTTCTGCCGCGGCCGCCGCGGCGTGACGTCCGTATCGAAAATACTCCGATTGCGCGCTAGGCCGTATTTCGGTCCCACAAAGGGAGGGTGCGGCCCGACGGCCGGCTGGGACCTGGCTGGGACGAGCAGACGGTGGAGCTGCCCTGTGACACAAGTGACACATAAGCCGTCTGATAGAAACGCCTACGCCCGGCGGTGGGAAGCCCTCGGGTAAAACAAAAACAAAACAATGCTTCGTTTTGTCAAGTCTTTTGAGCGTCTGACGGCGGCTCCGGCTTTTCCGCGCGCAGACTCCGCGGGCCGCCGCGACGACCACCACCTGGCCCAGCCCGGCGCAGCCCAGCCCGTGACGTCGCGGACGTGACGCGTGACGCGTGACTGACGTCACAGTGACATCAGCAGGTAAGTCCATCCTGGTTTAATTAGCACCTCGCCACCATGGTGCCTTCGCTCCCTCGCTCCTTCCTGCGGCGCTGTCCTGCCTGCCTGACATAGTCGCCGAGCAGCGACACCGTTTGCTCCGCGTGCTCCGTGATGCAGCGAAACGCGCGAGCGGCGTTGTGCAAACCGAGGCGCCGCCTGGCGCCGCCGAGACAGGGCCTTACTAAGGCCAGCAGTGTGAGGAGCAGGGCGTTGGTGACGACCGAGCGCGCGCCGCGTCCGTGCCGCGTCCGTGCCGCCCGCGCGACCTGGGAATTCCCTCCCCGGCCGACGGCCGTGCTGGAGCCTACTGGAGCCGCCGCCAGGCTGACTGCCTTTTCTCTCTCTCTCTTTCTCTCTCTCTCTCTAAGGGGTGCGAGAGAGACAGAACGGTGCAATCAGCCAGCAGGGGACCGAAGCACGCCCACGCCCCGCGCCGACCGGTCAGGACGAGGTCCAGGCGGACAGGCAGATACACGAAGGGAACGGCAGGGGTTGCAACGCGTGGCCCAGTTCGCTGGCCGTCACGTGTAAGGGCGAAAGTGCGAAAGTCAGGCAACCCATAGTGTGTAGCATATGCCGTTATGTCCAACGGCCGGTGGGTTGCCACTTGAGAAGTAGTAATCGCGATGCGCGACTTGTGTCACAGCGTCACGCCGGGCCGGCGGTGCCGCCTTGAGGTGCCGCGGTGCACGACCGGCGCCGGCGGCGGTGGGGATTGAAGGATGGAGCGGATGGAGCGGCCCCCGTTGCCCAGGTCTAGTTTCCCCGAGTTTCCCCCACCCCGTGGCAATAGCGCCGCCGGCCGAGATGGCGCGCGCACCCCCGCTCCGCGCACCCCCGCCCCGCACCCCCGCTCCGCGGCCCCACGGCCCCGCGGCCCCGCGCCACCTCGCCGCGCGGCCCGGTAATGACTAGGGTAAACACATGGCGCTTCTCATAAGCAGAATCCCCACGGCGCGGTGGTCACTGCCGCACGGCGATCCTGGCCGTCGCGACGCACCGCGACGCACGCACCCGGCGCACCTGCGGCAGCGACCCCGCGAGCGACGCCGACGACGACGACGACGACGGCGAGCACGGCGATAAGCGCGCAGCACTCCCAGCGCACTCCGAGCGCACCGATCACAGGGATGTCACTGTCACTCGGCAGGGCGGTCCGACGAGTTCGGCAACACCAGGACCTCGCCGGCATGGCGGCCTCCACGACCAGCACCAGCGCGCCGCGCACCGCGTCCCGCTGCGGCCCGCCCGGCACCTCCAGCTGCTGCAGCTGCTGCGCGCCGCGTCGGGCGGCCAGAGTGCGGGGTGAGTACGCCGACTGGCAAGCAGTCTGGAATAGTGTGGGCCTGCGAGGGTCGCGGACTGCGGCCGCCGCCAGGCTCGAAGGGAGGGAAACTCGAGAAACTCGTGCGTCCAGCCAACCGGGACGGCCTTCCATCTTCGCGAACCGCCAGCGCGCGCCAGCGCCGTCACGTGCCAGACCCTTCCAATTTCGAAACCATTAGGCCCTGAGGTTCTTAGGCGTCCTGAGGTCCTAGGGTCCTGAGGTCCCGAGGTCCTGAGGTCCGAAAGCGCTGAGGTCCTAAAGCGCTGAGGTCCTAAAGCTGAGGTCCTAAAGCGCTGAGGTCAAGTCCTAAGGGCCTGAAGTCCTGGGGTCCTGAGCAGTCCTGAGTTTCTGAGGTCACTGCAAGTGGTCTGCCCTCGGGTCTGCCACTTCTTGCACTCATTGAACGCGTCCAGCTGAAACTCACCATCACTCACTTAGATTTTCGCCAAAAAACGCCTGTGTAGACAATTTGTGAGACTGTCGCACTCAATGTATAATTTAAGTCAGTGGCAGATCTCTTGGGTCACAGCAAAGCCGTTGGCAAGTTCGCTTGCCACAAAATTGGCAATATCCGTTTTGAATGCCAAATATTGGCAAGCCTTGTTCTGAAGTGCTACTTCCTAGCTTGTCAAAATTTTGCATTCTAGGCGGCCGCCGGAGCGCCATATATTGGCATGGTAATCAAGATTCCGGGTCAAGGCTTGCCAATTTTGCGGCATCAAATTGCCAACGCGTTTTCTGATGGCCAATAGGTCATAGGCTTAGTTCTTGAGGTCCTGATAGCCTGCTTGCACAATTTTGCAAGGCGGCACCAACTGGTAAATTTTGTCAGTTATTCAAGATTCAGGGTCACAGGCTTGCAATTTTGCCAGTCAACTTGCAACGTTTTTACTGTTCCTTGAGTATAGTCTTAGTTCTTGAGTCTATTTCCAGCGTGTAAATTCTGTGATTCCAGGAGAAGCGCACCAAATTGCAAGTTTGGTTTCCACACTCGGCGTCAAGGCGTTCCATTTGTCGAAAGTAGAAGTGCAAATTTGTCCGAGGCAGCGTGGTCCCAGCCTTGTGGCTGCGCACAGAGCAAGGGGCACACAACTTCGGTAAATTTTGTACACCGTTATTTCAAATTCAAGTTGTTTCACGTTATTTCTCGTTACTTCAACGTTATTTTACGTTACTTCGACGTCTACGACGTTATTTCAGCGTTATTCCTCGTGATTCCACGGAAAACGCGCACCAAAATTCAAGTTTGTTTCCCCTCGGCGCAGAGGTATCCATTTGTACGAAAACGATAGAAGTGAAAAGCCGACGGCCGCGTGGCCCATGCCTTGTCGGCGTGCCCGACGCACTCGACTTACGGTGACGTCGCCAATCGGCAACAACAGAGCTTGCAGTGGGCGAGTGGGTGAGTGGATCCAAACTAGGCGACTCACTGCTGCGGCCCAGTCATCTTGCATTTAATCTCGTGCAGGATATAACACCTGAACGGTTAACGGCACTCGTCGATCCGGCCGCCCTAGTTGCAAATGCACAAACACTTTTCGGAAATGAACGTCTTCACGCGCTTCAGCAGTGAGTGGACTGACACCGTTCCAGATACAAGTGCCCGCGAAAAATGTCCACTCATTAAGTACCATTCTCGAGTGTTCGGTGGAGGGCCAGGGCCCACGCGCTGCCCACTGTCTTTCAGAGGCCCTAAACCGAGGGGCAACCACTTATGACTTATCTTCAAAGGAAGGGAGATTTCGCAAGAATTCGCGTCAGATTTCGTCCACTCAAAGTGTACTCAGCATTTCGCGAGTGGTTTGCTTTCTCGCCCTTAAACGCCTAGTCATGTGGCGCCCAGCCCCCAGCTCTCGGGCAGCTATGGCGCAAACCAACCCCCTAGGCGAACGGCCGCCGCACCCCCACTGTGACCCCGCCCCTCCTCGCACCCCCAACTGCAGCCCCGCGACACCCCCCGCGCTGCGTCGCCAAAGACCCTCTCAGCAGTGCAGGCCCAGGGCGGCCCAGGGCGGCCGTGCAACTCGGCTCCCCTCGGTCTTGGTACAATCCCGAGCACCTGTTCCCGCTGTCCCGCTATTTCGGGCGTCCGGTTTGCAGGCTGATTGGCCTAATGCGAACGTAATGAACGCAACGTTCCTTATCGCCGTAATCTACAATATCGCGCCTCGCCCCGCCCCGCCCCGCCTCGCCCCGCCCCCGCGGACCGGCGTCATCCAAACACTTCTTATCCAGGAAGAATTGCAACACGGTTTTGGAGCAGCAACGATGACTTCAAAACAGGCGCGGGTCCTGGATTTTCGGCAGGAGGGAGTAAAGCAGTGCGTGTTGCCTACTTGAGTGGTGATTGCTGCCTACCTTACATTACCGTTACCATTACCATTAAGGGCTAGACCACACATGATCGTATGCCATGGCGGCCTTCCTAGTACAGAAGGGTACCCGCAATACCCCTCCCCTTAATCCGCGCCTGCAACAAAAAGACCGGAAAGTTTGTGGTCGCAAATGATTTGCTGGACCAGAAGGCGGTCTTTGGGTCGAACGAATACAAACGAAAGAATATTTCATCGATTTGAAAGATTTCCGGCGTATCATCAGCGTAAAATTTAAAAAGAAACGGTTGAAAAGAATTGGTATGGGGGTCACGCGTTCGGTTCGAGTCCTGTTTAGCGACTCTGGAGCTCAAAACGCGTCTAGGATTATGGCCGCCTCCACCGGTCTTCTGGCCCGCTGTGTTTTGGTGTGAGGTAATGGCACGGCGCGCCCCGCCCCGCCACGGTAAATGACCTAACCGGCATAGCCGAGGGCATAGCGGACGCATAGCGGCGGCTATGTATAGTGCGGTAGGTTTCTGGCGGCCGGGGCCGCGGGCAGCCGGGGGATGACGGCCAGGCCAATCCGCGGAGACACCGCCCCTCGCTCTGTCTCTCTCGCACCCCCACGCGACGCTCCGTGAGTGCGAGAGAGGGCCAGGAAGACGAAGGCACTGTTCGAGCTGCAGTTGCACGGTTGCACTCGGTACCGCGACGCTCATCCCGGTCCCTGTTGTCATTTCCAGATAAGCCACGAGTGCTGCTGCTGGTGGCGCTGGGGCTGCTGTCCCAGGTCACCGCCGGCGTGGCCTTCCTGTCCGAGATGGAGACGCTGTACCACCTCGGCGTCCACGGCGGCCCCGCCGGCTCCAACTCGCTGCGCGTGCACCGCGGTGGCGGCGCCTGGCGGCGGAGGGGCGACGCGCCGCTCCGGATCATCGGCGACCTGGACCTGGCCAACGTAAGCCAAAGGGGCGATGGGCCGCGCAGGGGCCGCAGGTCGGCCGCAGGGGCCAAAAGACAAAGCGGACAAGTCTATATCCGGCCCATTACGGCCCCGACTATTACGTCGTTATTTCTGGACGCGTAATAATATTACGCGGGAGGCGCGCAAGAATAGGAGCGGTCGCTGTCATGGGGACACCGCGGACGCTCTCCACTCGGCCCGCCGGCCTCGTCGGCCCCCGGGGCCAGCGTGCATGCAGAGACGCGCCCACCGCCCGCGCCCCTGCTCCTTCCCCAACACCATGTACGGTGTGACTTTTACAGTGATCATATCGAATCACCCCAAAAAAAGTTTATCAGAAAATGGCGCCAAAATTTGTTTTCATTTTCTGGGCAAGGGCTCAATGTGCGCGAGTTAGTCGGGGGCCTCGTCTTCTCTAGGCTTTCTAGGGCATGGGCCTTGCCACCAGCAGTGTGTGCGCCGCCCGCCGCCCTGCCTGCGCCAGACTACGCCCCTGCCAGTGTACTGCCAGGCACTGCCAGGCACTGCCAGGCCACACAAAGCACGCACGTCTTGGAGTGGTCCAGCTAGCGGAGCTCCGCGCTCCTCCCGCCGACTGTGTGTAACAATGAACGCCTTATTTTCTCGCTGCCCCGCTTTCCATGTTCTTCGCAGTTCTTCGCGTCGATTGCGTAACCCTTGCCACGGCCTGGCCGATGCACACCCCGCCGGAGGGGGAATGACCCCGCCCTGCCCCGCCCTGCCCCGCCGCGACGACCAGTGCCGACACCGCCGACACTCCTGCGCCCCACAGTGGGCCAGAAGACCGGTGGAGGCGACCAAAATTCTTCGACGCGTTTTGAGCCCCAGAGTAGCTGAACAGGACTCGAGGCGAGGCGAACGTGTGACCCCACCAACGCGTTGCTCCCCGAGCGGAGAATCTATTGGTGGGGTCACACGTTCGATTCGGTTAGCGACTTTGGAGGTCAAAACGCTTCGAGAATTTTGTCCGCCTCCACCGGCTTTCTGGCCCACTGTGAGCCCTGCGGCCAACTCCTTAGCATTAGGCGGAATTTCGGAGTTTTTGACGGGTGTTGTTGTCCTTCCGCAGCTGCCCGTGCGTCTCCTCGGCCCAACGGGCCCCAGCGTCGTCACCACCGTGGAAACCCTCGAACGGTTCAACGAGGAGCCGGCCGTCGAAGACCGGCCCCAGGACCGTGCCGAGGAGCACACCGATGACGAGCACCGGGACGCGGCCGAGCCCGCGGGCGACAGCAACCAACTGGAGTTCGAGCAGCGCATCAAGAAGAATTACGCCGGTGAGGGGGACGCCGAGTATGAAGATGACGACGACGAGGAGTACGAGGACGGCGTCCTGGTGCCCGGCTCGCTGTCCCAGGGCAAGGCGACGGCACCCTTCTGGCACTGGCCCTGCGGACGCAGCGTGGACCTGGTGGTGGCGCCGGCGGGCAGGTCGCGCGCCAGGGGCCCGCCGGGCCACCGCAGGCCCAAGAGCGTGGGCAGGAGGATCAACGACGCCCTGGAGAAGGTCTGGAGGCAGCTCAACATGACCGTGCTGCACTACCGGCTGCAGCGCTTCGACAAGCTGTACTACCAGGTGAGGCGACATGACATGTAGTGGAGTAGTAGTTATAGTTTCACTTGGACCAGATGGAAGCGCGCATCCGGCGAGGCTGGCCTTCCAAGGCCGTGTTCTGCCGCCTGCCTTCTCGATGCGTTCGAGGACTCGTTCGAGTACTAGTGTACCGGATCGAATCCTGGCGGCCGGTATCTTCTTTATGAAAAGATGCCATTTTATCTGTATTTATCTATCCGTACATTGTCCACCGTCAGCGCCCCGCAGTCGCCCCACCTCGACAGGCTGGACAGGCGCGTTGCGCGCGTTGCGTCAGTTTGGCGAAACCGGCGCCAACGGTGGTTTTAGTTTTATCAGGGGCTCTCCACATTTGACGCCAGTCTCGTCACCGGGCTCACCGCCGCTTGCTTTGTAATGCCCACAGGTGGTGATCGGGGTCAACGAGGACCACTACATCCCCAGCTGGGTGCCGGACAAGGGGGACCTCCCCAAGCTCAGGCTGGACGACATCCGGTCGAGCCAGAAGGTGCGTACGGACGACGGCAACAACAAACTTACATACTACTGTAAAAACTTGCTCGAAACTAATCTGAAACGTGTCGATGCAGCTGGCCCACGAGTTGACCCGCATGCACACTCAGCTGCAGAAGTTTTCCGTCGCCCTGGAGCAGATGTCGGAGGACAACCGCAGGGACGACCCGCTGCGGCACGGCGCCCTGTCCAAGACCAAGAACTATGTCAAGATGGTTAGTAGGCGAGGAGAGTGGTGGGCCACGCGGCCGCGCCACACTTGAGCTTCACTCGTAGAGGTTAAGCCCCTACTTGGTACATTCTTCAATAGCCTAACAGTGATGGGGTAATGACGGTATTTGAACCCTGGACCTTGAACCTGCCGCAGCTGCTCTGCGAGGTGGAGTGGGCGCTGCTCTCGCTGGCCATCCCGCTGCCCACCGCCGTGCCCCGCGACATCATGTCTTCGGCGGAGCGCAACATCACGGACAACACGAACCGCGCGATCCGCGACTGGGGCGTGCTCATCAAGTACCGCGACTTCCTGCACGGCTGGGCCGACATCGTGGCGCAGGCGGGCCGCGAACGCGCGCAAGCCGAGGCCGCCGAGGCCTCCGACGCGGAGGGGCGCGCCGGCCACGTCGGCAGTCCCGGCAGCCCTGCGGCCGCGTCCGCGGCGGACGATGCTGGGTCGCAGGGGGGCGTCGGCGGGAGGGAGCGCCGCGGCGTCGGCGGGCGGGAGGCCACCGTCCACGATGTCCGGGTCTCTTAGCGCGGCGCCGCGGTAGTCGAGTGTAGCGCTCTATCTCTGTCGCACTCTAGCGGTGAGTGGCGAGCATTGACCTTCATGTAAAGGAAGACCAAGCAAGCTATTGCAATATCGCGTCTCGTTGCCCTCGCAGCGGGTGCCGTTCTCTTTGCCGCACTACTTGACCACCGCGGCAAAGTAGAACTGCACCCGTCAAAAGTCCTACGGCGAATGCGGTTGTATAGTGAGCGTACTTTGCAACAAAATTTTCCCATAATACGAATTGTTTTCAAATTTTCGCTTGAGAAACATTGGTGCTTCACGGAAAGCAATGCCGTTTTCACCATCCCAAAGAACACGAAACAGTCACGGTGACATCAAAAGGACATCATTTTGATGGTTTTTTCGTCAAGGTGTGACTCGAATGACTGCGTGTGACTTCTTAGTGACTTCAAGAATCAGCCTTGACCGACGCGTGACATGATTGTGACATAGACGTTTAAGTACTGAGAAAAACATTTGCAACTAGATAGGAGTCCATATAGAGTTAGAAAGTAGATCTTCAGTACCATTCTCGCATAAAGACGATAGTGTGTCGCATGTCAGCGAGTCAAACGTTCGGGCCAACGTGCCGCTACCTGCCGGCTCAGGTGGCGGCGGATCATAAGGCTGGCTCGCAGAAGCTTTTGCAGGAAGTTTTGAGCCCCCGCGGCGTCTAGAATGCTAAGGCGGTTGTGCCAAGTAGGCAGAATGCCGTCTCATATGCGCGGCATGCCAGACGATAGTCGGAAGTATTCTTTCTCTCGTGCGTCACACTCTAGCTGAGGTGAGTGCGCGACGCATGTGCTTCATGCTCCAAAGAGGAATTGAACCAGCAATGTTTGCAATGATGCGTCCTCGTAGTGACTCGAATCGTGCCTTACTCTTTGCCGCCATGGAGCCTCCGCGGAAATGTTGAATCAGTAAAAGTCAAGGCAATGCGTTTGATAGTGGCACTTTGCCAAAATTTCAGCATAATACAATTGTCTTTGAATTTTCGCTGTGAGCTAACATTGGTGCTCACCGTGAGCACGTGACTTTTCGTTTTGCGATAGTACGATCAATTCTTATGCATTTTGATTGTAAGACGTTCTGAGTGCGGACTGATTCGAGTCCTGTGGACTCCTGACCAATGCACTCAATGCCCAACGCGCTCATCATGGCTGCGCGCTGCGCCAAAGTCAGTGGGGTGTCCAGCTCTGTGGAGCACGCAAGTCAAGGATCCGTTTTTGATGGCCTACTAATCTGTCTGCGCAAAGGCATGCACACTAATTCTCAACGCCACGTTGACTTCTGTGCTCCACATGAGACGTGTGCCGCACCTGGGAACATATCTAGTCATTATTGGAAGTAGTGCAATTTTACTTGTATTTTTATTTAATTGTAATGAGTCTCATTTCATCGAGAGTTTTATCCTGTAGTATTCCTTGCATGCTGTAGTAAATTACGCTTTCAATTTTTTAGTGATGGAAAACAAAGGAAAGGACGGCCCCAGCTAGGAATGGCCAACTGACTATTTTGACCCCAAAGCCAAAATTTTACATAGAACCATCTCGATGTCAATTTGATCAACCAAAGTCTGGCTAGGGCAGCCATCCACGGGGCATGGCAAAAGTTTTTCATGACAGATCTCCTGAATGCGTGGGTGTGGTTATAGTGTAAGTCAATATCATCTGTTGTTCACCATGATCATCGTTTTGTCGCACATTATTTATTCCATTTATTTTATGTCGATTTAAAAGAAAATTTACGTGTGTGTATTTATTTCCAGATTAATTTATATATTTATTTTAAGTTACTTCTAGAAAGGCAGTCAGTTTAGTTTCGTACTTTAGTTTCCGTACTTAATTCTATGGCGGAGTCTGCCCCTTTTCAAAATTATCAAACATTGAGAACGTTGTGAATGTTACAGTAAAACACATCCAGAATTTAATTTGTTCGTATCGATTCAATTCCGAGATGCTAGAGTTTTCAGTTCGCCTGACGAATGGGTGGCCTACCCGCAAGGCGCTCGGTCTCCCGCCTCCCGTACGCCACCGCCTGCCCCGACTCGCATAGGCAACTCATTCAACACTAAGTTCTCCGGGTCCAACGTCTACTATTTATTTTTCAATAAGAACATTGTTTTAATTGTTATTTATGTAAATTTGTGTAAAATTGGTTGCTAAAGGATGGCTGCAGGAGAGGAACCTGCTGCGTATTAGATGGCAGTTATTGTGTGAGAGATTTGCCAACACAAGCTTGATTGCTGTACGCTTTGCAGCTAGAGAAACTTGAGGAGTCGTGGAAATGGAGAGTAAATAAAGGCCTGAGGGCAAATTGGAATATTGTGGTTTATTGTAAAATAGCTTTGTCCTTCTCACACCTGGACAATAACAACAACTATATTAAAAACCCAACACATGGGATAACAAAGTTTTTTTTCCAATGCAATATACAGCACAAGATAAAAGAAGGAAAGTAGCTTTTCCTTTAACCCATATCAGGGTTAGACATGAATAATCACATAAGTATTGCACTTAATGTTTACCTCATAAAAATTAGGTATGTAGGCAACTGCTTGATCTTAGGCTTAAGCTTTACAAAACAATAAATAAATACAACTTCAAAAAGCCATTGATGCAATAATCAGTTACACACCAGACTTACAGCACCAATCAAAAAACTGTACTCTTTTCCAAATGGTATATTGACTGGTAAAAGATGAGAAGGCCAGAATAAAATACCAGCCAAATTCTGATCCTTGCCAGGGCCAGGTTTGATCTCAGTTATGGCAAATGGATTGTATATGAGCAATGAAAGTAACAACAGTGAGAATGCTCTGATAAAATTAATATTTCCTAAGAAATGCAACTCTATCTAGTAGCCACTTGAATCAGACAGTACTAATAATTACAAAAAAAAAATCCCGGTCAATTACAAGGTCCCATTGAGAATGAAACAAAAATATGAAATAATAAAAATATTTTATAGCACTTTCTACAGTCTCATGAATAACAGACAAAATTGGAATAAACAAAAAGGTCGGCAACATCAACTGGGCACTCCAATACAGAGCTCAAGAATCACAGCTTAAAACATGACAAACATTTTCGATATGTTTTAGGGTTCAACAGACTCCTGTGTAAATAAAATTAGGCTAAGATGATAAGGTCTGACCATGATGAAGTTTCTAAGCACATTTCTAACTTTCTAACAATATACACATCATTATAATAACTACATTGTGCACATGCACAGGGTCCTTTGTTCTTCTCATCAAGTAAATTCAACAGCTACATGGCACTCAAGACAGTGGAATCAATCAAAGTTACATTGTTTGACAAAGAAATCTAGAAATAGATGGGTAGCCATGATTTGGTCTCGGTGACAAGAAAATTCAACATCCTCCACTTCACAACATATAGTTTCCTATATAGAAATATTCACTAAAGTAAAGCATATTCCAAACACCATCTGGCCAGCAATATGACCTTTGATAGAGAACTTTGGTACAGAGCCTGCAAAAGAATACAAGCTGCAATGAACATTTGAAACCACATTCATAATATTAACAATATTACGACCCATTTTGTTTAGAAGTATATAACATAAGACACATTCAATAATGTCACATTTAAAAGACAACCGATTTCAACCTGCATGTCTGAACATTCTTCCCTTACTATGAGATAAACAAGTTATTATATTTTGAGGCAAAACTATTGGACGATTTGGGAATGAAAGATCACTTGAATTGGTAATCATCTTAATCCTTTCTTTTTTAGTTTAATCACACAATTTCAACTATCAACTTTAAAGAGCATCTCTCCTATTTTACCTATAAAATTATAGTCAGTCTTTCAGCTTTCAAGTCATAAATTAAACCTCTTGCCAGCAAGAAGTAAAAAAATCTTTTGAGCTGAAATAAAAACCCTAACCTTTGACTCAAGAGTGGCAAAATATTGTGCAGAGAAGAAACATTCTAAGAAGACTTCTGGAGGGAAAGAAAGGTTTTCAAGATGACCACACAAGCAAACCGTGTTTGATGATGTCCAGAACTGTAATCTACTCTGCCCTATGTACCTGATCAAAGTAAGTACAAAGGGAACAAATACACATGTTACTGACTTTTAACAAACACTTAAAAATGCTCTATTTTGTGCCAAACAAGATTAAAATACTGGTACTGATCACAATCAAAGTTACACACATTGCAATGCTTTTGGCTGAAGGGGTAGCTTCAGAACTACTCACATCCAGTCAGAATTAAATCAACTTTTAACATTGTAGGAGAGAGGAAACATAGTCATAATTAAAATTTGTAACAGGTAACAGCTTTAAAGAAACTTATACATAAGTTCATCTATTTGTTAAGTCCTCAGAAATTACAAACTCTTTCAATCCAAACTCCTTACAAGACATAAACGAACTGTACCAAATTTACACTTTATACAATTTAATTTACAGTGATAATATCCACACATGTGACATGGCAAACCAACCAAAAACAAGCAAAAATAAAAGAAACTTAGAGCAATGTAATGGCACAGAGTCCATTTGCACTAACATAAAATTACCTCACTTAAGAACGAAATTATTTGCTTTTCTCCCAATGAATAAATCAAAACTGACATTTTTACAAGAAGTGCTCAAAAACAATGACAAAAGGACTATTATAAATAAGGTCGAGGGGCAGAAAAAAAATGGAGGAGTTGACAAGAATGCAGGGCAGTTGAGAGATCTATAATGGAAATTCATCTAGTTCCTGGTGGAATCGCTGATCAGGACAACTACAATCGAGGGAGTGGAGAACATTGACATATATTCTCTTTAATTCGAAGGTGCAAATGTGAAGAACCACGCTATGTATTCTCATCCGGTTTAAATTTGTTTTGATACCAATCAGTTGAAAGATAAGAAAATGAAAGAAACTGAAAATGTAACCAAATTTGTGCCCAACCTTAATTTGTAAAACACACAAAGCACTTCTTTTAATAATAATAATGAAATAATTTAATTATCAACTGCATTGCAGAAGAGAGATATCCCTGTCTCCTGCTTCATGACAAAAGCAATACAACCCATGCTTCCCTGTTCTCAAGAGAGGACAAGAGGAACTCGAATTCACTTTCTTGAAATCCACAGAAGGCAGGTACACAAAATGAGGAATGTGCTTAGGTATGAAGCCAGGGAACACTTGGGCAACTTCAGCTGAGGAAGCCATTGAAGCCAAGTAAACATCCAACTGCACCAAAGTAGCCCTACGTGCCAAAGAAAGAAAAAAAAAAGAAAATTAATTTGTTGACATTGGTAATTAATTAAAAGCAGCAAAATTACGGCACTTACCTCATGTTCAAGGAACAGGGCTTTTAGGGTTCCATTGGACCAGTACTCCATTGCATGAGCCAAGAGCTTTAGGGAGATAGGGTTTACTCGTAAAAAGTTACCGACAAAGACCACCTGGAAGCCAATCAGGAGGTAGATAAGACCATAGAGAGACCACAAACAATGATATTGGATATCTCTTTGCCATTCCACTTACATTGTGAATCTTTTCATTGGACGCACACATTCTTGCTATTGAACCAATGTTGTTGGTGATGGTGACTAGAGTCGCCCTGGCGAGGTCCTCTCGAGATACATTGGCACGTCTTTCCTTGGTATTCATCTGGCCAAAGCTGCACATACCCATAAAACTTCAATTCGACTATAAGTATTTGTTCGCAACTTAATATGGCATTACGACAAGCATACAGGCAAGGAAACAAAAGTACACAAATGGCTTGGTAACCTGCAGATGGGAATTAGCATTTTTTTTTCTATAAAGGGTCTAATAGAGGCCAGTAAGGGCGAGGGTCAGAAAAGTTGTCTCACCTGCTTGCAACAAGATCTCCAGGCAAACCCATTTTTCCGTAGTCGCCTCCATAAATATCTCGCACAAGTTTGTCCACTTTTGTGTTATCACCTCCAGTAGCTAACTCAATGGCTTCCTCAAAAGTATTGCATCCAGTAAGAAGGCAGCATAAACCAAGGAAGGTACCACCGCCAAGGCTAAAATTGAATTTTAAAAATTAAAACTAAGGGACTGGAAAAATTAGATGCAAAGTAAAACCAATTGATATAATGTCTTTTACTGTCAATACCTTGTTCCAGTTATTCTTTTGTATTTATTTGGTCCGTGCACAGCCAACACACTTACGCCAGATCCAATGTTGACAAGCTAAGAAAGTCAAAACAATAAATATTACAAACAAATCAATTCAGAGTACAGTAAGTAAGTTTCAGCTAGAACTTACCAAGAAAGGATAAGGGTTCGATAGATCATAGGGAACTTTTTGACAGTGGTCATCTGATGTCGGATCAGCAAAATAGTAGCACTCGGTGGGGTTATTTGTTTCAATGTACAGTATACCTCTTATAAGGGAATCCAATTCATCAAATTTCATGAGTTTCATGTTGACTTCCTGCAACATTTTTTGCATTTAGAACATAGGAAAAAGTTGAAGACTAAACAAACATAGTTAAATTTAAAGCATATGTACCCTCTGAAATGAGTCTTCAAACTTGAACGCGCCACCTCCAGTAGCACACACTGTAGTTACGAGAGTAGCCATGCCCTTTGATTTGGCAAGTTCCAAGAAATTACCCATTTCACTTGTTGGGAAACGTATAAAATGAAGTGTGCCTTTCCTTCCTCTCACCTCAACATTGTCCATCTGTAACAAAATGTCTATTATTATGATTACAGGGGGGAGGGTGGGACGACTTTAATTGCTGTTCATGATAAATCTGCTTCATCTCACCTGCAAGTGCATGTCTCTGTGACCTGTTTTGCCATAGGCGGAGTTTTTAGTTAAGTACCTTCTAATGTTTTTTAGAGTTTCAATTTCTGAGTTTGCTTCATCAGGTGTGATGTCTTTGGGTTCAAAGTAGACCAACTTTGCTAGGGTGCCACCAATATCCATTCCAAACCATGGCATAGCTGTGAATGGGGAAAAAGAATTAATAAAATATTTGAGGATTCCTTCACCAAACCTTTTAAAATGTGTCATGACACGAATTTGATAGTATTCCAACATAAATTACTTTTGCCAGAGGTAATGGAAAGACATAAGTAAATACACATGTGCACAAGGCATGCTCATAAGGTCAACTTTTATAATACACTTAAAAACACATGGCATTGGACAGTCTCCACAAGACGAGTACAAAATATTTTTCTCACACAAACAAAATATGATTAAGCATAAGCTGAAGAACTGTCACCGCAACCAAGTAGCCTCTCAGCAAATGTTCTTGCTTTTTAATGTTGACATCATTACACTCATCAGATGAGCCAAACACAACAACAAAAACATCATGTCAGTGCAACTTGTTAATCCCTGAAAGAGGCGATCAAGCTATGAATGGCACAGCACTAGATGTCAGCAGCTCACCAATTGGATTAGACCCAGACTTTGGGACACTGAAGAAACTGAATGGCAAGCAGAACCAGGCCTGGTCGACTTTACAATCCACCTCACCGCATGCTTCCGCACCGCACACAGCCTGACAGCACCACTCAACCCCATTTGCATTCATGAATGACACATTTCCTGCGATGGAAAAATAGACAGACGGGAGGCAGCACACACAGATATGATCCACTGACTTGTCTCTGTAAGAATCTCAACAACAAAAGCATCGTTTCTCACATTACAGTGATGACACAAAATGAAGAGGGGAAAACTGCAAAGGAATGAAACAATTTCAGATCAGACAAGCGTTTCAATGAATTAAAATTTAATCCCTTTATTTGCATTGAAATTTGTTGTTTTAAACTGTGGGAAAAAATCTTGCTAACTGCAAAACGCTGCTAACTTTTGAGTACATGTGATTACAAAAGGATGATTCTGACTGTATCATCTGTTAAGAAAAGGAGCTTCTGCTCTCTGTATGGTTCCGAAAGTGGTACAACTCTTTCAAAACACCCCAAGATATTGAAAGTGTGCAGCCTTTCTAAAAGGGGAAGACACTGCCTGCCCCTCGCAGCCTCGCAGGCGCACTGCATGCTGCCAACCTGGCGCCAAACTTAGGGGCTGCCTAGCACTGGCGCCACTGGCACCAATCGTATCAGACATGCGAGACAAAACGGGAAAGCCGCTCGGGGAGTAGGCATGCACTCGCTCCGGCCCTGCGCCACCCTGTGCCCTGCACAACAAGCCCCTCTCCAGCGTCCTCTCCTCTCCTCTCCTCTCACGGCGGGACTCACACATGACTTGTCGCTCGCGGTCGAGGGCTGCGTTCCTAGAGACAGACGAGGGCCTTTCGTACGGCTTGCAGCGCTTGGCACGCTTGACTGCAAACACCACAGAATCCATCAACAACATGACGCGTCGCTCCGCTGGAAGGAAACAGGGGAACACCGGCACGGCGAGCGCGGAGCGCGGCCCAGACCAATCCACACTGGACCCACACTGGACGCCGCCCTGTCACGGCCGTCGTCGCCCGTCGTACTTACAGGGGACTTCCCTGCCCGGGCCGCTCGGGCCGCCGCCGCCGGGCGCCTGGGGGCCGTCGGGGCCGCCGTTGTGCAGCTGGGCCATGTCGGCCATGTCGTCGCCGAAGCCGGGGAAGCCGGAGCTGGACGAGGAGCGGCCTGCCTGCCCGCCGGACATGATGCGCCCGCTGAGGCAGTCCTTACAACGGTGCGTGGCGTGCGGGCCCATGGCCCAGACCTGCCAAAGCACAAAAGCACGCGCCAGGTTACAACAGTGCACAGTGTAGGCGCATGTGGGCGCAGGCGGCAAGGCCGTGTATCGGGTACCCGCTGCCGCCCGCTGCAATCTCATCACCATTCAATGGCAGTCGAAAAAGAGGGGGGAGGGGATTCCGACCAACATCCGATCCGCAGATAGTAGTGTGGCATAGAAAAACGACAGTGCTAGCGACAGCGACGACACTCCGAGCTCCTCGCCGGGCGACTCTGATGAGTCGTTTGGCCGCTCTGTCGCTAGTCTGCTGACTCTAGTCTCTGCGGGCGATGCTCGGCGATGCTCGGCGATGCCGGGCAAGGCCGGGTCAGCCCGCCAGGCCGAGGGTAGGCAGCCCGCAACACGCCGCCGCGCACGGGTTGCGTCGGGACGCGTTGGGGGGCTCGGGGCATCCATTCCATCCATTCAGATTGGGTGCCCACATCTCGCAAACGTAAAAATAGCTGCACATGACGACTTAAACTCAAAATTAAATTTAGAATTTTAGTTACGATATGCACAACTTTTCGATCTCGAGCGGCTAGTGAAAAATCCAAACCGCGGAAAAGTGTCGAGGTCTTACGCCCTGCATACGGAAACTGCGGCGGGCGGCCGGGCGGCGTTTCTGGAGAAAAGGGAAAACTGAGGCGACGACGCAACGCAAACACAGGGCGGGTGACGTGTGACGTGACGCTTGGGTGCAACATTCCAGACGGGCGGGCCGCGGGCCGCGGGCCGGGCTTGGGTCGGCCAGGCAGAGCCAGGGCGGCGAGAGGTGTCAACATGCGGCGTGGCGTGGCGGCGGCGTGGCGGCACAGCGAGAAAAACACGGATCAACGACGCGGCCTGGAATGCCAGTTACGGAGGCTGCGATTGCTCGTCGGGGCAGGAAAAAAAAAAGAAATAAAAATAGCCGCCAAACCACTGCACTGTACTGTACCTCGCCGCGGCAATCCATTATCGCGCCAATTTCGCCCACAACGCCACGCCACCTCTGACCCGCCCCCGCCGCGGCCCGCCAGCCCGCCGGCGTGACCGGTGGATGCCTCCGCGCCGCCCCGCGCCTCAGCCAGCGACCGGGCGCGTGGCGAGCCATCGCGGCGCGCATCGCGGCCAGTGGCGGGGCGGCCGAGCGTCACGCCGATAATGCGACTGACTGTACAGAGTACAGGCCGTACAGGCGATACTGCACCGGTGCGGTTCGGCATTAGAATAGGGAGGCCGGGTCAGCGGTGCGTCGTCTGCCAAGCGTCGTCTGCCAAGCGTCGTCTGCCATGCGTCGTCTGCCATGCGTCGTCTGCCATGCGTCGTCTGCCAAGCGTCGTCTGCCAAGCGTCGTCTGCCATGCGTCGTCTGCCAAGCGTCGTCTGCCATGCGTCGTCTGCCAAGCGTCGTCTGCCAAGCGTCGTCTGCCAAGCGTCGTCTGCCAAGCGTCGTCTGCCAAGCGTCGTCTGCCAAGCGTCGTCTGCCATGCGTCGTCTGCCAAGAGTCGTCTGCCAAGCGTCGTCTGCCATGCGTCGTCTGTCAAGCGTCGTCTGCCAAGCGTCGTCTGCCATGCGTCGTCTGCCAAGCGTCGTCTGTCAAGCGTCGTCTGCCAAGCGTCGTCTGCCATGCGTCGTCTGCCAAGCGTCGTCTACCTAGCTCACAGTAAAGCCAAAACAGGCGAAAATTTCTCAAGATGCACCATTGTTGAAAGGGTTGCGAACCTCAGCCTGCGTACGCAACTCTTCGAGAGCAAAGCCCAGTTTTTTGCTGGTGGACAGGCTGAGCTTGGCAGCCCTTTCTGCACAGGTGCATCGTTAGGATCGCGGCAATTTTCGCCTCCTTGTGTGGCAACACTGACCTAGGACCTTGCGTCGTCTGCTGGAGAGCGATTACCGCGCGGAGGAGCGAAACCACGACCACAAGGGCGAAGGCTGGCGACGCCAAAGAACGGAAGCAAAGCGCAGCAAAGCGTGTCAAGGCACGGCGGCGACTTATCGAAAGCGGCCGGGCCGCAAACACCAGGAATCGGGCAGACGAGCACCAGAATATGAGAAATTATGCTGCAGAGCTTCAGAGGGCCTTTAGGACCCTACAGAGCGTGAGCAATCCGTTCAAACTTTTTAATTCTTTCATATTTTGCTGCTCGTTTGTTCGTAGGCAGACACTCGCGGCGATCGAGCCCGGCGGCTCGACAGGGGCTGCGGGCACTGCGACGCGCCAGCAGCCGAGCCATTCAGAAGAGTCACTCTGTCTCTGATGGCTGGACGGACCGGGACGGGACGGACGCCCAAAGATGGAGGAGAACAAATAGGTGCGAGATACGCGTGGCGTTCTATAGCAGGGTCACGTCGTTTAGCCTTGCCAGCCTTGCCCAGAGGCAGCCGAGCGGCCGAGGAGGCCTCGGAGGGGGCCCACACGTGGGGACGCAGCGAACGCAGCGCGGGAACCTGAAGCGTCCACGAGGGGGCCGAGGTCCGCGACGACATGTCGTTGCAAGGAGGAGGGGGAGGCGAGGGAGGCACGCCGTCGCACCTATCGCGTCACATCGCATGAAAATTCATCGCCCCTTCCGCGCCGCGCGCCGCGTCGCCAGTTGGATCGAAAACGGTTCGGGAAACCGACCAAACGCCAAACGCCAAACGCGCGAACTCCGCTCCGCGCCACTGTGGGCACGGCATGCCCCTCCGCACTCCACGACTCCACCTAGGGACCCCGCCGCGGCACAGTGGGCCAGAAGACCGGAGGAGGCGGCCAAAACTCCACACGCGTTTTGAGCTCCAGAGTCGCTAAATGGGACTCAAAAAGCTCGTGTGACCCGACCAATGGATTCCTCGTTCGGAGAGCAATCCATTGGTGGGGTCACACGTTCGGTTCGAGTCCCATTTAGCGACTCTGGAGCTCAAAACGCGTCTAGAGTTTTGTCCACTGGTCTTCTGGCCCACTGTGCGCGGTGCCGCAGTCGTCCAAAAGGAAGGCATCCTTTTAGCGCGGCGGTTCGCGGTTCGCGCGCACGACACGATGGCAGAGGACGTCTGCTGAGCCTGCTAGGCCCGTCGGCCCGTCCGTCCAGAACAGCGCGTGCGCGTGTTTATCTTCCGCAGAGTCGAGCCGAAAGAACCAGCAGAGTCGTTTTCGTGTCTCTGTCTCTCTCGCACCTATAGGGACGCCCCATGAGTGCGAGAGAGACAGAACGAATAAAACGACTCTCAGTCGGCAGACTTATTGCTGCCACTCCGGAGGATCGTTCCGTCGCTCTGCCTTCGTCGCACTCAAGGGGCGTCCCAAAGGGGTGCGAGAGAGACAGCGACAGAATCCGGCGGCACGTCACTGCTAAATGGCCGCTTTTTACACCCGCTTCCTTCCTTACTCTGTAATTGCTGACCATTAAGTCATCGAGGTGGACGGTTGAAACGCACACGAGGTCAAGACACCACGAGGACCGCGCCGCGACCGCGCCACGCCAAGACCATGCTCACGGCCTCACAGCTCTGATAAGAAGATGCAATCGAGACTCGTCAAGGTCAAGGCGAAAAATTTGGAGGAACGGTACGCTACATATGATTGGCATCGTTTCCTTCCTAGTGATTCGAGTTTGTTTATAAATCGAACAATCTGCGGGGGAACGACCAACTGAAGGCGACGCTCGAGTCTTCCGAGCGATGTGCGAACTGCAGTGAGTCGACAACTGTTAAAACAGCGCGTGAATACAACATTCTATTCTACAAACATCTTCATCATCGATCAATCTATTCGAATGACAATATTGTAACAGAGCGTCGTTGGCCATGCCCTCAAGCGCCAGACACATGAGAAAATGACACGAAAACTGTGTTGTTGATTCACAGCATTTATTCGAACCAGTTCCGAGGACGAGGGTGCCACAACGGTGCATCACTTCCCGGGGCGGGGAATGCATGCATCAGAGAGCGACACTCGCGACAAGCAGCGGCCAGGACGCCAGGACGCCGACCAGGGGCAATGCCCGGTGAGTGGCCCAGGAGCCCTGGACGCGCGCGGCCGGCAAAAACGAAAGCGCTTGCCGCGAAACGCGAGCGCGACCCGAACCGGCAGCTCTTGCGTCGCTCTGTCTCTCTCGCACCACCATGGGTGCGAGAGTGACAGAGACACGAGCGCCGCGCCAAGTCTGTCTGCTGTCAAGCCGTCCGGAGTGACAGCCGCCCACGTCGCAACGCCGGACTGCTGGACACACTGCTGCCGAGCAGGAGAAGCTGGAGGCACACGTACCGGCAGGCAGAGAGGGCCTGGACTAAAAGTCGTCCGGGACGAGATTCGAACCACCGAACGCCACGGAGTCAAGGAGTCGCGGGGCGGGACGCGCGAGTTACTGACTCTGGCAAGGCGAAGAGAAAGACGCGCGCTCACTGACTGACTCGGACTGACAGCCGGACTGACCTCTGTTCCCCAGAACGCCATGCCCGGCGCGCCACCACCCGGCCGCGCCCCGCCCCACCGCGCCCCGCCCCACCGCGCCAGGCCTCTGCTGGCCGCGCCCGGCCGAGGAAAAGGATTTTAGCCGTCTCTGTCTGGCATTACGCAAGTGCGGACGGCACGGCGGACGGGAGGGACGGGGCTCCAACCACGAGGGAATCAGCTGTTCCAACCTGCCGCCGCGGCGGAGGGGCCAGCAGGTCCTGCACGGCCGAGGGGGAGAGGAGGGACCAAATTGAGAGAAATCGCGGATCATAAGAGGCGAGCACGTACACCGCTTCGCGTCGCGCAGGCCTGCGCAAGCCGTGCAGGAGGCAGTTTCTGGGTCCTGGCGGTCCTGGTGTCCTGACCCGGCTGGACCATGGCTGGACGCTGGAATCCCCCCAATCGCACGACCGATGAACCAGGCGAACCAGGCCGGCCGTCTGATGATGACCCAATCGGTTCCCGACTCCGGACGGACGGAAGACCTGCCGGCAGCCTGACCCCAACACCGGCGTCACAGAGGTCAGAGGCTCCGTGACTTCCCCGGCAACCAATTGACCAAGTGAGGATAGGAGCGTCCTTACCTTGCCTTGGCCCCCGCGGCCCCCGCGGCCCCCGCGGCCCCCGCGGCCCCCGCGCGTCATCGCCAGTCATCACATCAGTGACGGCGGCGGTCTTGGCGCTCTTGGCGGACTTTGCGCGACCGTGACGGGGCGCAGGCTTGGACGCAGGCCGCGGGGCACATAGATACCTACGCCCGCAACGCTTGCTCCAGTGGCCGGTCCGCGAGCCGGTCAGAGGCAGGGCGTGGACGGCGTGGACTGCGACCAGGCCAACGCAGGGCGCCCAGCCCGCCAGCGACTTGCTGGATCGACATGGACGGTTCGACTTGGACCGGCAAAGCGGCAAAGGCGCGAAGATGGCGAGCTACAACACTACCACTGCCACGGCGCCTCGCCTCGCCTGTTCTAAGGCCCGCCAAGACCACGACGACGTAAACGCCTCCACATTGGAGGCCGGCATGGGGCACGGCCCGCGCCCTGGGCGGACACCTCAGCCGTTATCTTTGTGAGCGAAGGACAAACACATTTAAGATGAGCTACTTGATACTGCATCAAGTTGATACAGCTGATAACAAACTACTTAAGGACAATGCTCTTGAGAGCCAAAACGCAAGAGATGTTTTAATTCCTCTGACTTGTGCAAGTTGTTAAGCCCTCAGAGAATATTAAATCTATGTGGCTTTCAACAGAACACGAAACAACATAGGTGATGCAACTTAGGCAGCTATGGTGCAGTCCTTCAAAGCAAACTATATGTTATCATATAAAATTTATGAAAGAAATATTAACGATGGAACATGAAGCTATAAGCTAGCTGCCCATAAAACAGAAAATCCCTTCTATTTTCTACAAAATAACAATAGCTGAGGTGGAGGTGTCAATGGCAACATGGCAATTTGGTAGTTTCTTAACACCTTTATCAAACTTACAGAAGGAAAAAAAGATTCAAAGCAATAAAGTGAGAGAGGCTTCAAGGCATTAAAAATAAAAGAGCAAAGCAAACATAAACATAACCTCTGGCCAATGGTTTAAATCAGAGTAGTGAGGCCCTACAAAACGAACAAAAAGGAAACAAGAGCAATTTCCTCTTACAAATCTACCTTCTTCCATTACACAGAAACTAAATAAAAAATAATGTAATTGAATTGATACTTACCAGAAAAACAGGTGAAATTCATGATGAAGTGGTAACCTATATAATTCTTAACTAATTTCAACAGGCGAAGTGACGCAGAGAGATGAAGTGGCTGCTTGTAACACGGTTACAAAATTTTCCGAACACGTAGAGAAAATTGAACAAATTTGATCAAAATGTAGGTTTTTGATCAAAAACAGAGCTTCATGAGAGAGACACTCTCCGCCACTTTCTATCGACGACTACTACCTCTCTTGCAACCGCAATCAGCACTTGTATGTTGCCACTACACCGAAAACAAAATCTTAACATTAAAGATTGGAGCTAGAGCTTCGTTTGACAGAAGAGATCAGATTGAAAGTTAGTAAAGGGCGTTTTTAAACAAGATGCAATCGGTAAACTGCTCCAATATAACTCAAATCATTTGTTAAAAGTTACGATACGTCACGCCACTTTAACTATAATTCTCATACCTCCTCAACTGAGACTAATCTCGCTCAAAGTGTCGGAGATAAAAGTCGAATGTCGCAAACTGGCGAATCGTCGTGTGATGATGGAAGATCGGCAACATTCCGAGCATTCCTTTGTTTATGCGTTCATGTTCACAATATTTCAATAATGTTAAGTACCTATTAGTGCTGCCCCCCTTTTGGAAGAAGACTTGTAATTGTAGTGTGTATCTATCGGGGCCGGAAAGTGTATGAATGGCTTTCATGAGGATTTGTCTGTGTTGTGCTGTGCGTGAAAGACTGGCAGGCTATTAGCTAATGTCAGAGGCAACGGGAAGACAGGTTGAGGTTGTGAACGCGTTACAGTGGAACAAATTACCTGTCTAATTATCAGACGCCGCACCAGTGAGTGAAGCATTCGGTGAAGCGGTCAGAGAAGAAACCAAAGCAATCCAGTGGCAAGCGAAAAAGGAAATAGTGAATGAGGGCACCACAGAGGCTAGGCCGACCCTGCAAAATAAACAATTGCCCTATGACTCACTATGGTTAGTGTTGTCATCGTCCTCAGCCCTATACAAAAGGAAGATTCGCACTGATAATACTTGAAGCTTCTACCGGCCAAAATGGAGTCCTTTGTTCATCAGATGAGTGGTCTGCAACTGAAGGATGATGGTGGAACTGTTTGTCCAACGTCAAATCTTCATCTGCCAGAATCTGGGTATGGGTGCATTATTCAACGCACTGTTGACCAGCAAGGCCGATCTCTGTCCAGCAGTTCTGTACCAACTTCTGATTCTGGAATTGGATTAGTAAATCATCTTACGTCTTCTCGGTCACTTCCCGCTGGGACACCGGTTAGTTCTCTGTCTGGTGAAGCTTATCGCAAGCATGATGCACGTAAGCATGTTGGAGCCATTGAAAGCTTTGCAATAGAAAATTGCTCTCATGCTCCTCAACCCCAGACTGATTACAAATTATATGAACGTGGAAATATAATTGCCGCTTCAAAATATGCCAAACCCACCCCAAAAATGATGGAATCAGCACCATTATCCAATAAAATGACTGATAAGCTTCCCTTAGGTCAACCACCTTACAGACCTGGAAGTTTGTCTGACTCAAGCAAATATTATGTGGGCACAGGAGGTAGTCCTACGCACAGCATTAGCTTGAGTGTTTCAAGTAAAGATTCTGTCCAGTCGAATAGTCCAAGAGCTAGCATAGCTGGTGGAGTTTACGAGAGTGTTAGTGGAAAAGGAAGTATGAGCATTGCTTGCCCTGTGTATGAAAATCTGGATCTCTACACCAACAAATCTTCTTCCTCGCACTACTATCAGCATCAGACAAGTGACAGCAACAGCGGAGGCTTGCCAACTTATGAGTCAGGTTACCATAAAGCACAGCCACAAGTTCCTGCTGGGGTCAAGTACAACCCACCGAACAAGTACCCTCCTTATGAAGCCCCACCTGTTTACGAAAACATCCAAAACTTCCATCATCATCCTCAAGGTTCAACGGCTCAATCGACCAATTATTCTCCCAGCAGAGCTGCACCTCAAGTTGCTTCACCACCACATTTTGAAGGAAGACAGGTAGCATTGCCCCTTGTATCTCCAAGTGCACAATCGCACCATTCTGGGTACTATCCCTCTTCAGTTTCGTCTAAGACTGTATCCTCACAACCTCCAATAAACTATGCTAACAATAACAGCAATTCTGGAGTTTTACCACCTCCACCTCCATACAACAATGGAGCGGCTCAATCTTATTTGAATTCGTCAATGTCAAATGGATATGGATCTCCTCGGCATCAGAATCACATGTATTCACCAGTTTCATCTCGTTTGGTACCTGGTTCTGTTGGTGCTACTGGAACAGTTTCCACCCTGAGTGGTAGTGGTGATTATGTTGTCATGTCGGGTGTAGCTAATGCAATTAGTTATCAAAGAGCTGCAACGTCTGGAGTGGCCAGTGTCCCCAGTCTGAATGATCCTCCACAAAGAGTGAGTACTGATGATCCTGCAGGTTGTAAAACTGTTTATTCTTAACTCAAGCACCTTGTTAATTGTGATATGTTTTGTGCATTTCAGGGTGAAGGTAGCAGTAGCACTGGCAGCAGTCCATGCCCCAGCCCACTTGCACTCCAATCACAGCCACCTCCCCTGCCGTCACAGCCACCACCACCCCACCATAACTTGCCTCCATCACATGCACAATCGCTAAGTAAAGTGAAACCGATTGCAGGTTGTGGAAAAAATCTCCTCCCATACAATGTGACTCCACCCCGACCCATGGTGAGCAACCTTTAACATTCTTTTCTTTTAAAGTCTACGCTATTGGAACAGTCTTTTCTTACTGTTCTTTTATGTGCAGGGCCCCACAGAAGCTGAGCGTAAAATTGAAGAATTGACAAGGCAACTGGAGGAAGAAATGGAGAAGCAGGAAGAAGAAGGGGAGTACTTTGGTGAGTAATTTTTTTTTATTGGAAAGTATCTGCTACTTTCATAAGGTCTTCTACTTATCTTTTGATAAAACATTGTACTTTGGGTTCATTTCAGGCATATGCCACACTTGTGGAGAGAAAGTGACTGGTGCAGGACAAGCATGTCAAGCCATGGGAAACTTATACCATACCAACTGCTTCATTTGTTGCTCTTGTGGTCGAGCACTCCGTGGAAAAGCATTTTACAATGTTCATGGACGTGTATATTGTGAGGAGGACTATATGTACTCTGGATTCCAACAAACAGCTGAGAAATGTGCAATTTGTGGTCATCTTATCATGGAAATGATCCTGCAAGCCATGGGTAAATCCTACCACCCAGGATGCTTTCGTTGTTGCATTTGCAATGAATGTTTGGATGGAGTTCCCTTTACAGTTGATGTCGACAACAAAATATACTGTGTCAATGACTATCACAGGTAACTTATTATATTATTTTATCTCACTTATGAACTTACACAGTAAAAGTCTTATTTGAATTTCATCCCAACAGAATGTTTGCACCAAAGTGTGCGTCATGTGGCAAAGGAATAACTCCTGTAGAGGTAAATTATCACTGTGCTTTATTAGTCCTTCTTTTTGAAGGACTTTCTTTTGTTACAATTGATTCATTTGCTTCATTCATTAACTCAACAGGGCACTGAAGAGACTGTTCGTGTGGTATCCATGGATAAGGACTTCCATGTTGATTGTTACATTTGTGAGGTCAGTTTCAAATTTCATTTTATATTGTGGTTTTCTTGTTTCCATCGAATTAACTTATGAGTTTCTTTTGCAGGATTGTGGTCTCCAGTTAACTGATGAACCAGATCAGCGGTGCTATCCGCTTGACGGGCGTTTAATGTGTCGGTCTTGTCACATTCAGCGTCTTAATCACCTTCCTCGCCAGTTCCAAGTGACTGTAAGAGCTGTGAAAAGTTGTTACATGTTATTGTGATGTAATGTAAGTTCAATTATGGAATAACTCTATCTTTACTTTCTTTTCAGGGTGCGCCTGCCAGTTATCAATACCTAGGTTGAAGAAAAGTACTTGAAGTGGAGAAAACAATGCCTGGTGCCTAGCAAAAGCTTTACCTATGTTTAATCTATAGTGCAATTGGATAGGATTGCGGCCATTCAATTCAAATGCATTCTTTAAACCAGTTGTGATAATTTTACTTTGATTTTAACAGATACTTTTTCATATGCTTTTACTACTTTCCTTTTTTTTCTCCTCTTTTATTCTTGGGACCTGAGTTGTTTGTTTTGCTATGCAATAGCAGAGCAACCACCATTTTAAACATTGTGATGGGCTAGTAGACGTCCTTTTAATTAGGTATGGATTCCCTACTTGTTTCTTTCATGTTTTAAAAAAAAATATGTGTCTTTGAGCTTGAGCTGTTATTTACTTCTTACTTTGCATGTTATGCCCTGTTAAGTTATAAGTTAACTTCACATGGCTTCTGTCTTAAATTATGTTATGTTATACTGAGGGAGTTAGATGTCTATTATTTATGAATAATATTCATGAAATGGGCTGTTTCTGCATTTGTATTCTTTTAAAGCAGGAAAGTTCTTTACTTTAGGTAGGTAATACCTACTGATAGCACAATTTTAAGAGTCATTCTTATATGTAGAAAAAATACTTTGGTGCTTAAATATAGTGCCAACTTGTTTTAACCCCCTGTTATTGTTTTTTTTTTTTTTTAACCTTTACCTCATTGACTTGCGCCTAAGATTATTCTCATTGTGATTTATAACTCAGGTTAAATCTCTTGTAATAACTAGCTAGCTTCATGGCATATCTAACCTGATGGATCTTTAATAAATTTGAAACATTCAATGCACTGTTTAACTTTTGTTCAAAAAGTTACTGTAACTCTCTATTGACTTTTCTATCAGGTCTGTGATCTGTACACCCTTTTTTGTTTTATTATTATAAGTGAAAAAACATGGTCAATCGTTTTTCTGGATGAACTTAGTAAATTATGGAACAGCCTCTAGAGCCTGAGGTGATTATACTGGGATTTTTGTGGTTGCTTCACCTTTCTGGTATAAAATATCTGTATTGCTGTCTGTCTATAATATTTGTATGTTAGGTAAGTTAAATTATTTACTTCTATTTGATACTTCTTTATCTCAATGTTCCTTGTAAATTTTAAAAAAATTTCCTTCTGACATGGAAAAAAAAAGAATTTCAGGATCAGTTGCTTTACTGCACAGTTTTAAGTGGCTTGTTGCATATTATGCGGTTGCTCATGATGTGCTCAATTGGTGAATGTTCGAATGTATGTTTGTTCTCGTCATTTACCTTCTGCAGGAAATGTAATTTAAGCGTTTATTGTGGCATTTTGAAGTCATAAAGCTACTATTCCTGTATGTGAATGAATTTATAATAATTGACTGTCTGCTTCTTTCTTGATGAGTATGTCTGATTTGTGCTCACCATGACGAGAGGTGTTCTTATAATTGGCTGCTAATAAGGTGTCCAGCAGAATCCTGTAACCGTGGTAAAAATGAACTAATGAAATCCTTAAAAAGCATCTGCGCATACCTAGAAGTGGTCTGAATGAAAAGCCAGGTGGAGGGGTAATGCAATGACTGTTTTAGGACTTGTTTTGTTCTTTTTTACTTCAACTTCAGGATTCAGTGGAATATCTTATCTTGTTCCTGCATGTAGCTGGTTCTGCATTTATGTTTTAACAACGAAGATGTATGAATGTGGAATCTACAATGACGTTCAAGAAAATTCATTCAACGCCATTAAGCTGGCCATGTATGTTAACATCAATTTTCAGATTTGTTTACCAATTACGATTAACTTAGTATTCCCCTCCATCTAGGGTTCACACATTACAAGCATTTAGGCTCTTTATGATGCTTGACCATGCTCGATAGCTATATGTACTCTGTAACTTTCATTTGTTGAAGACTATCCAAACCCTCCCAATAGTGTTTCTGATGATTAACAATTGCAGTTATCCCCTCAAATAATGATAACTTTTTTTTTTCTTAATATCTGGATATGCTGTTTTGTATCAGTGAAAAGATCACCTTTGTTCCTATCATTCTGTGAATACTTTTCAGCCTATCATTTGTGGAAGACTGATCTCAATCCAAGCAAGCAAGATAACACACCCAATGGCTTTCTTGTTTAGGGAAGCTGCATAATGTATCTTTACATTCCTTTTATATGTGCATTTGTAATTTTATACTATTTATACATACAATTTACAGTCACTCCATTGTTATATATTACTTTGTGATAAGGTTGCTTTCTGAACCACAAGTCAAACTACTTGTCCATTCAGATGTATTTATCTATGTGGTGCAGGAAGCAGGATTATCCTAACAGCTTTAAGTAGGATTCTGTTCACAATCTTAGTGAATTCAATGTCTGTACCCGGTATTATGTGTCATAATTGGGCTCAAACATTAAATGTTACAAACTATGCAATTAAAGCAGTTCTTCACCTCATCTATTCCTCTGTGACTTCTGGTTGAGGTTAAAGAGATGAATGCCATGTTCATGCAATAGAAAACAATTTATTTCACATAGATTTGTGACACTTGACATGCTTCATTTAACATACTTAGAAATTAAAACTGATAAAAAAACTGGCTAACAAGTATTAAAATATTTTAGATTAAACAGATGCATAAAATGACCTACACCAAACCATTACAGTCAAATAATTGAAGCATGTGCTTTGACAATGTTAGAAGTGAAAATGCAAAAATCAGTCTTTGAGAAGAATAAAAGACAAGAAAATCAAGCAATAACTTCAAACGTGACCCCATGTTTGTTCAAGTCAGAGATGAGGGAGGTCTTGGCAAAGGCAGCACCTGGAGGGTAGACTCCACCTTGGGCAGGCATCTTGTCGGACTCCTTGAGAATAGCAAAGGCTGCCAGCACAAGGCATGTGCAAGTTGCACCATAACCTGGATTCCTTCCCTTGACCTAAAGAAATAAAATTCAATGAATTCCCTGATTTGGAAAAGAAAATGTCAAATAGCGTTGAATTGATCATGACTTACAATAACTTTCATACGTTTCGATGGGGGCCCATCATGAGCATCAGTAGCTTCTGCAACATGCTCTTCCCAGCCCTCTCCTACCAAAGTCACAGAGAACAGAGTTTTCTTCATTGTTTCCTCAGAAGGGCCTTCATGGCTTGCACAGCCAGCAGAGAAAAATTTGGGATACTGCAACAGAATATATTTTATTTAGCCATGCAATTACTGACTTGATAAAGCTGATTAAAATAAGTAAAAGTTTAAGCCTACTTTGAGAAGCAGTGAGCGTCCGCAAGAAAATTGGCACATTACAGCAAAAATGGCACCGAAGAACAGAGCACCAATGGCAGTCAACAGCGATGGGAAACCAATGTATGTCTGAATCTGAACAGGCCGCTTTTTCTCAGATTCATAAAAGAAGCGTTGAGATCGCTGCATTACTGATTTGTCACTACCCAAGAAGGGCATACACCATTTGTTCAAAACTTCACTCTTGAACAGAAGTCCACTGTAAAAATGAAAGCCATAACTATAAATGCTACACACAATTCTTCTGAGCTAACATATGAAAAGTATTTTACCGTGGCTTAAGTGGCGGCATCATTTGTGGGAGTCTTGTTGGAAAGAGTTTGCGCCGTAAGGCACCTAACTCATGCTTGTGTGCAATTCCATAAACAGCCGATTCATAGGTTCCATAGTGAAGAAGAGCACCCTAAAATATGAGTACCGAAGTTAAAACTTTTTCTCAAACGTTCATTGACTGATGATCATACAAACACTTACCGAAGGAGTGTGAGGCTTCTCAATTTCTCCATCAATGTAGCTTTCAACAGAGTTTAGATCCCCTGAAAGAAAAGGAGAAGCACTTTATTTGCACACCATCAGTATATCACTGCTTTAAATAGGATACATTTTGAAGGATTTATACCTTTAAACTGCTTCTGGAGGAACACCAATCCTAAGTCATCAGGAATGCTGTCGAAACCACATGCGCTGACAATGTAGACACCCTTCTGAAGAGCAGCATCGTGATGTTCCAGTTGCATACGGTCCATATACTGGAAAAAAATTGTAGTTGTGACGCATGATGCAATCAACAAACACTAGTTCTGCTAATGAGGAAACCTTGCTCGCACACTAACACACCTGTGGTTCTCCACTGACATCCACATGGTGTGCCCCACTAGCAATACAGGCCTTCACAACTTGCTCCCCCCAGTGGCGGTATGGACCACAACAGTTGATGACCACTTTGGCCCGAGCAGCCATTGCTTCCAAAGCCTTTGCATCATCCACATCAGCAACAATGACTTCAATTGATGATAAATCTTTTCCTAGAAATTCAAATGAATCAATAATTAATGTTTGAATAAAGTCAAAATAACTAAAAGACCAAAATTTTCAGACAGATTACTAACCAAGTTTTGTGCCAATCTTCTTTAATAAGTCATCCAACTTAGATTTGTTCCGTCCAGCCACTCCCCATGTGGCAGGCTTCTCTTCCGACAAATGAATCAATTCTTCAACTGTATACTGCCCAGTGAAACCAGTGGCACCAAAAATAATGAAGTCCAAGCGGTTGGCCATTTTCTGCAAAAAAGATAAAATTGGATTTACCATTTCAAAGCAACAACTCCAGTCTCACATAATACGCTGGAAGATGATGCCCTTTGGACATAGCCTAGGGTTTCTGTACTTCGATTTTTCTTCACGGACTTCGTTCGCTATTGCAGTACTCTGGCAAAACTTCAATTAGGAGAGACTCGCTCAACCAAAAAGGAAGGATGATCGGAAGTGGTGGGAAAAGGTACAACGGTGCAACCTGATCTGGAACTGCGCCACGCCGACCAGGCACCAGGCCCAACCAGCCCGCCACGCCCACGTGCCCACCCACCATCGCCCGGCCGGCTCGGCTGCCAAGCGAAGGACTTGGGACCCAACCACGCAACCTACGTGAGAACAAGATCCGAAGGACACGTACGTATTGACTCTCAAAAGCGACGCGACAAACCCAGGCTTCTCCGGCCGGACAGGACAGAGGAGGATTCGGCCCCGTTTGACGTTCAACGCGCAATAGTTACCTCTCAAGATGTTTCCTTCCTTGGACGATGAAGTGAGAAGTTCGGAGGATGAGCTCGGACTGGGTCGGGCGCGGAGGACCGATCAGATTAAATGGGCGGAGGCGACGTAACTCAACTCGAGCTGTATCGCACTCGGCTCAATCACCCTCTCTCTCTCTCCTCTCTCTCTCTCTCTCTCTCTCTCTCTCTCTCTCGTAACTCTCGTTTTGTTTGGTTTTGTGCTTACTTTTGTTTTTCTTTGTGCAAGCGTTTCCTTTGCCAACTGACATCGGCAACAGTAATAATCTTGTTTTATTTGATATGTTTTTTCATGTGAGATATTTTTGGAAATTTTATTTAATTCTTTAATAATTCTGTTTGATGAACTATTATGTATAATTTTTATAGTTTCTTCGATTAAAGGCACAAGTAAGCAGATTTCTTTTTCGGCGCTGCAGTTGGCATTAGTCCACCCTTCCCACCCCTCCCTTCTAATTTACGGATGCCCCCTACCACCCCTACGCTGGCTCAGCTGTGAGCCACAACAACGACACCAAAAATACACATAGGTATTGTGCGTGTTAACGAGGCTGATCTATGGCAGGTATTTGCATTTTATCTTCAGAAAATTTACGCCATCTTGATTCTTCTCGCGATCATCCTTTACTTTCATGTATTCAGACTTAACCTCCATCAAAAACTATCATGAATGAAATGTCACCAAACACCACCAAACACTTTCCTTCATTCATTTGATTGATTTGCCTCTGTGTTTACAGGATAAACCCGTGCTTCTGCAATGTTTTGGCACTCTGACAGAAATAGTTCAAGTTCTCACCAGACATCGTCAAGCAAAATGGACGATAAAGGCCCGCCTTTGTACGAAGAGGGAAACAAGTTTAACACTGCAGAAATAGAGGTTTCACTTTGTTAATGTTACACATGTGTACTTATTAAAAAGGCTGCTGATTAACCTTCTTTTTTTTCCACCTCATAGATTGACAACTCTAGAGCTGTTTTAAATAATATATCATTGTTGCACACTGACAGAGTTTTGTCTGATGTTTGCCTCATTGTTGGTGGTAAAGAGTATCCTGCTCACCGTCTCATACTTTGCGCCTCTAGTGAAGTATTTAGAGTAAGTATATGGGGGGATTGTGTTCCTGCTCATTTTATCTGCCTTGCTGATGTATAATTTGACTGCAGGTAATGTTAACGAGTCCCCAGTGGAGTGAATGTAAAGAATCGCGGGTTAACCTAGGAGAGACTCCAGCTTGTGCCGAGGTTTTTGATCGCTTCCTGCAGTATTTTTATACTGGCCATATATGTGTTGATGCTCAAATAGTCATGCCTATTCTCACTCTTGCTGACAAATATAACTTAAAGGTATAAAACACTTCATCTGAGCATTTTAAAAAAATGTATCATTTGTACTTTTTTTAGAATTACGCTGTATGAAATTTGTGATCTTAACAAACATGTTTGTTCTTTTCAAAGGATCTAACTGTAGTGTGCCAGAAATATATGTATCAACATGTTCAATATGCAGCTACAACAAACCAGTTAGTTGCATGGCACCAATATACTCAAACCTGCGGACACACTGAAGTAGCTAAGGTACCCACTGTATTCATGTTATCAATTAATTTTCTTATGACGTGTCTCATGAGGTGTGCTTAATGTGATGCCTCTTTTTTTTCTCTCTCTTTCTCTGTGTGCTAGAAATGTAAAGACTTCATCAAGTGGAACCTACAGCTCATTGCACAGACACCAGATTTTGGGAATTTTGAGCCAGACATTCTGATTGATATTCTTCAACAGGATGATATTGTTGTAGTTGATGAAATGACATTGCTGCAGTATGTCTATTTGTTTTCTTCTTCCTTATAGTAGTACGCCATTCATAAATTCAGTAATTCATTTTTTTTTCTGATTTTGTTATTGTTTAGGTACGTAGTGCGATGGGTTAATTACCAAAGATATGCACTCTTTGCTGAAGCCGGTTATATTCTAGATGAAGAAGATGGAGAGATTTGGGATATTGACCCTAAAACTCTGACTGATGTCAATAATCAAATAAAAGATCTTGTTTGTCGTGTTATTACTCATATTCGTTTTCCAATGATGTCACCAACTCAGCTAGCCAGCTTACTGATTGAACCCTTAGTTCAAGAATTTAAAGAGTTCTTTGTTCAACGCATGGCTATTGGCATGTCTTATCATGCAGGTAAAAAAAAAACAACATATTTTTCTTTGCTCCTTTCACGTTATTTTTCAAAATAAAAATATTAACCATGTAATAATGAACTTCACTTACTAACTCTTCTTTTCAGATCAAAGAGAACGAATAGAAGATGTTTGCATCAATGATGAAGCTGGATGTTCCCTTTTTACCCCAAGATTATATACATCCGAGTGTTGGTCTATGTTACTTCCAGTTGAAAACTATTTACATTTACCTCCCTATCAGTTAAGAAGTCATGTTTTCTCATCTCATACGGCACTTGCTGATCACAAAGGACACAGAACATGTGAATGGGCTGTTGATATATATCCCAAAGGCGTTTGGTTTCAAAAGTTTTATTCCATTGTGTGGCAAGGAATGGTAAGTTTACAAAAGTTAAGCTTTGGACTTTCTCTGAACAGGTGAAATAATTTTCCATTTTACTAACAGGAAGAAGTTCCAGAAGTTGTTCTACGAACTGTGAGAGTCTCCATAACATGCAAGGAGCCGCCTCCAGAAGGCGATATGAGAGTAAAAGTTGGAATACTTGTTCATGGTATGAGGAATGACGTTGAACATATTATGCAAACAGTCGTTTGCATTCATCGTTTTGATAATGACAACAAGGTAGTCATTTCCCCATCCTTCTTCTCATATTTTGAGGGCTACTTTGAGATAAAAAGTTAGTGCTCCCAGAGATTAGCTTGTACAACTTAATCTTTGTTTCAGGTTTTAAACTTAGATGATGTGGTTTCATTTGACAAACTCAATCGAGACTTAGCTTCCGGAGACTTTTCACCAAACCATCCTTCAACTTCCAAATCTTTTACACAAACTGGTAACTGCCACAGTCAGCATCCATCTCCATATCTTGTGGGTCCAAATCGTGATGTACTGAAAATACATGTTGTAATAGCTCCAATGGAACAGGTCTGTAACCCCTCCCTTCTTTTACGTCGAAATAAGGTAAAATCTAGCTAAGTTGTCTGCCCAAAGTTTTTGAATAAATTCATGAGTAAAGCTCAATGATCTCCCTTCTCCTGGATAGATGATATTTTACTCTGTATGCATTCTTTCTTGAAGGGAGCCACCCTCTTTCCACAAGGTTATATTGAGGCATTGTTAACATGTCAACTTCCTACTCTTTTAGTGTTAAATTTGGTTGTGTGCCAAATATCTTGCTAAATTCTATATTTTTAAGCATTCATTCATTTTACAGGCTGTTGTTATTTATCTTAAATCATTTCCAGATAAGGATTGAAGATAATGTAATTTATTTCGTACTGTAATTGTGAGTAATCTGTGATCTTTTAACTGTCTCAAATATATGTGTGTTGGAAAATTAGTATAAATCAAGAAAATTCTGGTTAACATTTATTTATGGCTAGTCTGTTTAACATGGGCAGGACAGAACACACAGACACACACAAACACACATTTTTCTATAGGCTCACTGAGTTCCTTATATGAAAAATGGTTTTCTAATACTTCTTATTTGGTTCAAGGCTAGGAACTAACAATAATTATCAATCACTTCGGATTGAGAAAAAAATCATCACATGATTAGTCAACAACTAACATCTCCAATCAACAGGTGACAATGAAGCAAATCACACAAATGCCCCTGACATTACTCAATACGGTAGAATAATGAGTAACTTACTGTCATTGACTAGTCAAACATCAACTCCCCGCAAAAATGACAAGAATTCAAGAATTTGGTAAATGCGAAACAATCATGGAAGGTCTCTATCAACCGAGAGCAAACCAAGAACCGAGGTTAAATGCATCACAATGAATGAAGAAGACTCAACATAAATTAGACCAGCTAATTTGCTACGAAACAAATTTTGGCACATCTACAGTTAACACAACTGAAAGGACACTTCATGTGCAGATACATAAAACATGTATGCAACACTAGACTTTTGTAGGATGGAATCGTCCCTTTCTATGAAAGTCTACAAAGCCAACAAAATACAACTGAACAACACCTGAGGTACCACTTAAGTTAAGACTTAAGTATGGAATATTAGATGAATTGATTTGAATATCAAATCAATAAGGCAGGGCTGCTAAACTCCTCTGCAGGGGTCTGGAAAGTGAAACCTGTTCCAGATTTTTTTGTCAAATCCACGAAAGAATTGCCCGTGGTTCCAATCCCGCTGGAACAAGCACGGAACACTCGGAACATGCCCTACGTTTCGGCCTGTTCCAGGTAAGTTCCCGACCCCTGCTCTTCTGCCTTTCTCACACATGAGTGGCCTAGCTTTTAACAGTAAACAAATTGAGAATGTAGAAGAAAAAAAAGTACATGGTCTTTCTGCTTTCATGCCAGTTAAAAAAATTGAAAATCAAGTTGTCAAATCATGGCATCTTGTCAGTCTATATCACTCACACCACACCCATATCACATACAAAATTCTACCAAAAGAAAAATCTTTCCAACAAATAAATGTAAAACTGTGCAAAAGTGCAATGGAGGGTTAATCATTTAAAAATGACTTGGACTTCAAGAAGAAGCCAAGACAACAGGAATGTAAAATAATGGCTACAAACTGACTTAAACAAAGGATGAACATTTCAAAACCAACCCTTGTCCCCTTGTCTCAATGGCTCAAAGATTATAATCTTGGAATCAAAGAAGGTGTGACATAAAAATCCCATTAATGAATAACCTTAAATGGTGTGCTCCGACAACTAGCAAAGTTGTCAGGTCATACCACATGGCAAACAATTATTCAACTGTAAAGTTTATCAAGAATAATATAAGAGAAGGAAGACACACCAAGGAAATCTATAGAAAAACAAACAGTCTCCTATAAATATGACAACACAAACAGAATAAAATGGGTACTGCAAAAGAACTTGCATGTATAACATTAGCAAGGTCAGTCTCAAGGGGAATGAATACGTAAATTGGGCCCAAACACCAAAATGTTGGAAAATGTGCACAATCAGAATGAAAAGTTAATAACCAAAATTTGAAGTCTCAGTTTACAAAAGGCAATCTTTAGGAAAAACAGACTCTTTAAGGGTTTTTTTTTTCTAATAAAAATAGGTCAATGTCTGAAATTGGTAGTACACAAGCTTCAATTTCAAAAACAAAACAAAAATTGGAGAAAATAATGTTGCTATACCTTAGAGCATAGGGAATCCTACCTAATAAAAATCATGTAAGTACAATTGGTACATATCACAAAAGTTTCTTTCTAACAAAGGTAAAAAGAAAATGAGACATTTAAAAAAAAAGTGCAACAATAAAAGGTAAAAAATGCATAAAATATTGGAATCTTGCATTCTTTTTCAAGGTGAAAATTTGTACAAGTACAGAAATTACTGCTCACAGATGTTACCGTGATCTTTTAAAAAACTAGGTATAAACATTAAATTATAATCAAAACAAGGAATGCAAACACACTGACTTGTGGAAGGAAATACATATATGTAAAATAAAGAGATTGGTGGTAACAACAAATTTGATTATCAGCTCAACACAGGTGACCAGATACTGGAAACTTATCCAGCACTCTGCACACTTGGTGTGGCATTTATGCAGAAATTAGGTAACGAGGAAACAAGTTCATATCTGCATAGTCAAGGACAATCTGCAAATGGTCAAAACATTTGAATCAAGTCATTCCACATGTATACTCATAGGATTGTTATACCTAGACCTATAAACCTTACCTCCATCAATTTTTGAATGTTCGGTGAGGGAACATCACAAGTGAATCCCAATTTCTTCAAGCGTGAGCCATCCAGATACAAGTTTTTATTGTAGAGCAGCTCTTGGTCCATAAATGGAGTTAAAGGGGTGTTTTCTACCCCACCTGCAGAACAGGCTTCTGCCCACGGACCCATGTGCTTGTCATTACCTTCCTCAACAACACTGCCCATATCAACCTGTATTTTTGTTTTTAAAGGTAGATAAAGCATTTTTAGTGTTAGATACATCAGTATTCATATAAATGTGAAAAAAAATCGAACTCAACTGAAAAGAGCTTTACCTTACACATCATAGACAGAGCATGTCCATAATAGTCATGGTTGATACCAAAGATTTCAGAGATCAAATTACTTATTAAACCTTGAGTTGTATCTCCATCATCAACAACATTAAAGGTTTTTCCCTTTGTGTCATCTCTTGTGGCAACCATCCAAATAGCACGACATAAATCCTTCACATGAATTGTATTTAAGTGTAAGTCAGCAGTCCACAGAAGCTTCATTACTTCATCAAGATGTTTGTACACAGCTCCAATAACAAGGCGGGGTGCTATCAACAGATCAATACACATTAAAAATACATAGCTCATTTTTAGGGTATACAAAATTTTGAACAGAAAAGTCACAAACCAATTCCTTGTCGATCTCCTATCCCATACACAATAGCAGGTCTTAAAACACAATAGTTAAGACCGCAAATTTGCTCCAGCTCCTTCTCAGCAATCAATTTGTAGTGAGCGACAGATGTCCATGGATCTGAAATGTCTTCTTCGTTGTGCATTCCCTACAGTGGAACACATGATTCAGTTTCATGTCAATGGCAAAAATAAAATACAGTGAGACATGAAACAAGACACTACAGGAGTAAATACCTTATCATTTGAAGCCATATGGCCAGTAGACAGCTCTACAAACATCTTTACTTTGTGTGCTGCAGCTTCAGTGGCACAGTTCACAGAGAGCTTGACGATTCCTTCTTTATAAACTGGATCTGTCTGCCCAGATTTCATCTCACATGCACAGTTGATCACATAATCCCAATTCATTCCTTCAGTGACAAATGCTGCTTGACAAGATGCTAAAAAGAGAGCAAAGTGTAATTCATAAGTCAAAAACAAAAAGTAAAAGTTGCTTTGATAATAACTTACACGGAATTATCAAGTTGGCACTGCGGAACTCAACACGTGCATCTTCAAATATCTTCTTATGGTGAGAATTGAGCCATGCAGTTTGTGGTGGAACTTTATCGACAATTCTCACATGGGAGACCAAATCATTCTCAATTAAATGAGCCACTAAATTTCGTCCAATGAAACCACAGCCTGCATCACAACAATAACAAGTGGTGTTAGATGAATAAATGAACAGCTGAAGGTGTAAAGTTTGCTGCCTTTAATTTGAAAAGAAGGAAATTAAAAGACATGAAAAGAAACAAATGGTTAAAATTGACAAATCTACAGTAAGCAAATTTACTTCAGAGGGTATGTTCAAATAGATCTCTTAGAAATAGCAGCGATGTATAAATGAAACAAAGTCGTTTCAGATGATAGAAAGGAGCTAAGGTGTCTTCAGAGAAGAAAATAAACACGTCAAACAGCGAGCTGTCAAGTCTTCTGATTATTCAAGCAGAAAACAGGGGTCGCGCCATGCCATGAGAGGTGGCATCTGACACACCAGGCTCTAGCCTACAAGGGCTCTCAAATAAAACTGTTGTTTTACTGGCTGCGTAGGGTGCTCAAATATTAACTCACCCCCTAAAATGATGACACAGGGCTTGGCACTGTTACCATTAGCTGTAGCCATAGTGGTTGATGAATTTGACAAGTCTTCGCTTCGTGTGGTCGTCTGTCGTCTCCTGTGTTTAACTGCAAATCAACTATTGACACTTCGACCGTTCTGCTAATAGTGCCGCTGTGTGTGTGTGTGTTGTGCTCATGATGTTTTGAAGTTTGTTTTCATTTTTGGAACTTTGTAAAGAAGACAATGATTGAATCAGTTGACAGTGATATTGTCTTTCTGAATTCCATTAACTTGACTGCGGACGTTCTACCTAGCTCATGGGTATCACTAGGTAAAGTCATCAAGGCATCGTTGCTTCCTGAACAAACCTACGGTGAAGACAGACCTGCAGAGGAGGCTGATTTTGAATCACATAGGAAAGACGTCGTAAATAAACTTAAATCAGTGTTGAATTTTATCCGAAAATTTGTGTCTATCGTACCAAGCCAAGTTTTTGACCGCGACTTATTGGCAAGTACCATTTAGTCATAGTTGTCGTTAACGACTGACAATTTTAATCTGATTTTCACCCTTTCCTCAGGTATGGTTATTAATCCTCTGCGGAGAGCACCATTTTCCAGACTTGTGGACGACAGATGAAACACGTGAAGTGGCAGTTTTATGCGTCCAGGAACTCTGTTCGTTCTATGATTGTTCATCAGTTTCACAGCTGGTGCTGGGTCAATCTCAGAAATCAAGCCCCTGCTTCAAGCAAGCTTTAGTAATTTTACGACCAAAGCTATTACGAAATTCCTGGCGCAAGAACCCAGGAGCTATTGCTTCCTACAAATGGCTGTTAGTTCAACTTTGTGCACCACATCTTTCAGAGTACCTGGATATTGTTTCACCTACAACCCTCTTAATCTTAGATGATCATGATGAGGGACGAAGACTCCTGGGATTGCAGTGTATGTTACATATAATTGACAATGTGGTAAGAAGAAAGTAATTTAGAATGATTGTTTTAATTCCTGCCAATGGCTCTTATTACAGACTTAAATTTTTCTTGTTTAGGCCCGCACAGAGTTGTGTCAACGTGGTCTTCATCAGGTGTTTTATAAAACTCTTGAACCTATGATGTGGCAACGTACACCCAGCCAAATTGAGCTAGTATTCACATGCATAACTCATCTTTTGAGCCTAACCGAACGTGGATACACTAGGAGTAGTGAACCAGGAATGGTAACATGTTTGTAATAAGCCTTTCAAGATAGGCTGCTGAAGTGTATCCAGTGCCACAGGTTAGGTAGGGCGATAGCCGTGTTGCCTTCGCCTTTGCTCACCATTGGTTGCACAGAAGTGCCGCATGTCTTATGATAAGCGGCAATCTAAAGCACACCGTGTGGTGACCAAAGCTGTGCTGACACTGCCGTTGCCTTACCTACCACACCCCATGTGACTGCCATTGAATGATTGTATGATGTTTTTTTTCTCAGTGGGACATGTTTGATGATACCCTCAGTACTCTACTTGATACGATGGTATTTGAGGATCAAATACCTCTCCGCCTGGCATACATCAAGTCTCTTGGACCTCTATTATCTGCTATGGGTCCCCAAGTCATTCGTTGGAGTAAACCACTTGTAGCTGTATTTGATGAGTACCTGCACAAGGACTCATTTGACACTAGGAAATATGCCTTGGAGGTGGGTATAAGTTCGGTTCAATTTGTTGGAGCAGGATTGCATGGTACTAAGTGAGCTTTTCTTTCAAGGCTATGAGAACGTACATTTGCTTGTCAAGCCCAAGAATGAGCCAGAATGGAGATAATATACTGTTCTTGCTTCTAAGAACTTGTCAAGACATTTCAGAAGATAATACAACATCTGATGAACTTCATTTAGTCAAAAACTGTGTTAGTATGATGAGATTGTCTGCCCCTAAAGACTTTCAGAATGTCCTTCTAGAATTGCAAAATCTTTCTTGCACTGAAAAAATGCATGAACAAATTATGAATGTATTTGGCCTTTGAAATAAATTGTAAGATGTCTCTCTTTAAGCTTGTTACCCTTCCCTAACCAAAAGAATAAATTAAAACACATGATGTAAACAGAGTTTATTAAGAATAAGTTTAACGCTTCCTGCGGAGAGACAGAGTGTTCCTCCTGACCCAGGCAGCACGGCGGGAACCTCCCTTGGTTTGTGAGTATCTGTGACCCTTGCCCAGACCACGGGACTTGCGGCCAGCAGAGGTTAAACCACGGAGTTCCCGGTGCTTCATGACAGGTGCACAGATCCAGTTGGCTTTGGCATCTCTCCTGATGGCCTGCAAATTTAACAGTTAGAAAAACAGTCTGAAACAGCTAACTCTATTTTATACGCGTCCAAGTATTTACCTTGTGGAAGGGATCCACACAGATGACTTCAAAATATTTGTAGGTGGAGTCTTCTGCAATCCAGTAGGAGTTAAGAACCCTCAGGCCACCAACTCGCCTACCAACACGCTCCTGAGAACAAAAATTTCAAGATAAGCAGAGTTACGGGAAGAAACTGTATAAAATCTCTTGAGCCATAGCATATGCGCATTTCTTCATAACCACAATCAGATAGCCTGTGTGCAAATAGGTGCCAAAGAAATGAGCGAGAATTGTCTAGATCAAGTTGGGACTATAAATAAAATAAAAAACATAGAAACACTAAATTGTGAAATGATGAAGCCATCATCAGACATCCAAGGAAGTGTTGCATATGACAGTCCCATCAAAGAAATATGGAAGTGTCATCCGGAGAAGGCTCAGTACACTAAAATTTGAAAGCTAAAGGAAATACTTCTGAAACTATTGAACCTTTGTCAGATATCCAAGGTCATGCCAATCACAGTCATGTCAAAGCATAGTGAAAATATCATCAGGAAAAGGCTCAGTACACTAAAACTTTAAGAGATAAAGGAACCATTGTCAGACATCCAAGGAAGTGTTGCCAATCACAGACAGATCAAAGCAATGTGGAAGTGTCATCAGGAAACGGCTCAGTATACTAAAACTTTAAAACTAAAAGAAACATTCCTTTAACTGTTGAACCATTATCAGACATCCAAGGAAGTGTTGCCGATCATAGTCGCATCAAAGCAATATGGAAGTATCATCAACAAACGGCTCAGTATACTAACACTTGGGAACTACACAAAACTTTCTTTAAACTGTTGAACCTTTATCAGATATCCAAGGTCATGCCAATCACAGTTGCATCAAGGCAATAAGGAAGTATCATCACGAGACGGCTCTACATACTTTAGCTTGACATCTGAAAGAAACATTACTATAACTGTTGAACCAATATCAGACATCCAAGGAAGTGTTGCCAATCACAGACACATCAAAGCAATATGGAAGGGTCATCAGGAAAAGGTTCAAAATACCATCAAGAGACACCTGACAATACAGCACTAACAACACAGCATCATATGTTTACATTATCAAGTTTGAACGTTTGAGAAGGGGGAGCAAAGCAGTGCTGGTCACAGCCTTCAATGTTGACAAATGAGTTCCTCAACCAATTAACAAACCAAGAGCATCTAACATGACATACTTAAGAAGAAACTAACTTACCTCAGCAAGAGACTGGAGGTTGCGGGTGGGCTTCAGCTGGTTCACACCCTGACTCTTGGGTTTACCGTAGGTGGCACCCTTGGGCACGGGCTTCTTACGACCACCCCTGCGGACGCGAATACGGAACACAGCGTACCCTAAAAATCAGAAGCAGAATTTCAAACCGGTTCAGAGAAACCTAACCTCCCAACACACGTAACCTGACGTAGCCTCAGGCACCGAGTCGGTTGCGTGACCGTTCTCCCGTGGCCGCCAGAACAAGAAATGTAACTTAGAAAGAAGAACCCGAACGGTTCAAACAAATACTCACCGTGCTTAGCTCTGTATCCCATGCGACGTGCCTTGTCGGGTCTGGAGGGCCTGGGAGACCTGTGCATCTTTGTGAGCTGGCGGAATTGCCAAACTCTAATACGGAGCAGGAAGCGAAGCACATCGCTCTGTTTCTTACGGTACAGCTCCTGAATATACTTGTAGGCTCCCATGGTGAGGCCTCTGCAAACAGAAACACAACCAGAAAGTTACCCACGAGTCCTCAAAGATTGTGTACGACGGTGCTGGAAGGGCCGGACGGCTTCCCACTAAACCGAGAGAAAAGCACACAAGATCGCAATCGATCCCCCGCAATGCTTCCAAAATAATTTTCTGCGGCCAAAACGAAAATTTTGACAGGAGGAAATGCAGAAATTGGAAGTTCTACCTTAAGGATTAAAATAGATAAATTTTGAAACAACGCGACATAAACATGTACCTTGCTTACTACAAGCCCGGAAAAGGAAATGGACAGGACCAGTGGCGTGGGAGATGTTGGGGAGGAGGGGGTCATGACCAACATGACGGAGATGGAGAAGTTTTTCAAGACTATACTTAGAAAACTAATAGGTGCGTTAACAGCCAAATGATTTATTTTCATTAATTTAAACCCAAAATATTCAACACAAAGTTCGTCTCCTTAATATGCGTTTGGTATGTTGTTTTTATTTTTGTGGGTGCAGTGTCAGGCCCGAAAGTGCGTTATCAAGTGCAAAATCCATTTCAACAAGGCACAGACTTGAATGTCGTGTTGTTGTTGTTGCGAAGGATTTGTGACTAGTGAATGAAGATGTACATACATATCAGCTGATGTCATTTATTTCGAGCTTAAGAACGCAGTAATCTTGTTGGTGTTGCTGTATATGTGTTTGAAACAACTGTTCCCATATCGTCATCGTCAATGAATTATACATCACCGCCTGGTTACGATGACAAGCTTAACGATTCCGACTCCGTGTATCAGTTGGACGAAGGGTTCGACAAGCTGTCAGTGGAAGATTATGTGGGCGAGGTCGTCGTGGAGGATGAGGTACTCTATGTCACGCCTCAAGGAAGCATCGTCACCGAAGATTTCTGTGGCGTGTTCGAAACAACCAATCCGTTGGGAGAAGAGACGCCCGAATGGCCATTTCCGAGTTCTGCTTCACCATCAGACCCAGGCTTATGCCCAGGACTAGACCAGCCTATCAGAGAGTTGACTGCTGAGCAAGTGCGCTGGCTCTACAAGAGTGACGCAGATAAGCAGTGGGTTCCTTTTAGTGGATTTGATTCTCTTCGCATAGAGGAGCGGTACCGACAACAGCGGCATCATCATCATGCAGACCTCCCTACGCCTAACCAATCCTCAGCTTCTCGTTCAGAAAGCTCAAACAGTGCCTCTACTAGCTCTATGGATGATAGTGTGTACTATGACGCATGCAGTTCGGGGTACACAGATGGTGATTCACCCTCTGCTTCTTTGCCAAGGGACCATATTGTGGTTAGAGGCGGAATGTATGAAGTCAATATTGAAAAACGCAAATGTGTTTCTATCTTCTGGCCTGGTATGAACATATATTATTAAGTTGCTGCTCTGATTGTCAATTCATGTCAAACTACTCTGTATCAATGTAATTGCTTTCTTATTGCCTTTGATTACTTTTGCAGGTGAACAATGTGCGATCATGAGAGGCACATGGTTTTATGATGGCTCATGGCAACCACTGGATGGGGATCGTTGTGAGCAAGTTGAAAGTGTTCATCTTGCATTGTTTGCTAACCATTGCATCTCTGACTACATATCTGCTAGTAATCCGAAACAACCAAAGCAAGGTCTCTTGTTCTGTTCAATCCTTTATCTGGTGCTATGCTTCATTGTAGAGAATCTTTTCATTACTTTATATCCATTTTCAGTTGTCAAATCAGAAAGCTTTTCTGAGTTCCGAATTGACTGGTACTCTCCTATTGAAGTTTATTTGTATAGTGAAGCTGCTCCATCAAAGTTGGTTCGAAGTTTCACTCAAAAACTGGGATATTTTCAGAAATGTAAGTTTTGTTCTTGACCCATTCCACTTGCTTTGATGCCACTCATTGTACTCACTTGATTACTCCAAACTCTCTGATTACAGCAACTGGCTACAGACTTTGTAGAGGCTACAAGACCCTGGCTTCTCTTGATGACCGTCCAGTTGATGTCACTCATCTAGTCTTTGTGATACATGGTATTGGTCAGAAGATGGATAAGGACCGCATTATAAGAAACACATGCACGTCAGTGTTTTAGATCATGTGTCTATTCATTTGTCTATCTTGTCTATTCTTGCACAACTGCTTATTCAAAAACCACAATTTTTGGTATTTCAGTTTTCGTGATTGCACTTCCTGGCTGCAGACTAAGTATTTTCCTTCATCCCAGCATCGAGCTGAGTTTTTTCCTGTGGAATGGCGCTCATCTCTTAAGTTAGATGGAGGTATGTGCTATTTTCTGGTAGATAAATTATTTTTTGCTGTGAAATAAATTTATTGATGATAACTGTTAATTTTTTTAGGGATTGTGGAAGCTATAACTCCTAATAAAGTTCAAGGTATTAGGTCACGCTTGAATGCAACAGCCATGGACATTATGTACTACACAAGTCCTTTGTACAGTCGGGAGATTCAAAAAGGCCTTACTTGTGAACTGAACCGTCTTTATTCCACATTTACTCAGCGCAATCCAGATTTTGCATCTCGAGGCGGCAAAGTCTCCATCATAGCTCACTCTTTAGGCTGCGTAATTGTATATGATATCATCACTGGCTGGAGTATCACTCACACTTTGGAGCAAAGAAAGGTCTCTATCCATTAAGAACACCATTGCTTTAATCACACTTATGTATTTGAATCATTTCAAATTGTAACTTCTTTTTACCTAGGCTCAAGAGTCATCAAATAACAATCTAAATGGAGCTGATGTTGAAGAGGGAAGCAGTCAAGCCTCTGGTGGATCAAATTCCCCAATATCTTCTCAGGGCACAACACCCACACCAACACCCACACACCGTCCTGCAAAATTGCTTTTTGAGGTGTGTTTGGTGACACAGAAGTTGGTGCAGTGCATAAATAAAAACCTTCATTAAATTTAAAAAAAATAAAAAAAATCTGCTGTTTATTTTTTAGTTGGACAATCTTTTCTGCTTGGGATCACCTTTGGCTGTTTTCTTGGCCCTACGTGTAAGAGATCCACAGGCAGAGAGTTGCCACAAAGATCTGCTCCCTCCTACTCTCTGCCATCGATTCTTCAATGTATTTCATCCCTCTGATCCAGTTGCTTACAGGTTAGATGGATTGTATGATTTTTGCTTTAGTCCTTCAAATCTCAGTGTCATTTATGTGGTTGTAATGTAATGGAGCTGTGAATGTTTCTAAACAGTCATGCCTAATGTGTTTCAGGATGGAGCCTCTATTGGTGCGGGATTATGCTAAACTTGCACCCATACAAATTCAAGCCTATAATGCAGCCACCCACGTCCTCTATTCAGATGTCCCTTTGGAACTTATTCCTTCAGATGCTACTGCATCAACTAGTCAAGCAACTGCAATGAGACAGGCAGGCGATGAAGGAGACTCCCCCAAGTCTCCTGGTGGAACACCAAGTCGAGGCAAGTGTTTATATCTTTACTGACTTATTGTATGTTTCATACTACTAGTGATTATAAAGCTCCTCATGTGTTTAGAACGGGGATGGAGTATTTGGAGTATTGTTCGAGGGGGCTGGAAGGCTCCCGGTGAAAAGATTTTGGATTCGCCAACTCAAGGTATTCCATATATTATAATAATGAGGTTGTGGATCCCTTGTTGCTCATTTTGTAATGATGTTTCTTTCTGTTTAGGCCTTGAGCATCGTATGGACTATGTCTTGAGAGACAGTAATCTTGGTGGACCCTACATATCAGCAATCACATCTCATACTGATTACTGGCGCAATTATGATGTTGCGTACTTTGTTCTAACTAGGCTTTTCCCAGAACTTGAGCAAATGGCAAATATTCCTGTTGGTCAGGTTGATTCAACTCATCAGTCGCCTCAACAGCAATCCCCTCAGCAGGCTGTGCCCCGAGTTGTGTCCCCTCCACTTTTGCAACAAATGTTATCTCAGGTGTCTGATCAGATAAAGTCATAATTTTTTAAAAAAAATTTAGACTTTATCTTCCTTTTTTTTTTCTACTTTATTGAAGATGGCCATTCCTAAATGTCACTCTGTTCAACAGGTGCAATCTCAGGCCCAGTCAGTTCTGCAAATTCAACCTCCATCACTACCATTACTAATATCTTCCCCTTCTATACTGCAACGCAAAGGAAGCAATGAAGCAGCCAGTAGATAAGCTGCTACTAATAATTTTAATTACTTTAATTTTCCCCGCTTTCAAGAAATTATAATTTAGTTTGCTTCTTTATTGTGATATTTGTTACTTCAGATTGTTTAGTGTAATTGTAAATCTTTGAGAAGTGGCAGATTAGTGCTACCTGAGGTTCTGAGAACAGAGTGGTTATGTATTATTATTTATTTGTCATATAGTATTTATTGATGCCAAATACTTCATTACATTGCTGTGTTCTGTTGAGATGATTTGTCCAAGACTGGAGATCCTATTTTATATTATTTCACTTTTGGATTGTCTGTTCTGAACTTTCATAACATATTCATCAGAAAAGCTTGTAACTACTTGTAAAATACTAACTGTTGATCATGGAGTAATTTGTTTAAAGAGAGCTATACTCTATGACCACCAGATAATAATAATGGTGAGATTCTTTTGGGGGTTATTTTTATATAGTACATCTAACATATAATTACTAGTTTGTTTGTACAGCCGGCTTGATTGGAGACCCATTCATTTCGTACTATTCAATGTCTTTCTGCCTCTATGGCTTTCTCTTTGTGGTGATGGTCTGTGTGTTCAGTCAAATCATTAGTTCAATGTTACCTGGTCTCTACTTTGTACGTCTTATTTTCCTAAGGTGATGATACCTCCTTTTATGAACGACAATAAGCACTGTCCCATAACCTGATTTTCTGGTACAGACAATAATATATTGGTTACAGCACAAAGCGTCAATGAGGACGAGGTTTTTCCCGTTATTAAGATAAATGAGTGAAACTTTTTTGGTCTTGTATCTCGAAAAGGCTTTTGTATTGTATTTGGCAATTTTTTATTCAAAATTATTGTACATTTTGGGCATTTATTAATTTATCTGGAGACATTGCTTTCTGATAGCTCTGAAAGCTGAACTGAAATATTTGGTGCTGCCAGAATGTAATAACTGATAAGCCATGTCCATGTAGAAAAAAGTATTTTCTACATTGTGGTTCCACTTCTGTTCTTTCTTCTTGTTTCTCCCCTTTAGCCACTATCCAGTAGTAGACCTCTTACTTCAGTTGTTGTTTATTTTGATGCATGTAATTTTGTTATTGTTATTGCTGACATTGTTTTAAGGTTAATCTTTCTTCAAAGAAGCAGAGTTTAAAGTTTAGTTGTGAAGTATTTAAAGAGTTTTGTGGAAACTGTGCATGTTCAGAATGTACCGTTATATCTACTCATCCAATCACAATCAGCTTATTATCCCGGTATTATTTACAAGGTGTTAATTTGACTTTGTTTTATAGATGATAAAGGCCATCTGCCTAGTTGCACACCATGTTAGTGTGAGCAAGGTCAATATTCTTATGTGTTCAGTCCTAAAACTAAACAAAGGTTGTAGTACAATTTACAGATTTTGAAATCAGCTCACTGATGATGAGAATCTATTATCATATCTGGATGAAACATGTCTACATTATAGGAAAATTCTGTATTATTGGGTTCCTGTTTTAAAGAGCAAACCACCAAAGAGTCATAGATGGCAAACTTAATCTATCCACTGCAGGTCTTCCATTTCATTTAAAGTTAACAAATCATGGCAGGAGGTTTTGTATTTATTTTGTAGAAATCAATTTGTGTCTGTGATTAATCTGTGTTAGTGCACACTACTCCTTAGAAAATTTCTGTAATGTGATGATTTAATTAACCCTGTAATGATTTATATTGGACTCTTCCTGTATCATACAATGCTGGCAGAAGAGAACCCTGCTTTCAGTTGAGGCTGATCAAAGGTAAACTCCTTTACTTCCCATCCCATATATATGGAAAATCCTATTGAAGTCAAGTCATTTATATACGCTCCCAGAATGATTGTCTTCTTCTGCTGCAATCTTCGGGTTAATTTATTGATTACTTACCTTTTCTTTGGGCCAATGTGTGTCTAAACAAAATAGCCAAAGACTTGTTTTTATCAGTGTTTTTAGTATGATGATTTCAAGTGCTGTAAAATCCATTTCCCCGTTTATGTTGTTATCATAAGTAGATATATGCCTGATTTGGAATTTGAACATTCTTAAGCTGGTTTGTTTGTCTTACCAAATTATGATTTGTAACTTACTTGCTCAAAGCAATTGTGATTTTCATACTGAGCAATTTATAGTTCTTCTCTCTTGTTTTCAGTTTTTTTTTGTTTTCCTCTTATTGCAGTGATGATTAATCTAAGGTAGCACAGTGTAGATGTTGATTTACCAAGCGTGGCTAGTTTCTAGAAATTCAAATTTTTGGAAAGTGTGTGTTTCTTGAGGATAGTAGTGATTCCACGTAACCCTGTCATGGGGAAAGAAGGCTAGTAAAAGACTTTTGACCGTGAATTTGAAGACTATTTAGTGTGTGGCGTACACTTTCAACCGACTGACTTAAATTAAGACTTTATGAAAATTTGCCTTCTTGCAATATATTTGACATGTATTGCATCCATCTGCAATGGCTAGATCTCTTAGAAAAAATACATATTTAACCATGAATTTTATCTGCACATTGTATCCTTCAAGATTTGGTTAAAACATGTACGATGATTTTTCTCTTTCCAGCCCTTTCCCTTTTTCTCTCTAACTTCACCTTATCCCAATTTCTATCTCTCTATCTCATGATACTTGATATAAGTGAGGGTCAGCAATCCGGTTTTAGTTTGTCTTTTCATCCTATGAGGTTTTCTATTTTATTATTATGTATCACTTGAAAATAATTCAAAGCCAAAACATCTTCGAATGCATAGAAGTACTAGTATCGTTTATCTAAAATCATGTACATCTGCATATCCATAAGCTGTCTCAGAGGTTTATAAAGGTTTGTTTTAAATGGTTACCTCAGTCCAAATTACTGTCTGATTGAATTTGTTTTAAGGCAGTTAGGTTTTTTTACGTGTATTTTTAGGTATTGTAAATGAAGCCTTACGTTGTGTCTTTTGTAAACCAATAAGTTTTTTGAAAGGAAAACATACATGTCATGTTTTCAATTTCTAGAACATTGATGACTGTTTTTACCATTTGATGCTGTAGATGTCCAGTATTAAAAAGCAATTGTATCCAAAGAGCCCAGTCCAATTAATTTGACTCTCACCTCCACCACCGCCCTTTTTCCTCCGCCTTGAGGTGATGTTAAGTAAATTCCAGAAAATGTTCAACTGCTCATGAAACCGCTCAATAATGACCATTTATTTCCATTATTCGTCAGGCAGGGAATGTGTTAAGTCCTTTTATTTCTTAAGTCAATATGTCAGAATTGACATGAACCTTGAAACGATGAAAAGTTAGAAGATCTCAGCTGATGACGTGAACTTAGTAGACAGTCTGCAGGAAGGAGTTGCTCTTGAAGCAGTCTTCCTTGATCTGCTTGGCGAGAGCAGCTGCTTGCTCACCGAGTGCCAATGCGGCCTTGCGGATGTCTTCGGAGTTCTCCCATGAGTCGCGGATGGCCTGCAGGCCGCAGTTGAGCTTGGGGAGGAGGGGCTGGTTGCCGCAGGCCTTGACGTTGCTGACGAGGGTGTTGAGGGCCGCCTCCACGAGTGGGAGATCCTCCTTGCCGCTCTTGACGACTTCCTGGACCTGCAGCGGCAGCGACGTCGATATCAAACAACGCTAGGTAGGCATTCAGGGCAGACGGGGCTTGTCGAAAATGCTACTGACCTTGCCGAGGTATTTGATCAGGCACATCACGTTGTCGCCGAGGTGGGCACCCAAGAGCTCGGCCTGCTCAGGGAGCACAGCCAGGGCCTCAGCGACAGGGTCGCTGCCAGGGAAGCCCTGTTAGGAAAAAAACATCGTCGCTGATTTTCTTTTTTTGCAGGATAGCCGATACAAGTGACAACAGTTCTAATTGCTTATCAAGAGATAAGCCCGTGATTGACAGTAGGCATGAATGTCCAATCGATAGTGTCTTAAACTTCATGATTGCGGAGAGACAAAGCGAGGACTTATTCTAAACAGTGATTCTCCGTTTTGAAAATGCAACACAGGCGCGTGCACCTGCGCACCATCCTGGTTCCATTTTGTGGCTAAGCAGTCCCTTCAGAAACAGCAAGGACAGTGTTCGGGACTGCCTCCCGACTAGACAAGGCACAATGGGGAAGGCTGAAGGCTGCCCCTCCCCTAGCGGGTAGGGCCTCGCCGCCGCTGGAGCCTGGAGGGAAGCCGGTCGGCGAGGTCGGTGGGGGTGCGTGCCAGTGCGTGCGTGGACTGCAGGACTTCCCCCTCGGCCTGCAGCGGGTGGCGGGGCGGGGTGCGTGGACCATGGACAGGCCCCCTCGGCTAGGTAGCGGCCTGCAGCCAGACTGTGGACTTCCCCGGCCACCCCCTTGCGACCGCAGGCATGTCATCAGCGTAAACAGTACCTGGACCTGGGCGCCGGCCGCCAGAGCGATGAAAACCAATGCAGCGATCATGTTGCTTATCGGGAATCGAGAGCACACTGAAGCTTTGCTCGCCTGGCGACCGGCCTTATAATGCCTTACAGGTGCTAGCCCATGCGCAGCGATGCGCAGCGCGTCTCGGCTCCACCTTCGAGTGGTGATAATTGAGATAAGATCCGGAAGGGCCGGCCGTCTCCTACGTCAAAGCGAGATGCGCGAACGTGATTGGAGGGATTGCTTCCGAGAAACACTCAAATACTAAATAAATCCATGACTAAACTTTTGTGGTGAAGTAGCACGCCTACTCTGAGACTCGCACCCGTTGACACGGCCCAGGAAGGATGGAAGAGACAAAGCAGTGTCATGATGGGAAAACATCGTGAGTTGTAATATTGTACTGGGACCAAGCAACATGGGTGACAGGACAGGAGCATACTAGAAGATCCAACATCCCCATCCAAATCCCATCAGGGTAGGAAACAAACAAACAACAAATCAGTTAGACAGCACTTCAAAAATTACTAAATAAATCTTTAATTGGATAAAATAAAGGTAATCAACATTTTAGGAATGAAAATCGTCAGAAAATATATAGCAGTGCTAGTGCATGTATACAGCGTTGTTTGTACACGAAAAATTCGGTACTGATACAAAAAATATAGTTTTTACGCTGTTTAAATTTTTTCTTTGTATGATTATTTACACATAACTGTCTGATACATGAAAAATTGCCATACTTATGTCTCAAGCACATCAAAATAATAAAAACTAACAATATACTTAAATGTTGAAACAGACAATAAACTAATAAATCAAACAAAAAGGCAATAAAATTGAGAAAATTCACATAACTTACGGCCCACAAGGATCATGGAAGCCTATACCTCTCAGTGATGCAAGGGCTCTATCACAACAATCCTGCCCAATCTGTTAAACGGGTTCCTCTTCACAATTTCAAAACACTTCAAAGGAAGTATGATGTGGTAGGAACAATGCTAAAAAATACACATAAATGTATCTAAGAGCACAATGAAGGACAGCTCACTTCAAAATATGAAGAAAACACAAACAGCAGTATAAGTTTGAAACATGATAACACTATCCATTAGTTTTTACTAGTGGAAAGTCAGGTCACTTTAACAGGTAAAGAGCTGCAAACTATCATAACATAAATGGTTCTCTCAACATACGAGATTCTATATCAATATACAGAACAAAAGTAAATAATAACAAAACACAAACAAAATATAAATATTTATGCTATACAATATTGGCAACAAGGAGGAATAATGGGGAGAACACCATCCTTACACAAGAATAACTAACATGAAATATAAAACTATAACAATACTCCTGGACTGTCCACTTGATGGCAGGTTTCTCACAGGAAGTAATACAATCATAAGAATGAAAGTTACCAGGTGGGGTAGATCAGCCATGCACTGCCTTCCTCACCTGGTATGATTCACTCCAGAGACCATCCTTGTAACCGAAAATGCACATTCACTTGTGATGCCAGGTTCACCTTGCTTCTGAAAAACACTTCTGAAACCTTCTCTCATGAAGATTTTCATTAATCTACTAACATTCAGTGACAATCAAAAAGTGTTTTTATCCTAATAAGTGAGAGATGAAGATTGTACAATGAGCCTTTAATAACTTGGGTTGTAGTTCCTTTAGTCTGGATTATATGTCAGTTTTAAAATGAATGATACTGAATAAATTTTTTCAAAATCTACTTTGGTCGTTATTCATCACAGCAGGTAAACTTACAAGGCACAAATATCCAGGTCTCTTCAGTAAGGTGTTGGAAGTTCTAAAATAATCATTTCTTAACTAATTAACTAAAACAATTTTGGCAATGGAAAATGGCCTTACTGAGAAATGAAATCACTGGCATTAATTTTCTCTTGTATTTGCTTTTTGAAAGAGGAAACAAGTGTGCTCCCTACAGTGGTTTTGAACATGTTGAACTGACAGTAGTCACTCCCAGATTGGCGACGAGGACGAGAACGAGTACTATGAACTGAACTGGTGTTGCTGTACGTCTTTGTGTGGCCATTCTGGAAAGGGTACAAATAACCGATTACAGAAAATCAATTTAAAAAGTCTGAATAAGGCACTGAAACAGGTCAGAAGTGCAGATACTTACAGTGTGATGTACGATCGCCTCCAATTCTGGATTACTCTGCTGCAAACTTGGATCCATTCCAGAACCAGAAGTAGATTGACTTGTAGAATCTATCTGTTCAATACTTTGAGAGCCAAAGAATGGTGACACAAACTCAATGTTTTCTACAGTATCTGACCCCAGTGCATCTACTGTTTCTTCTTTTACGAGGATTACATTCGAGGGATTTTCAATTGGGGATTCATCATCTTTCAATTCTGAAGTCTCTGAACCATGACTCAAAATAATATCAAGAATTTGCTTTAATTCTGCCAAGCCCATGCGAATGTACATTTCTAAAACAACACTGTGGGTAACTTTAGCAGGATTTAGAGCCAGACTAAATGTGGGCTCTGGGAGGTGAAACAATGAAATAGGAGGCTTATGGTCAGATATAGAAATATCTCGTAATGACTGAAGAGTCTTAATCAATGAATTAAAAAGTTTCCCTAGTTCTGTCCTACTCACATCCACCCATTTCTCCAAACTGTCTAACTGACTTTCAAGTTTTTGTGAGGAAACAAGTTCATTGAAGATATCCCGAAAACCATCAACAGCATCAGTTAAACAGTCTTTCACAATTTTTTTACAGAATGTGTCAGACTCATCATGCGACTTCAGTGGTTTGTTGTATTCTTTCAATTGGGATATCAAGATAGAAAATGCACGCTTTAAAAGGATAGACCCCTTGGAAAGGGAATCATCAAGAAAAGGTGATTCATGTTCCTTCAATTGTTCATCACCTAATAATACAGATGACAAATCTTGCTTTGTCATTTCCCAACCCCGCAAAGGGTGTTTGATAGCCCTATAGCACTGTCTTGGGACATCAACATTTGTCCGACTAGAGGATTTAGTGCTCAAAAACACACCTGCATGTACAATTTTGTTCTTGACTTCAGACGCAACATTACTCAAGTCCACGGTATTGCTCTCACTATTTTGAATTATATTTAGCTGGTCATCAGTAACGCCCAAATGATCCTGCAATGGTAAAAATTAACACATGTTAATAATGGTGTAGAGACAAACAAGGTAGTATTACCACCGCGAGTTCTACTAAAGTTGGCTGGCTCTTTGGAGGGCATTATAATAACCACTTACTGATAAAATTAAAATTAATTTACCTTAAGAAAAGATGTCATAGACTTAAGAGCTTGATCCATAGCTAAATTGTCGTTCTTGACCAGGTCCAGTTCCTCAGATGTAATGCTGTTGATATTATCCATGTCACTAGTATGATCCTAAAGAAAGAGGGTGCAAGTAAAGATTTTATAAACAATTTGTTGCAAGCATTTAGATAAAAATAGCCAAATAGTATGTATTTTGAACCACAATAGACCATCATGTTTCAGTAAATACCTCATTTGCACTGTCCTGCCTTCTAAACTCATGAGGAGATCGCTTCCTGAAATGAACAGACCATAAGCACAACACAAATTTAAAATGTTAATGTCACAATGTAGCATGCAAGCCCAAAAATGCACGTACCGAGAATATGTCCTTATATTAGTCTTCTGTTTCTTTATCTCAAAAGTACCTCTGTCCATTTGAAGTTTTCTTTTTCCAATGTCCTGATTCTGTGATGAGGATGGAGTGCTATCTTCAGGTACAAAACTGGGTGAATCGTTAATTTGATTTGGTTGATGCCGTGTTGCTGATCTGGTTTTGACAGTTTTGACTCCAGAATCCCCATATATTCTTAATAAGAGAGGCTTCCTATCAGGCCGACGCACACATCTTATCTTTTTTTCCTGGGGAAAAAAAATAAGCAAGTTGATTCAGCTGTTAGTTATATTTTTTCTACTAACTAGTTAAACCTACCCTAGTGTAACTTAATCATCAAAACTTAATACTAACCTGCGCTCTTTTTGAATACTCAGGATGAGTCAGTGTGTGATTGTCCATGAAGAAAAGTACCTCATGAAGTTTATAAAATTCTTGCTGCTTATCTCCTTTAGGTCTGAAAAATAAAATGATTCCATTGACAACATTTGCAAAGATGGAAAATACATTGGGCTATAAATGATCAACAGTTCTCTGAAGAGTACCACACTAGGTACAATTAAATCTTAGAATGAAGATAGCAGGAAAATGTAGCTAGAGTATATTGGTTTTACTAGGGATTGCAGGGAGTGTCAATTAATGACTGATGACAGTGACAACTAATGCTCACACTGTTTAAAATATAGAATGAAATGAAAACCGGGTACGAACTTAACCTCAATTATGACAGAAACCAAGAAACAAAGTACTTACAGATGAATTGGAAAAGTGGTATCGACGCTTTTCGGAAAATGTCGCTCACCGAGACAGATTTTCCCATTAACTTCTTTAATTTGACGTTTGTTTTCAACACAATCCCGCAAAATGTCTAGAAGATCTTCTGCCATGTTTCGGCAATATTTTCCTAAAAAACAGGAACGTAAAAAGGAATAGAATTAAAAAGAGATTTACAACGCTGTAACAAATACAAAGTTAAGAATTAAACGATACAATTTACTGAACCTTAATTGAAGTTAATGGTGTGTGAAACGGTTTGGTAAACCTGAAAATTATCTACTATCTTTTGTTTGTTTTGTTGTGTGTGTTGGTTTGTTTTATATGCCAGTTGTACCAACGTAGTGAGGTCATCTGTTTTGTTTGAATGAGCTTTGTGGCATTCCTTACGGAGTCAGTATTGAAAACGGAATAAGTTTATTAGTTATTTTATTCCCTTCTAGTGGAGAAGACTTACTATCGTGCCTCAGGTTTGGTTTCACTGCACACATCATAAGTCAGTTTTGTACAAGTGCTTACAGTCAGTCAGCTGTTAGTTGTTATTGTTTGACCACCTTGTCCCCAAAGTCAACATGACCTTTCTTAGAGTTTAGAATATAGCATCTATTATTTTGGTACCTCCGGTATAGGAGGTAGTCCTAAAGGTCTGTTATTCATTTATTTTTTATTGTAACGTCTGTCACTTTGTAAAACTCTGCTAAGTTCTTACTTCGTTAAAGGAGTGGAGGTTAGACGTACATTTTTATTGGGGATTAGTCTTTTATCTTTTATTCTGTTTTGTAACTGCCTGCAAAGCTGCCTCTCGAATTATTTTTGTCGCGCAGAATTCAAGCAGCCTGTAAATTTGCTCTATTGTGTGCTTCAATCCTAACGTTTTTCATGACTTCAAATTATTTTGAAAATTAATGTGCGCTCATTTTTCGACCTGTTTTCTTGTACAAATTATCTTCACGCATTGTACAATAGTTTTTATGTTGCAGGGTGTTGGGATGTACATAGTTGTGGCAGAATTGTGTGCTTGATTTAGAATTTGTTTTTCTCCTTTTTTCCTTAAATATTCTGGTTGTGTTATTTTGTAGTGGATGCTTTTGCAGACGACTTTGATGGGTAGTTCGACTTTTTCTTAACTCCATATTTTCATCTCTTCAACAAAAATGATTTCAAAGAGGTATTGCCACCCTTTAATTTTACATCAATTTTTGTGTTTGATCATTTTTTTAAAAATTCACTTTTTTTGGTCATGGCTTTTGCTTTGTCTTTTTTACTGTTTTGCCCAGTGAAATGTCTTCTTCTTTCTATTTGTTTTGTCTCGATTTCGCACCACCTTGGTCCTTCTAACTGTTTTCGGAGTTTGCTCTTTCCTTTTTTGTGCTGTTATGTGTATGTCTATCAATGTGCTTTAAATGACTTTGGCTTCTGCCTCAGTTTTCTAATTTGGGAAAGCATGTTTATGTTGGGGAGTTTCCTTTATTACTTTGTTCATAGCTAAACTTATGAACATGTATGTAAAAAGGTATCTGTATTTTACAGATTAATCCAGCAACGCCCCAGTATTGGCGAGCTGGACATTGATATGAAATTAAAGATGTCTAATTATGAAGAAACAGTTCGTCAACTAGACATATATTATGGAATAGGTACATTTTTCTTTTGGTTCATTTGTTTTTTACATTTGCATTAGATACTTAATTGACAAATTCACTTTTCTTTCAAGTCAAGAGGCAGCTACTACGGTACCAAAGTTCAATAACAGGTCTCTTCCCAGTTGTCTCCACTGAAAAAGAGGTAGCAAGTGTTCGGGAGAGTATATATTGTGCCGCTGCTATTTGGAGCCTTTATCAGGCCTACAGGTATTTATTTTCAGAGAAAAATGATTAAATCTATTTGATGACGATCTGACAAAGTCAAATATGTTTTTAGGAGAATAGATGATGACCGTGGAAAATCATATGAGTTAGGCCAATCTTCTGTAAAATGCATGAGGGGGATTTTGGAGTGTTGGATTAAACAAGCGTCAAGAATTGAGCTTTTCAAAAAAAACCAATGCAACAAACATGCTCTGCATTGCAAGTTTCACCTCATCACTGGAGATATCATTTATACTGATGATGAATATACCCATCTTCAAGTGAGAACATGTCACCATGTTTGTAGAGCATATAATATACATCTTTGATTATTTACCCTAGCAAATACCTGCCTTTTTGTTTCCTCGCTTTAGATTGATGTTGTGTCCCTGTACCTGATTTTTTTGGTACAAATGATTACATCTGGACTTCAGATAATTTACACTCAAGATGAAGTAGCATTTGTTCAAAATTTGGTGTACTATGTAGAGCGTGCTTACCGCACGCCCGATTATGGGATGTGGGAGCGTGGAAGTAAATACAATGATGGCACACCTGAGATTCATGCAAGGTTGGTGTCAAATAAAATTTGAACTCTAAGTAATCTCTTATCTCATTGTTCTACCAGTTTCTAATTCCAACTTTGGACTGCTTGCTTTGAACTGATTAGCTCCATTGGAATGGCAAAGAGTGCCCTAGAAGCTATTAATGGGTGTAATCTTTTTGGGGAAAAAGGAGCATCTTGGTCTGTTATTTATGTTGATATTGATGCTCACAACCGAAACAGAAGTATTTTTGAAACAATGCTGCCCAGGGAGTCAAGTTCCAAGGTAACAATTTCAAGAGTATTTTACTGTCAATAAAATTTTTATAATTTCTTAATAAATTTTGCAATTTTGCAATTCTTATGTAGGCAGTGGACGCCTCCCTTATCCCTACAATATCATTCCCAGCATTTGCAACTCATGAAGAACTCTTGAGTACAGAAACAAAGGCTAATGTTGTCCGTAAGTTAAAGGGCCAATATGGTTTCAAGCGTTTTGGACGAGATGGCTACAAGAGTGTGTTGGAAGATACTTCTCGGCGATTTTACAAGGACGGAGAAACAAAGGTGACATGACTTCTCATAATTAATCATTATCTTAATATTAATTGAGTTACTTATTTTGGGTATGGCCATTCTGCTTGCAGGAGTTTGAGGGAATTGAAAATGAATGGCCACTCTTCTACATTTTTATGATAATAGATGGTGTATTTAAATCTCAACCTGAGCAGGTAGAAGAGTATCAAAATCTTTTGAAGCCTCGCATTAAGAAAGACACCAATGGGGGTAAATGATTCTCCAGCAAAACCACCTTCTTGTGTTTTTATTTTGTTTGTTTTTTGCCCCATTGTACTAAACAATTTTTGTTGCAGATCCAGTAATACCTATGTATTTCTATGTCCCTGAGGAAAATATTGAAATCGAAAAGCAGGACCCTGGAACATCAGTGAGACTGGCCAGTGAGGAGGGCAGAGGGGGTGATGGCGGCTTGTGCCTTTGGAATCAATCAATGCTTATTATTGCCCAGCTTCTTACGGCCGGTCTGCTTCACATCAATGAGCTCGACCCCATTCGTCGGTACTTACCTTCGTTCAACCGGCCCCGAAAGGGTGGTCGCTATTCAGCTTTCCAGGTTGGTTTCAGCCTTTACTAGTTGATTTAGCATCTGTCAGCATCAGGTGTGTGTTTTAACATTTATTAGTAAGAAAGTTATAAAATAAAAGTATGGTGTGTCACTTGCACTCATGGTTGGGATCAGGCCAAGCCATCTACTGTAAGTAAATACATAGCATTTGAGTGATACATTACCTCAAATAATCAAGCTAATATGCCTGATTAAAATTTGACAGTCCTTGCTAAATCGATCCTTGCAAATGTATTAAAACTAAATGACTTATTGCAGGGTACTGCTACAGATTTAGTGGTACAAATTGTGCTTATTGCTGAGTCTATGCGACTTCAAGCTATGATGGCTACTTATGGAATCCAAACGCAGACTCCTCATGAAGTGGAGCCTGTCCAAATATGGTCATCCCGGAAATTGGAGGAAGTTTATCAAAACTTGGGAGTAAACCGTAAAATTGGTTTAAAGGGTAGACCAATGCGTCCTGTTGGAGCGCTAGGCACTAGCAAGGTATTTGTTGTCAAGTGAATATAGATCTATAATATAGTCTCATTCCTAGTCTGAATGGCATAACTGTTCTATTTAGGTTTATCGAGTTTGTGGAATGACTGTTTTGTGCTATCCACTCATTTTTGAAGTGTCAGAGTTCTATCTCTACAGTGATATGGCCTTGTTAATTGATGACATAAAAACAGAGCTTCAATTTGTTGGTCGGTATTGGCGTTTGTCTGGTCGTCCTACTGTTTGTCTACTCATTCGTGAGGAGCATATGCGGTGGGTCAGACAGCTGTAAAGTTAATTGTCAATCATCTGATGGAATAATTCTAATTTTAATAATTTGTTTTATTTTAGGGACCCACAGTTTAAAGAAATGTTGGATCTAATGGCTATGTTGAAGAAAGGTTACTGCGACAGTGTTAAAGTTCGTATTGGGCGTTTGCAAAACTTAATTGCCTCTTCCTGCATAGGTATGTTTGTTTATTATATCGTAAATTTGAGTCCTGAGTGAGAGATTGGTAAGGAAAGTCATAGTGGCGGCAAAGTCTTTGACTGTTTTACTTGTACTCTGCTGCAGAACATCTTGATTTCATGAACACTGTTGACACATCTGAGATGGTGTTTGAGCAGTTCAAACAGCTGGAGCATGAATACATTGGTTACCAGAGCCTGACTGATGTACCTCGGTCATTGAATTATTCAGAAGACAGCATGAGCTATCTGGTAAGCTAAGATAAAGGCAAAGCTAGCGGGAATTTCCTTTACCGTTTGTGACTTATGCTGTGGTTGGTGGTGAAATTTGTTCCAGCATCTTGAAACAAAACCTATTTGGGAAGTAATTGATGCAATCAGAGGCTCATCAGGCCTGCATGCCAAATGTCAATTATTTGGCATTCTTCTGAAAAGGGAGGGCCCCAACTATGATGTGAATGGCCTTACTGGTGAGATTACATTTCGTTGTTCCACAGGGCTTTTTATAGTATGTTTCACCTGTTTCAACTTGTTTTTGTTTCCTTGCACATTCAGTGGCAGAGCACTTGAGGAGTCTCTATCAACAGGCCTGCGGCCTCCATTACTGGATAGCTGTTCGCTACTGCAGCAGCCTACTCCATCACACCGTCGACAGTATTAGTCCATTTATTACAACAGTCCTTGTTAATGGAAAGCAGGTTTGTTTTCTTACAATCTGCGGTGTTAGTTTGTCCTCAATTTGGATTCTGTTCAGTTCTAATACATTTATTTCCTGCTTTTAGCTTACAGTAGGAGCAATAGGACACCAAGAGACTGTTTTTGACAAGCCACTGACTCCTGCAGAAATTCAGTCTATCATGTATAACCGGATACAACCCTATGATGTGATCCAGGCTGTCTTGCAACAGGAGGTTGTTTTATATTGTGGCCGCCTTATTGCTACAAATCCTGAAATGTTCAAAGGCATTCTCAAGATCAGAGTAGGGTAAGAGTACTGTCTCATAATCATTGTTTTCTTTGTGTCGATTCTTCTGCACAGTTTGATACTTTCATTACGTACTCTGCTCTAGGTGGGTGCTGGAAGCAATGAAGCTATACTTGCAAATGCTGGGGCAAGATGCCATGTCTTTAGAGAACCACAGTCCATACCAAGTTCGACAGCTCCTTCACAAAGTTCTCTCTGTAAAGGATTGGGCCTCCAATGAAAAGTAAGACAACTTGTTCAGTATTTTTGCTTATGGAATCTTATTATTTTCTGGCTAATCCAACTTTTCTTTTTCTTTCAAGCCTAACACCTTTGCAGAGGAGACAGCTGGAAGGGTGTCTATGTCGGGTCCCATCTCATTTTTATAACCGCGTGTGGGATGTTATGACTAGAACCCCTGGTGGACTCCAAGTGCAAGGCCACAACTTGCCAGCTCAGCCAACACTCTCCAATATGACTAGATCAGAATTGAACTTTGCATTGCTAGTTGAAGAAATGTTGAACCACATACAAGCACCAGCATATAGGCAAATGGTGGTCGAGGTATGCATTTATTATACTTTCATATCATCTCTTCATTTAAAGTCAGAATATTATTTCCTTTTTTCTGCTTCCAAAGCTGCTGTGCATCATCTCTACAATTTTGTTGAGGAATCCAGAGTTAACGTTCCAAAACCATCTGGACTTGGACGAGCTCGTAATGGAGGCTTTCCATATGTATTGCAAGGTGAGATTGAAATAGATCTTCTCTCAGGAAATACATGCTAAGTGGTTCTACGCTCTTTAATGTGATAATCTTACTTCCAGGACAATAAGCTCCCAGTGACCAAAGACCAGACCAAGTTCTTCTCAGCTCCGCATTCAATCACAACAGGCTACCTTGCTCGGGCAGTAGTGAACAATGTTCTACAGGGTGGCCAGCTTGCTACAGGTTCTGACAATGATAATGATACACAGTATGACGATATGTGCAAGGTGTCATAATTTGGGAACTTGTTGTCTTCCCACCAAAATGCTTTTAATTATCACCTATTAGTGTTAAGAAGTGAGAACTTGTTGAAATGAAATAATAGTTCCTTCTATTGACAGTGCCATACGTAACTTGTTTAGACTTATGATATTGGTCTAGTAAGCTTCTCTTTATCAATACTTCATCTCTAAAATATTTTTTAGATTTAACTCAGCAGAATATTAAAAAAAAATATGAAAGACATTCTGTGATCTTTTCAGTGCCAAAATATGTGTCCCTTTTACTACATGTGCCATTTATCTTGTCTGTATCTTACTGTTTTTATTCTGTTAAGATTTTATGCCTGTTATTGCATATGCATAATCAAACATCATGTGATCTGTTTTCAAATCATATTTATAATCTGGTCCAGAAGCACTAAAATTCAGAATAAAATATAAAACCAGAAACTTCTTAGTGTGGTTGGCAGAGATTTTGTCACTGTTTGCCATTCCCGGTACAATACTTTGCGCCCAGGGGCGTCGAAGACGCGTTCCAATTCCAGGGCGGAGCAGGCCAAGGTGGCCCACGGCGTTTATGTAGCAGTATTCGCTACACGTGAACACACATGACAGCAAAGTTAAATACTCAGGCCCTCCTAGCTCAAAGCGAGGCCTTTTGGGTCGAGCCTGTAAGGAGAAGTGTCTTGCGCCCTGTGCGTGCACCTGAACGGTGCACACCTCGGAGGAAGGCCACCCATATCTTGAAAATGAAAGCCATATCTGAGTGGAGTCGTTTTGACGTCATTTTATGAGACAAAGCGATGTCGATTTATCTTAGCTTTGGCTGGGCGGTCGGGAAGGGCGCTTTGCTTGCGCCCCTCTGCGATGGGTGGATGGGCGGAGCAAGCGAGCGACTCACCAGTCAAGCGTTGCACCCACCGTAGCGCCCGCGAAGTCGAGGGTAGGCCGTCCCGCAAGGCACGCGCGTGTGGCAGGCTGGCCTACTCTCGAGGAAGGCAGGCGCCATGCCTTCGAGGCTTCGGGACGACGACCAGCCCGGGCAGCGGTAGCTAGAGCTAGCCCCAGGCTGCCCCAGGCCGACTGCTGGCAACAGGTCCGCAAGGCCTTCAACAAAGGCACCCCACACCGCGCCAACATGTAGCGACCAAGAACATTTCCTATTTCAAACAAAAAAAAAATAAAAAAAACACAAAAAAAGAGAAAAATTTGTAGTAAACTTGATGATAAATGGATCGCGTAGAAGACGCGGAAGAGGCGCTGGAGGGGGAGGCTGCGGCGGCCAGTGCTGCGGGCGGCCAGGCTGAGGGTCTGGAAGGTGGAGCCGATGGGCCGGAGCGGCTTGGGGAGGAACCAGCTCCAGCATTGGAGGACGACGCCTTTGACGGGGACGCCGGCGCCGTGGGGGTGGCAGAGCTCCGGGAGGAAGAGCAAGAGGATGCGGAGCCCGAGGAACCGGAGGAGACGTACGAGTACACTGAACAACAGGTACTACCTCACCAGTCACGTACTATCGCACCGAACGCCGCCACGCCCCCGAAAATGGTTTTGGCCCTCGCGTTTTTCCCAAGGTCCGGGACATCCGCGCGGCCTTCGGCGCGTACGACGAGGTGCTCAACGACACCATCCCCATCGGGCGCCTGGGCTGCGTGCTGCGGTCCCTGGCGCTCTACCCCACCGAGGCGGAACTGCGCGCCGCGGCCAAGTGGCTGGACGCCGACCCCATCAGGGGCGTCGTGCGCTTCAAGGTGTGTCAACGACGTCAACGACCACACCTCGTTTTGCCTCGACTCATTGTTGTTTGAAGAATCATCCTCGCTCATTTGTGTGTCCGAACCCCGCCCAAGGAGTTCCTCATCATCATGGGCCGCGCCCTCAAGGACCCCATCACAGAGCAGAAAGTGCTGGAGGTGAGGTGCCCTGCGCGCCCTTCGTCCTGGGCCGTCCCACAGTGGGCCAGAAGACCGGTGGAGGCGGCCAAAACTCTAGACGCGTTTTGAGCTCCAGAGACCTAAACAGGACTCGAACCAAACGTGTGACCCCACCAATGGATTCCTCGTTCGAAGAGCTATCCATTGGTGGGGTCACGCGTTCAGTTCGAGTCCCATTTAGGGACTCTGGAGCACGAAACGCGACCAGAGTTTCGGCCACCTCCACCGGTCTTCTGGCCCACTGTGCGTCCTGGGCCGTCCTGGGCACGCTGCCACTCACGTCGTCCTCTTGCAGGGCTTCCGCAGCATGGACAGGCAGGGCACGGGGCTGGTGAGCCGGGCCGTGCTGCACGACGCGCTCACCACCACGGGCGAGAGGCTGTACCCGCTCGAGTTCGCCGCCTTCATCAAGTACGCCGACCCCAAGCGGAAGGGCGTCGTCAAGTACGAGGACTTCGTGAGCAAGATGAACAGCGGCAAGCTCGGCAAGAAGAAGAAGAGGAAGAAAAAGAAGAAGAAAAAGAAGAAGAAGAAAAAGAAGGGCAAGCCGAAGCGCGTCGGAGAAGACACGAGCAGCTCTGGCTCGTCTTGCGAGGAACTCAGCGTGTAAATCAGGGGCGTTCTTCGTTGTTCGAAAAGGCTTTATTTCCATTTTGTTTGCGGGCGACACGGCCGAGAGAAAAGTATAAAAAATATATTCTAAAACTACGCTATTGGCTTATCTTATTGAGTCATCTCACACCCCCTCTTTAATCTACCTGAGATCGATTCACGTGTTTCACGGACAGGGAATGACGTAATGAATTAGGACTAGATGCACTGCTCTACAGCGCCCACACATATAAGATCATTCTCACACCGAGAGCGGTTCCAAAAAACGCTCGTAAGTAAAACTAACATTGTAACCCCTTATTCCCCACGTCCCCACGCACCCTTACAAGTAACTAGTCGAGATCACGAGCGGGCAGAGAAATAAAAGTGGCACCGGCCTCGGGGCTCGAACCCGCGGCGCTGAGTCGTACTCGCAGCACTAGTAGCACTGGCCCTCGTGCTGGGTGCACCACTCGGGCTGCACCGACTCCGACGGCGTGCCGAGCCGCGCCATCCGGTCACGGTGCCTGACGAAGCGGATCCGCGCCGACGTCCACGTGGTGGCGCTCGGCCCCGACCACAGCCTCTCCGCCACCGCGGCGGCACGCGGCCAGGTCTGCGGGCAAGCCGAGGGGCGAGCCGAGGGGCAAGCAGCGACCATTAGCAGCGATCAGACGGGGAGGAACAGCAGAACAGGGACACGACTGGGTGTCCAGAGCAGGAAGCGAGCCGCTGCACAGTGGGCCAGAAAACCGGAGGAGGCGGCCAAAATTCTGGACGCGTTTTGAGCTCCAGAGTACGTAGCTAAATGGGACTCGAACCGAACGTGAGACCCCTCCGATAGATTCCTCGTTCGGAGAGCAATCCATTGGTGGGGTAACCCGTTCCGTTCGAGTTCCATTTGGCGACTCGGAGCTCTAAACTCGTCTTTTGGCCGCCTCCACCGATCTTCTGGCCCACTGTGCGCTGGGTACAAAGTGTTCTTGCCATGGCTGTACCCACCTTGGTGCTGGCGCCGCTCTGGTCGGCCTGCTCGCCCCACATGGCGGCCTCCCCGCCCAGCACTTGCCGCGACACGTCGCCGAGGCCGCCCAGCCCCGCCAGGGGGTCGTTGTCGTAAGCCACCTGCGTTTTCGGCAATGCAATTCAAAGTTACGGAATGATGATGCTGGAAGGCGAGGAGCGAGGAGATGCCGTTCAAGTTGAAACGTACCTGCCACGGGTGGTACAGGTAGCCCGCCGTCGAGTTGCCCTTCCAGTTGCCGAAGCCGTGGTCCAAGTACCAGGCGTCCTTGGTGGACACGATGACGCGGTACCCCTTGGACACCAAGTCCCTGGCGAGGGGGTCCCCCGCCCGCAGCCACAGCTGGATCACGTACCTGGAAGAGCGATAATGTGAGAGGCGCCACGGCGGAGCGCGCCAGAGCGGGACTGGAAGCCCCGCCGCCGCACGCCGCCCTGCAGAGCGATTCCGAGAGTCGTTTTCTTCGCTCTGTCTCTCTTGCACTCATGGAGCGTTCCGCACAGGTGCGAGAGAGACAGCGACGAAAACGACTCTGGAAATCAGTCTGCTGCATGGCCCTGCACGCACCTGTCCTTATCGAGGTACTTCTGGACCACGTCGGCGGCTGTCAGCTCCGACGTCCACAGGATGACAGGAATGCCGCTGCCGCTCTGACTGGGAGAGGCGCGGCCCTCCTGGAGGCCGTCGTCGATGTCCTCGGCGACCTCGGGCAGTTCCACCAGTTCCACCGGGCCGACGGCGGCCTGCGCGGCCAGAGGGCCGTCGTCGGGAGCCTGGCGGCGACGCAGCACAGAGTTGACCTCACCCTCGCGGACGTCGTTGACATCGGCGTCGACGTCGGGCAGCAGGGGGCCTTCGGTGGTGGGCAGGCTGGCGGCAACAACCAGGACGGTCAGGACCAGAAGCGTGACTCGCAATGTGAACCGTGAACCGCTGGCGGCCGGAAGACTGGTGGAGGCGGCCAAAATTCTAGACGCGCGTAAAGCTCTAGAGTTGCTAAATGGGATGGGACTCGAACCGAACGAGTGACCCCCACCAATGGATTGCTCTCCCTCCAAACGAGGAATCCATTGGTAGGGTCACACGTTCGGTTCGAGTCCCTTTTAGAGACTCTGGAGCTCAAACCGCGTCTAGAATTTGGACCACCTGCGCCGGCCATCTGGCTCACTCTCCGGCGACTTACTCGGGCTGCGGCGGCTGCATGTCGCGCTGCGCCTTGTCCAGGGCCTGCGTCGCCCTGGCCTGGAAGTGCCCCCACAGCGCCACGAAGTCCTCCTTGCGGCGTTTGGGCCGACCCAGGGACCGCGCCATGTAGTCCAGCACCTCCTTGGAGGAGTTCCAGCAGCCCATGTGCACCTCGTCGCCGCCCATGTGGAAGAACGGCACCGGCGACGACGGCGCGTCTGAGAGCAGTCAGAGCGAGGGAATAAAGAAAGGAACGGGATTCCGCCAACGGCTAATGGTAGAGGCCTAACCGTAGAAGTCCTTGAGCATGTCGTCGAAGAGGGCCGCCAGCACGCGGTACACGTTGGGGTTGGCCGGGTTGAGCTGGCCGCAGGGCGGCTCCACGCAGTAGCGGATCCAGGGCTGCTGCGCCTCGCACACCACCAGGTCGCCGAGCCCCGCGGCGCGCCCCCACCCCCAGCCCGCGGCCACGTGCGCGGGGGCGTCCAGCTCGGGCAGCAGCCGCACGCCGCGGGACAGCGCGAAGCGGCTCAGCTCGCGGACCGTGGCCGCCGGGTAGGTCTCCCTGCGGGAAGGGAACGCAGAACCGTCACTCGGAGGCTGCCACGGCCGTCACGGGGGTCACGGGGCGAACGGCACCGCATGCGGCACCGCAGTGGAGACCGACTTTCGCCTTGCCTGGGGGAGTAGGCGCCGAACGCCGACATCTGGGGGAGGCTGGTCGATTCGTAGGGGAAGCTCTGGGAGTCCGTGATGTGCCTGTGGGTCAGTCAAGCGTCATCAGGCCATGAGGAGCCGTTCCACAGTGGGCCAGAAGGCCGGTGGAGGCGGTTAATAACCCGGACGCGTTTTGAGCTCAGAGTCGCTAAAGGGTACTCGAACCGAACGTGTGACCCCACCAATGGATTGCTCTCCGAACGAGGAATCCATTGGTGGGGTCACCCGTTCGGCTTGAGTCCTGTTTAGCGACTCTGGAGCATAAAACGCGTCTAGAGTTTTGGCACTCTCTGCGTTCGTGGCGATGTTGGTGCTGCTAGCCAGGCGGCACGCACCAGTGCAGCACGTTGAGCTTGTTCTGCGCCATGGCGTTGATGGTGGCGCGGATGTAGGCGGGCGGGTAGTAGTTCCTAGACGTGTCCAGCAGAAGTCCTCGGTGGGGAAAGGCGGGGGCATCCGTCACGGTGAAGCGGTCCACGATGACGAGGAGACCGTCGGAGCTGCCGTCTGGCGGCGGCCCTGGAAAGCACGCCAAATGAATTAAACGCCAATCAAACTAGTGACTCGCCGCCTGGCCCTCACCGTACTGTACCGTACCTGTGTGCGCGATCAGCTGCGAGAGGCTCTCCAGCGCGTGGCGGGCGCCGAAGAAGGTGGCCGCGCGAATCCTGGCCACGACCACTCCCTGCCGTCCCTGCCCCGGCGGCGCGGCTGCGTCGCTGTCCAGTTTCTCCAGTCCCTCCAGCACGTAGCTTTCATCGGACGACCAGTCCAGCGACAGCGCGTCCGTCTCCACGCACACCTCCACGTCGAGCTGCGAGTAGAGTAACCAGTCAGACGCGTCAAATCTCTTGTCTGCTACCCGCGACGACTGTGTGGAGACGGGCCGCTGTTTGCCGACGGGATTGAATGGAACGAATCGGCTGGCTGCGTGTGCGGTGAGCAGGCGGCCGCGCCGCCGCAAGACGGCCTCGTCCAGCGAGACGCTCTCCGCGGCGGCCGGGCGCGGCGCGGCGGCCCTTCCTCAAGGCCGGCCCGCTCCACATCCAGCTGGAGCCCTGCACTGCCCTCGGGAGCGCATTGGTAGAGTCCTTAAGACACTTAAGGACTCTACGCATTGGCAGCAGCGGCATCCTGGTACTCACCCTGACGCCGGGCGCCATGCCGGGCGCTTGCCGCGGCCGAAGTCGGGGGCGGCTCTGCGCGCGGTCGGTCGGGGCGTCGGCGTCGGCGTCGACACCAGCTTGCCGGGGCAGCCGCAGCGCCCTGACGCGACCGCGGGCGTACTGCGCCCTGGAGGCGGCCTCCTCGGCCTGCAGGCGGCGCTGGAAGGTGCGGTGCGCGTGGCGAAGCAGGCGGTGCAGCCGCGGGGACGACGCGCAGCCCGGGGGCAGCACCAGCTCGCCCGCCCCCGCCGCCGCCGCCACCAGCCCCGCCCCCAGGCGCACCGTGCCCGTCGGCAGCGGCCACAGCGCGCCCGCACGGCCGCAGCGCACCTGGCACGCCTGCTGGGACCTGCGGGAACATCGGCGAGTCAACCAGCGGCAGATAACCTGGCTGGAAACTAGCAAGCCGCAGGGCGGAGGCGTGGAGAACGATCGCAGTGTCCAAAAAGTGCAGAGCAGGTGCGGTCTAAAATGAGCCCCGCGGTTTGGGAACGGCCGGAACGGCGCACGGCCTGCGACTTGCTAAATCGCAGAGCTCAAAATTTGCGTGAGTGACGGCTGGCGGCGTGGCAGACGGGGATGGGAACGTTTTTCAGACCCTTCGCTCCAGTTGCCGTTCAAAGGGAGCCATTTCCAAACGCGGGTGCGCAGGGCCTGTCCAACCAAACGGCGAGGGGGAGGCGGAGGGGGAGGAGAGGTCTTTTGTGAGGCGAGACCGAGGCTTCGTCTAAAAAGAGTCCGTTGCGACACGGCCTGGGGCGGCCCGGGGCAGCTAGCCCGGCGGCGGCCCACTGCGCCTGGAGGATGCAACATCAGTCGAATGCCGCCGCTGCTAACAGTCCCAATGAGCCCACGGCAGGGCACGGCCGGGTGAGGCGAGGCGAGGCGCTTCATTGGCGACACAGCTTCGAGATTTTATCGTGACCCCGCCGCTCGGGCCGTCGCGAGGGCCGTCGCGAGGGCCGTCGGACGCCGCGCCGGCGACGGGCAGGAGACTCCGGGGCGACGGACTCCGGGGCGGACGACTCGGGACGACTCCACTGACTCACCACGCGAACCTGTCCCAGTCGCTGGAGGCGGCGCTACTGGTGTTGCTGGCGCTGCTGGAGCCTCCAGACGCCTTCGTCTTCACGCACGCCCCGCGCGGCTCGTCACAGCGGTACACGAACGCCGGGCTCCTGCAATCAGAGGCACAAAGCGAACATAAAAAGGTCTTGATCCAAAGTCGCACGGCCAAAGCGATATTTCTCAGACTCGACAACTCGCAACTGCATTGTGGTGTGGAATCGACGGTTTTCATTTTTTTTTCGGAATCTTTTTCACGAGCAGTCTGAACACGCGCCATTTTATATCGCTGTGTGTGTGTGTGTCAATCACTCTTTCTCACTCTTTCTTTCTTTGTTTGATTGCCGCGTTCCATTTTCACACCGGTCGGCGTGGAGCGATACGCGCGGCCCGGTGCGAGAGAGACAGCGCGCGGTGTGGGGCTCGGTGTGGAAGGAAGTCGGCAGGTGAGCAATTGGACACAATGCAGCCCACATTGACGTGCCGTCCACTGGAGGCGCGAAAACAAAAATAAAGTGGGGGGCGCGTCGTTTCGATCGGAGCGCCCGCAGACGGGCGGGTAGGCAACACTGCAGCACATGGCGGTGCAACGGGCTGGCCGGGCTGGCCTACCCATTACCATTAAGGGCTAGACCACACATGATCGTATGCCATTTCGGGCCCGACACATGCCCGCCTGCACTGCAAAACGAGACATGGCCGTCATTACTAAGGTGACACCCTACCCGCCGGGCGCGCTCTGTCTCTCTCGCACCCCTGACGGGGCACGCCAAGCCATGAAGGCAGAGGCAGAGTAGCGACACGGACGTTTGTTGTCGCGCGGCTGCCAACCTAGCATCGCGCCGATCCCGCCCACACCGCCCACCTGGCTGGCAGGCTGGCCGACGACCGGGCCGCCCCGGGCCTCGGCGGCGTGCTGCCGCGTGCTGCCGTGCCTCCAAGGACACGCTCTGCATGGCGTGCGCACGGCCGCACGGCACAGGTGCTGTTTGTCCGAAACAAGACGACGCAGCAGCGGCAAGCCGAGACCGCGGCGACGGCGGCAACGCAACCGCGAGCGACGAGATAACGCTCTTTTATCGTCGCTCTCTGCAACCGAGAACGACTTGCCAGTTTCGACGTTCCAGATGTCACAGTTCGCCAGCGTGGTTTCATAGTTCAATTTGAGTTGGGCCCCTGCATCTTTGAGGGGACTGTGCGGCGTCGCGACGTCGCCGACGGGAACAGGTGGTTCATCAGCAGTCTGTGTTTGGCGAGGCGGGCCTGGCGGGCCGGTCCGCCGCGGCGGGCGGGCCGTGGGTACACGCGCCTCATTTCAGATAAGCAATTTGGCGTGGAACGGCGGAACCGCAGAACCTAGGCACCGGCACGGACGAACGCCATCGAAGCCGTCTCGCACACCTCACAGTGGGCCAGAAGACCGGTGGAGGTGACAACAACTCTAGACTCGTTTCGAGCTCTAGAGTCCCTAAACAGAACTCGAACCGGACGCGTGACCCCACCAACGGATTCCTCGTTCGGAGAGCAATCCATTGGTGGGGTCACACGTTCGGTTCGAGTCTTATTGAGCGACTCTGCGGTGGGCCGCTGCCGAGCTCGCAGCCCAGCCGGCCGGGATGGCGTGGATGCGCTGCGTCCTCGCCTCCAACGCTCTCGTCGTCGTGGAAACAATCATTCGGGGGCGAGCGAGGCAATGCGAGGCAAAGCGAGGCGAGGCGCGCGGACGCCGCGGACGCCGCGGACGCACATGCCGGCGTCACATTTCTCATTTCTCTCACCTGACCGAGGGGTACAGCGAAGGCTGGTCCAGCGAGGCCGCCGCGGCGCCAGGAGGTCCCCGCGCCAGCAGGGCCAGCAGGGCGGCCAGCGCCCAGGTCAGCACGGCGAGCTGGAAGCAGGGAAACGGGACGCTCCAGGGCTTGCAGGACGAACAAGTACACTCACAGAACATCTCGGCGGAGTGCGGCTGTCGGGTTTATAATGAGGACGAGGGGGTAACGACTTTGGTAATCCGGCCTTCACGGTTATTCAGTAATCAAGGTCAATTTTGGCGAATTTTCGGTTAAATTTATAGGCGATCCGAGGATAATCCAGGTAACTTACTGTCACGAAATCAAAGAGTCGTTACCCCCTCCAGTGAGGATGGCGGCGGTCATTCCCCGGCCGCCACAGTGCAGTGGATCGCAGCCACACTTCGCCGGCGGGCCGAGGCGGGCCGAGGTGAACGTTACCATGTCCGCTCGCGTTGCCTTCGGCTGCCTTGGTGTCCAATCATGCAGTCCTCGAGGGGGTTCGGATCTGTCCGGCTCTGTCCGACTCGGCGCGGCTCGGCGGTCCGTCTTGTCGTCGTCGCGGGAGTCCTGCGAGTCCCGCCCCTCCGGATGGCGGCACCGATTCGCTTTGCGGCGCTTTGCGGCGCTTTGCGCTCAGCCAAGAGCCAAGCCGGGCCGTGTCGCTCGGAGCCGTTCCAGCGACTGACTGGCTCACTGGCGACGGACTGGTCCGCGCTCGCCGGGCCGCCGGAATAAATAGGCGGCGCGGCCGCCAGCCCGGCTCGGCGGAGCGGGGCGGCGCGGCGGCGAGGATGCGTCGGACCAGTTCGAACGAGCGCCGCCAAAATGAACGACAAGGACTGTACCTCGGACCTTGTCAGGGGCAGGGACCGCCTCGGCGCTCGGGTATACAAGTTGCAATGACCAAAAAATTTAAATTTGGAAAACAGTTCTCTTTTTCATTAAGATAAAGTAAATTGACACGTTTTAACCTCGTTTATTGTAACTTTCTGGAGGGCTAAAGTAGACGGTGTCATTCGAACCAAAACACTGGTTCCACTGAAAACGGCCGGCGCGTGAGTGTGGTGGAGGGACTTCCCTGGCGGCAGGGCTCCGCCCTGGCTTCGCTGCGGAGTGCGGGGCCCTCCCCTGCCCGGCACCGCGAGGCACGCCGCGAAGCACCGCCTACGCCGCTGGAGGGATGGCAATGGATGGCAACAGGCAGGTGACGGCGCGCCGCGACGCGCAGCCCGACGCCGCCTGGTCGATGAGCCCGTTGATAAGGGCGCGGCGTGGAGGTACTCAGGTAGGTACCCGGGTGGGTACAGTCACGCAAAACACGCTCAACTCCGCACCGTCGCCATGACCGTCGCCCTGCGCATGTACGTCCGCGAGGCTTCCTCGCTGGGGCCTCGGTGCCGCGCTGCACGGTGCTCTCCTTTTCGGTTTCGGTGGGCAGGGCGGCAGAACGCCGTCTCTCCCTCTCTCTCGCACCCGGTACGGGGGCCGGGCCGGCCGCGGGCCCAGACCGTTAGGTGTCGCTGTCGCTGCGGGTGTAGCATGGCCTGGGTTGCCTGGGCTGGCCGGGCCGGGCGCAGTGTAGTGCATCGGGGCTAACTAGGTTCCGTTGCGCATTCCAGAATCGACACCGCGTCCCGCCGTCCCCACTGCACGGGGTGGCGCCGCAGCCTCAGTTCATTTTGCAAAACTGCAGCGGTGCAGCGCCACTCGGGATTTCTCTTGGATCTCTCTCCCCCGGCCAGTTTCTTCTTCTTGACGCTTCTCTGGCCGCTTGCTAGGAATAGAAGGACCCCCCCCCCTCCCCCCTTTCCAAGCCTCGGTGCCGCACCGTGCTGCACTCTCAACCAGCTGCGCCAGCTCTTGTCAACACATTGGAAACTCGTCCCGTGTCGCAATTTCTTTTTTTTCTTTCAAAGAATCCATCAAATTATCGAACTGCCTGCCACAGTAAATATTCCGGCCATGACTCCTTTTACGACCTCGGTCTCGGGGCGGCGATACAACGCGTGGGCACGGAGGAATTTTCCAAGACGGGCCCAGGGCGAATACGCGCATCCCCCTCCCCTTCCTCCTTTTGCTCGAGTAACAAGGTACACTGCATACGAATATTACGCCCCGCCATTATACTACTTTGTCGTACTCCGTTTTGCGTCTGTCCCAGTGCGTGCGCCGCCCGCACAGTGGCGCACAGTGCACGGCAGTGGGAGGGGGGCTTTAGGTGTGACAGGGTCATCGGCCCCTCCTTATGCAGTATGTACCGCCGCGGCCTCATCAGAGCGGCGCAAGTGATCTGGAAGGGAAGGGGTAGGCCGCCTCTGTGCACGCAGCGGGGCGGCGTGGCGGCATCAGGGGGAGGCCCTGCCAGCCCTGCCGAGCGATTCCGAAGAGACGCGCTGTCCCTCTCGCACCGCTCGCACCCCTGCGATGGGCCCGATGAGTGCGAGGGAGACAGAGCGACGGAACGACGCTCGGGAGCCCGCTGCCCCCTATGCCCACCCTACACCTACGCAAACCAAGTCAGCCATGCAGCCCGAGTGATGGTCTCCATCGTTTGGTGAATGTTACATTGAAAATCTACAACTTCAATTTCGAAACCAAACCATCTTCTTTTGACAGGCCTGGCTGAAAAGATCTCGGCATTGGTTTGTCCTGTCCTGAGCAATTTAACATCTTGGTATAACTCGTGATGGAATGGTATGACCTTATTTTGGGTGTCCAGGCGCAAAAATGGGACAAACAAGGAGTGGGTAAAAAACACAGGTAAACAAAAACATAAATTATAACAGCAAAGTTTATTGTTAGTATGAGTTTGTATCTAACATTTTGTAACAGACCAAAAATTTCATACAATATCACATACTGTTTCATCTAATAAAAGAGATAAAACAATGATTAAAATATAATTTATAGCATAATGGATACTTCATGTGGTTGCTCCATTGGCACTGCAATGCAGCACTTCAAACAATAAATTAAAACCATCAATGGCAGCATATGGTTTAAAAATACATTACAACAATAAAAGTACATAATAAGAATAGTAAGAATAAAGACTATATAATACAGGGAATACAATCAATACTAAATCATTAACTAGAAATGTGATTAAAATTAAAACTTGTATCCAAAAGACATAAAATTTGTCTACCAGCATCATGCAGACACTGTTTCAACTATTGACTTTTTAATAATTTCACCAAAGTTTTCATCACAGTCTTCTGGAGGATTTGTTGAAAGACCAGCCTCCCTTGTTGTACCATCACTAGATTGAGAGCCGTCTGTACCTGTTTCCATCAGTTCAGCCGGTCTGCTTTCACCCTCAGTGGGAGATGTTGCATACTGACATCTGCCCCCTAATAAGTTTGAATATGGCTCAAGCTGATTACTTAAAGTACAGACCGAATTTAAAGCTGTATATTGGCCCACATTGGAACTTTCTGATGAAGCAGAGTCATCCTCAGCAGCTTGAATTGGCAGCTCACATGGCTCATTTACATACAATCCAAGCTGCTGTTCTTGACATGACACACCATTAACAAAGTTTGCATCTCCTGGCCTACCAGGACACTGCTCCCTGTACATATTATTTCTATAATTTCCTGTTATGTTTGACATTGAGGGTAGAGAAGAACTTTGGTAAGATTGGAAATTGAATTGCTGCTGTTGATAATTGACATCTTGAGAACTTTGACTATTAGAATAGTTGAATGACCCAGAGGCAGAGTAACTCGCACCCTGGGCTGCATTGTAATTGCTCCCAGACTGTGAGTACTGAAAACTACCTTGGTTCATTACAAACATTGGCACTCTCCTCTGCTGTTCTGTTTGTTGCATTGGCTGTTGGGTGTACCCTTGCTGACCTCCCATAAAATATTGATCATCACTCGGTAAAGAGGTTTCAGCATTCTGCGAATTAGCAAAACCTACATCTGCACAAGAATCTACCTCTGCACTTGAAGAAGAACTGGCATCCGGAACATCACTTCCACCAGATGAGATTTGGTTTGTCCATTGTTGCTGCCTCCTAAGTTCATCATCTTCTTTCTGTTGTTTCTTTTCTAGCTCAAGACGCATTAAGGTGTGGATAAAATGAGTTCGAACTCGCATTGGGTTAAATTCAATGCGACCTGAGGTATTGCCACATCCTTCTCTAGTACAGCCGCAAGGGAAATTCAGACGGTCCACCTGAAGAAAGGGAAAAAAAAAACATTAGTCTAATTTTAGAACAGATGGTTCATGTCTACTGCTAGTACCTGAGGACTATCAGCATTATCATTTGCATGTAACCTTCAAATTACTTACTTGACATTTGATCCCCGCCTGAGAACAAGAACAGGTTTCTGGGTCACAAAAGTTTTTACAGCCACAACCACAGAATTCCCGGGATGTGCGAATATCGCGGCACTCGTCCTTTTCATCAGAATCAATTTTCTGTACACCAGCTTGTCTCAATAACGCACGTCTCTGTCTTGTTGGCACAGGCTGTAAATAGGGTAAAACATTAAAACAAAATAATTACTAGCCACATAAATTTTCTAAAAATGGTCAACATACCTGAAGAAAATAAAATCCATCCATATCCATCTCCTCTTCTGAAATTTCACTCTGCTCCTCCTCTGAATCAGAATCATCAGTGGATTCATCTCCACCACCATTACCACTCTGCACAGAGCAAGCTGCACTTTCCTCTGGTCGAGTTGGATCGGGACTCTGACGTAGCTGGAGTAGCATGTTACGGTGAGCACGACGCTGCTCCACAGCATGCTCCACCATGGTAAACCGATGCATATGTGTGTGCTCTTGTGTCATTCCAAGAGTAGATCCACCCTGCAAACAAAAAAAAAAAGTGATACATTAACGGTCAGACAATGTCACTCATGTTAAAAATGGCCTGTTGCCTTATGCCAAAAATAATTACCTGTGAAGGGACACAAGTGAAGCCCTGTGTTCGAGGAAAGTAGAAGACAGAGACAGAGTCAAAGGTTATTGACTTCTTTTTCTTAGGTTGAGTTTCACCCTCACAAGAGGATGAAGCTGACCTTTTGAGCGTACTCCTTCTCTCTATGGTCCTTATCTCTTCTGTCATCTCTTGTTTGATTCCACTTGGACCAGCAATAGCTTCCACAGAGTTACTCTCAGATGACAAGGTCAGGGATTCAGTCTTCTGGTGTGAATCAGAAAAGCCAATATCAACACTGTCATCTCCCTGACAAATCATAGTTGAAACAGATTCGGGTCCTTTGGCCTTCATGCTGAAGTCTTCTGGTAAAATTGGTGTTAATATTACAGTTGGTGTTTGTAAAGGGACATCACTGTCCTCTTCATCCAGGGAAACTTTGATGTCAGTCTCTCCAGGAGGCGATTGTAAATCATCAAACGTAGGAATATTATCATCACATAAAGCTTCTGTTTCAGAAATACACTCAGTGGGCATTGCTTCTCCCACAGAGGGTGATCCAATACCACTTTCTTCTCTTGAAGTCTTGTCACAGCAAGATTTTAAGTCGAGATTATCACATGCAAAAGCATCTTGTGAAGATTGAAAGTTCACATCAACTCCTTTGCAGGTTTCAGTGAATTTCTTATTTTCTAAAACTAATTTTGAATCATGAGGTTCTATTGCATCCACTCCAATTAAGCTACCACAATCTTCTAGAGATAACTGGGGTTCTTCTGCCTCTTTGCGGGTTGAATTCTCTGCTTCATTCAAAGGTTCATGATCCGATTCTATAGTTATTTTCTTAATTTCTAATGGCTTCTCACACAACAGTGATTGATAGTCTACTTCTTGTGTGCTTGAGCTTGTAATATTATTATAAACATTCACTAAAGGGTTTTGTTCTTCACATACAGTCAACTTTTTGTCTTCAATTAGATTACTTCCTTTAGAAGAACCATTTACACAATTTGATACTTGTGCATTAAATTGCTCAGGATCAAGAGTGATAATGGCATTATTTTGGTCAAATAATTTACTTGAAGCAGAGAAAGACTCACCGATATGAATCTCATCACCTACAGTAGAAGAACAATTTTTTCCAGAATGAGTTCCCGCAAAGAATGATTCTGTATCACTTGCTGTTCCACTACAAAGTTCATCAGCCGAGTTGGAGGAAAGGGCTTCAGCAGATTCAGATCCTAGGCCTGAATCACTGCCATCAGATCGGTCATGAGATTCAATAAGTGCCTCTTGTTCATCAAGACCCTTAGAACTGTCTTCCAGCTTCTCTAACAAACCACTCGAAATCAAACTCCCTACACCTGTTATACTTGGTGAGGTGGAGTTCACATGACCATTTGCAAGCACTGTTCGCAATGAACCACAATGCAGTTCAGTAGCTTCAAAGATTACACTCTTTGCACTTTTCTCTGGAGAAGTTGTCTCAGATTTCACCAAAGACTGGACATTGGGGCTCGATGCGGTTTCTGCAGAAGCTTCACTTTCACACACGCCGTTGCCATTTATTGAGTGAGGATTTGCAGCAGCTGTTAGGTCATGCGTATTAACAGCTTCACTGTCACACCATCTGTCAGTTCCAGAAATTTGCACCTCTTGGTCTGGCACATCTGATTGATCTCTTGATTTGTCTTGCCTTACCAAATTTATTTCTTCCAGTGCTGAATCATCAACATCCCCGGGCCAAGTACTGGTTTCTTCTTGACCCTGCGCAGAGCTGAGGCTTATGTGCTCCACCTCCACCTTCCCATTTGTCTCTGAAACAATATCACCCAGCATGTCTACACATTTGGTTGGTACATTAACTTGGTCAGCCTCCAGCTTTGAGGAGAGGCTTGTGGTTGAGTTGGATGGCACCAGCGGTGCAGGTGCTGGGACGGGCGCAGGCGCAGGAACAGGCAGAGTGACCGGCAAGGAAGTCTCAGATTGAGAGGTTTCCCCCGCCCGGTCTCCTGTTGTTGCATCCATGGCCCGGCCGGTACCACCTAGACAAACAGCAACACAGCATAAGAAACTATGCTCTACTGCTGATGCCAAAAAAAGCACAAGTGCACACAAAGCTGGGACGCCACAAGCTCCATTATTCAAAAAACTTTGATTGCATAAATAATATTTATAATAAATAGGTTGAGTTTAAGAAAATGAGTGATTTGATTCCAACATTCAGCATGAATGTGTAGAATTTAACCTTAAGCGGAAGCAAGCAAAATAATAGCCGCATTTTCCACTCATCTATCACATGTGTACTTACTAGGGAAAATGTATGGTCCGGTGGTGCTTTCGTGTGGGCATGGCAGGTTATCTCAAATTCGACTTCAGTCTTCAATTTGGTCACTAAACAGAAAAAGAAAACAAAAGATAAGCCTCGCAAACAAGAACTCCTTTCAGACTAGGGGTATGTACAATGAGATTGGACATTTAAAAATAGTTTTGTATTGATATCAAAGGGAAAGTCCAATACAACTTAAAGGAAACCAATTTAAAAATTGCTCAAAATTATGCTTATAATATAAAATTACTAGGTCACAAATGCGGACTTAATGTTAGTCTCCGTCAGACAAGATGAATGTAATTTGCAAATATTCGAGACAGTATGCAAAACCATTCATTAAATCTCAAATTGTAGAGCACGACAGAAATCTAAATAAAAACTAAAACACAACAAGAACAAGAGCATTAAGGCCGCTAAATTAGTCTTACAGATAAATGTGTCTGACAGGTCTGGAAACATAACCTCACAGTGCGTTTAAAAGCAACCCCAAATAAACATATTACACACAGTGAATGTCCGCGGCGAGGCGCCAGGCGACAAACAAATCCAGTCAGAACGTAAATTTTGAACTCGACCCGAGGAAGCCGAAAAAGAGGAGGGCCAACCGCCCCTGTGAAACAAAAGCAACGGGGCGGCTGTGGCGCCAAGTAGCACACCAATCAAGTTTGACCGGGGACCGGGAAATGTGGCAACAGAGAACAGCAGACAGCAGACAGCGCGGCCTGCCTTCCTTCCGCGCAATTTTTCAACAAGGGCCGAACAAGGACCTGGCTCTGGGCCGAGGGGTACCGAGGGGGTTTCGGCCGCCCTTTCTCTGTTCACTCGTCTTGCACGGAGTTGAACCGTCTTGAAGGGTTTAGGACCGCCATTTGAACAGATTAAAAATACGAGCGGGCGGAGAAGAACAAGAGGAGACACGTACCGCGCCAGGGCCGTCCAGATGACAGCACCGAAGGGGTGGGGGAGGGGGAAGAGAGGGGGGGCAGCGGCGGTTAAGGCACTGGCCTTAAGGTCCAACTCGTTAACGGCCGGACTCAACTGGGCCGGCTTTCGGTTAATTGCTCTCCAAAATCCGGAATCAATAATTTGGGCGAAACCCGACCCCCCGAGCGACGGGACGGACGGGACGGCAGTAGGGTGGTGAAACGAGGCAGCGAGCGAGCCGCGCGGCGACGACCGGACCAGCAGCGCGGTCGGCGGCTCGCTGCGAACTGAACTGAACTCAACCCAAGCAAGGGACGGACGGGCCGGGACGGGCGTGCTACGCCACTGCCGCCGCCGCCGCTGCCGCCGCCGCAGCACAGCGCCGACCCCACCCCGCGGGGCCCTCCCCTCCCCGCCCCTCTCTTCCTGTAGTGTGGTGTACAGAGCAGAGCGTAGCACGGCGTAGCAGAGCGCCAGCCTAGCCTCTAGCTACATCGCCACTGTGCTAGAGCGCCGTTCGGAGGCAGCCTCGCGCTCGCCTCGTCGCTCCTCGTCGCTCCCACGGCGAAGGCCGCAAGGCCGCGCCGGCGCGACGGAGACGGACGCAGAGCCCTTTGGTCCCTTTTGCCGTTCCAAAGTTGCACCGAAGGGAGTGGGCCGGAGCGGCCCGTACCTCGTCGTTCCGAGATTGGCCACCTCTGAGCCGGACGCGTGCCGGCCCGGAAAGCCCCATTGGCGTGAATGAGCTTCAGGGCGGCGACGCACTCGCGGGACCTCAAGCGGTGTTTCGAGGTGCCTGGGGCACTGCCGGCGGGGCCGGCGATGGGGCGGTTAGGGCCTTGAGGACCGCCAAGAGGTCCTTCACGCTTCGGCAGTGCATCTCAAGCGGCCCGCGCGCGCGGTCAGCGGTCATATGCACGGATAAGATCATTAGAAGGCCCGGCCTGAGGGCCTCTGAGTGCGCGGCTCCTAAAACAAGTGCGGCAGTTCGCTGGTCGCGCTGCCACCGGTGTGCCGTCGGTGTGCCGTCGGCGTGCCGTCCAGTCCCGCCAGGCGCCAGGGCCGCAGTCCCGCCCGGCCCGGCAGGACTCATTCAGGAAACAATGTCCTTTGAGGAGTACAGCGCCGCGCCACGCCTCGCCACGCCAACGGGACCCCACGGGGGAGGAATCCTCCGGGACATCCGCTGTTACACTTAGTCCATGCAAATGTCAAACAGACACAAATTGAAAAACAAAACTGGCAAAAACAAAACTTGCATGGTTTTCCTTTCCTAGCGTAGTTACTTTAGGGGGCGGGTGTCAGACCGGTTCCCTCCAGGCGAAACAGGTGACGAGTTTTACCTCTACGGATAAGGACCGGGTTGGGTGGGGAGAAGGGGGCAACGGGGGAGGTCAGAGGAGCGTGACGTAACAGTATGTGGGTCTAATAACGCACCGCGGGCTTGAACCTTTGGCGGACAATGACCAAAGAAGAAGGAAAGAAGGAGGAGAAGAAGGAGAGGGGAGGAGAAGGGGGAGAAGGAAGAGAAAAAGGAGAAGAAGGAGAAGGAGAAGGAGGAGAATGAAGAGAAAGAGGAGAAGGAAGAGAAAGAAGAGAAGGAGGAGGAGAAGACGGAGAAGAAGGAGAAGGAGGAGAAGAAGAAGAAGGAGGAGAAGAAGAAGGAGAAGGAGGAGAAGGAGCAGTGCGATATGGAGGACGCGAAAGGGAACATGAGTTAAGAGGGACGAGGTGGAGGGCGGAGGGCTCGGCAGGGCAAGGCAGGGCAAGGCAGCAACTTTGGGTTGGGGCGCCCACTGGCCAGGGGAAGGTGGCGGCATGGGGGTGGTGGAGGGAGGGGGAGTGGAGGGGGAGGGGTGGCCCAGCCCAGTGAGCCAGGCCCTTGGCCAGGCCAGGCCCAGCCGGGCCAGGCTGCAGCCTGCCCAAGTCCAGTCGGCCCGAAGGGTTTCGGCAAGAAGATAGCTTGTTTCAACTCGCACACATAGTCACATCAGAGTGGCGTGGGACGAAGGCCGACCGCCACACCGCCAGCCCGACACTCTGGCGGACGGCCGGGCGGATGGCCGGGCGGACGGACGGGCGGACGAACGGACACAGACGGGCTGGCAAGCAGGCGGGCCGACAGACAGACGGACAGGCAGACAGACAGACGGACAGGCGAACAGGCGGACGGACAGGGAGAGCGGCGAGGCGACGCGCGCTTTGGCGGCCGCCTTGCGGGGCCGGCCAGGCAACCCGCAACGCGCGCCTGCACACGGGTTGCCTACCTGCCATTCCGCAGGGGCTCGGGCCGGCTGGGCTCGGCTCCACGCAGGCAGGCGGCAGGCAGCAGGCCGGCAGTCCTACGGCCCGAGCGGACCGGCCGGCCGGTGAGGAGGGGGAGGGGGAGGGGGGAGGGGGGAGCTGGCGCGCCGCCTGCTGCGCGCTGCGCCTGCTATGGGTCAGTACTGCGGCCTCAATACCCTGCAACAAATTCCCCGCTCCGAATCGAAATGAGCGTGATAGCTTTGCGGCCGTGCGGAGCGCGGAGCCGCGGAGCCGCGGAGCAGTGTCGGCAAGATTTATAGAGAGAGGAGGAACCGCGCGGCAGTCTGCGCGGCCGACGGGCAGGCAGACAGTCGGACGGACAGACAGACAGACAGACAGACAGACGACAGACGCATGGACGGGAAACATTTTGTGAAATAGTGAAAAGCAGGAGGGGCGGGACGAGTCGAACTGCGCGAACAAAACCAATAAATTGCATCCCCAAACGCGGCGTGGCGCTGCACGGCAACAGCGGGCGTGGCCGAGCTGGCGGGACCGGGCGTGAGCGGGCGAGCGTGGCGTGGCCGGGCGTGGCGTGGCCGGGCGTGGCGTGGCCGAGCGTGGCGTGGCCGGGCGTGGCGTGGCCGGGCGTGGCGTGGCCGAGCGTGGCGTGGCCGGCGTGGCGTGGCCGGGCGTGGCGTGGCCGAGCGTGGCGTGGCCGGGCGTGGCGGCCGGCGTGGCGTGGCCGAGCGTGGCGTGGCCGGCGTGGCGTGGCCGAGCGTGGCGTGGCCGGGCGTGGCGTGGCCGAGCGTGGCGTGGCCGAGCGTGGCGTGGCCGGGCGTGGCGTGGCCGAGCGTGGCGTGGCCGGGCGTGGCGTGGCCGAGCGTGGCGTGGCCGGGCGTGGCGTGGCCGAGCGTGGCGTGGCCGGGCGTGGCGTGGCCGAGCGTGGCGTGGCCGGGCGTGGCGTGGCCGAGCGTGGCGGCGCCGCGTCGCACAGTGAGTCGTGCGCACCTGCACCACGCCCGCCACGGAGTCGGAGCACGAAAAGGAAAAAAGGAAGGCGCAGGAGGAGAGGGCCGAAGGAATGCAATTAAGAGAAAACAAGCGGAGCTAAATATCAGGCAAATTTTAATTAATTTACCCATTTATCAGTTTCAAAGTCGCGAACGATACGCGTTATGCAGGCCGGCGCGCGGGGCCGTGCAAACGTGCAGGCGGCACGTGCACTGTACACAAGGAGGGAGGTGCCGCCGGCAGGACACACCAAACAAAACCCCTCGCGACAGTCAAATGGCGCCAAGCGCCAAATCGACACGAGTTCCTTGTTATGCCCAAAGGGGCAAGCGAAGCAGCCCGAGCCCCCTGTTGCAAGTGGAGCCCAAACCTCCACGCCCCCTTCCCAATTGCGCTAGTGAACCAGGTCCGACCAGGTCTGGCGCTGTGTGCGCGGGGTTGGGGTAACTGAGGTGTCCCCATAATACTTATGACCAGGGATCTACTGTACTCACCCCACCCCTAGTTCAATCAATTCCCCTCCCCCTCTCTCCCCCACTTGCCCTGTGTTTTTCTCTATCTTTCTACTTCCTCTCTTTTCCACGGGCGACCCCTCGCCCTTCGCCAATACGTTCGTCTCTTCCCCCTACCCGCCGCCACGCCGCCACGGGGTGGAGCGGGGCGCGCCGTCATGCGTCTTCTCTCTCTCTCTCTCTCTCTCTCTCTCTCTCTCTCTCTCTCTCTCTCTCTCTCTCCCCCCTCGCATGCTCCCTCTCCCTCCCGCTTCGCTCGCGTCTCTCCAAACGCAACCGCCAACCAACAGACCACCGCACGTTCCCACCTCATTCATGGGCCCTTGCTCCGCGCCACGCCGCGCCGCCCCGCTCTGTACATGTTA